TACTCTTATCATTGGCTTCTATACTAATTACAGTTTTCCGTTCGCGAACTGGCTCCCCCCACCCGAATCAGGATTTGAAGGTGCTGGCGCTTCCTTACTTGCAGGCGGCCTCTTTTGCGGCGAGAAGGCTCATGGACAGAATCATGCAGTAAGCCGAATACCAGAGTCAGTCCCAACCGTCTCGTGCACTTGCAACGCATGCCATAATTTAATAATCGTTGAGCCTACTCTCCAAATCCGAAATCCTGAAAGCCCCAAACCATCCCAAACCCACATATTCACTAAGCCTCAATCCATTAGGTGATGCCGACGTCTAAGTCGACAGGAGCAAGGGTTTAAGGTACAGCGGCTGGAAACAAAGAAAAGTGCGAGAGGCCAACAGGCTTATGCCCGAAGAGTCCCGATGTAGGCCCCAGATCCATCCCGAGCCCCACACCTCCCGCGGCGACACGAGTAGAGGCTTCGAGGAGACGCTCGGCGTCCGCAGTTCAGCACGGGACGGCGACTGCACCTCAGAGCCTTAGCATTTGCCGCATAGCAGTCTTACAAGGTGTGGGTGGTTGGAGGATGTAGGGTGAAAGGGTCCCAGGACTTACTTTCAAACGCAGAAAGATAGTGCTTAACTTACTTCAAGGTCAAAGTCCCCATATTAGACCCATGTCATGAACCCTTGTTGAAACGAAGCTTTGGGGCTTGGGGCTCCTGATACCGAGTGCAATTCCCGTTCGGACTTGAGATGCCCTATGAAGCGCAGCGATTCTGATGAGGTTCCCAAAGCCGCCAGGGGTTGGTGCTCGCACTTTTTGATCCATCGCTTGAAACAACTCTAGTATCAGGTCGACGTCAACGTCGACCAGAACTTATGTAAGCACGGCAAGTTAGTGAACACGAATCCTCCCCAGCGGCTTCACTGGCAAAGGAGTGCGGCTACTCGTTGTAGCTGCACTGTACTGGCAAACTCCACAAGGCCTCCCAAAAATGCAGGTTTTGGAATGAGAGGTGAATAGAGCACTTCACTTTCCGACTTTCGTTGGACCCCAAAACATCCAGCCCAGCGGCTCAAATCCCAAGACAAGCCCACTGAGGCCTAAACCGCAGATCATAGCTTCTACACCCCGAACTTTATCCTGGAGCCCAAACTAAGCCCCTCCTAAGACTTAACTTTGCCACACACCCTGGGGCTCACCCTGGGGATTCCCAAAGCCATAAACTCAAGCCTTTGAAGGTGAGGAGCTCTCATCTGTCGGCGCGTTGTGCACCGGAAGCGGCACCTTCTCAGCCGAGGAAGCCCATACGTACCCCATCCTAAAGGTGAACCCCTGGGATTTTAGAAAACCTTATCATTGTTAAGAGAGGAAGGCTGTGTATTGGTCTTTTAAAATGTCAAACGGCAATGTCCCAGGCTGCTCGTGCTGAGTTACTCTTGAGGGGTCGACGCATCACTAAACACCTCTCTGCAAACCTGGGGCCTGAAGATCCCGAATCCCGAACTCGGTTGGCCCCCGAAAGCCTGTGAAAAAAATTCTTGAAAAAGATGGTCACCTAGAGAAATGAATTCAACACGTATCCAAACGGCTGAACTGGAAAGCGGATGTTCGATCATTCATGCTTTAAGGATCCCAAATTAAGATACTGATTTGTTTAAATTCCCAAGTGCTTACAGACGGGATGGCAAGCCCTGCACTGTCGCCAATTTTGAAGTAGAAATAGCCGAAGGAGGCCTGGCCTGCTAAATACTGGCTGTGCCCATGAGCAGCTGTAGCTGTAAGACACCCCATCCTCCAACCTTGGAGCAACTCTGTTGTTGGAAACCAGGAGCCCCTGCTAAAATTTCGAACCCCCTCGCGCATGGTTTTCAGCTCCTGAGCACCTACATCCTTAACTAAAGCCCTGGTCCAACGCTACGCATCGAAAGCCCCAAAGCTTGCAGCCCGAAGCGCCAGAGAGTCGAGCGGGTCAGTTGTCCGCCGAGAACGTCTCCCATTGGCCTCGGAGCTGGGATGCGGTTTGCCTCAAGGTCCACGGGATGATACCTGTGAGCCAAGCTGTAATACAACCCTGAAGCTCAAAAACCGTGCGCATAAACCAAAGCCTTACACATTTATGAAGCTACCGTCCCGGTACAAGCGTCGTAGAGCAACACAGCATCCATGGTAAGTCTTAAGTGGGCTTTGGGGCTGGACCGGTGGGCGATAACACATGGAGCGGTGTTTGTGCAGTAGCAGGTGCCCGGCCTCACCGGCCTCTTCGTTGGTGTTTTGCCTGGCTTGGCAGTCACTGATGAGTATGGTTTAGGGTCTATGGCTTTAGGGCTTAGGAATGTTAGACAGTGTATTTCAGTCACAAGCAGTGTTAGTGTTTGCTGACGATGGCTCTCTGTAGGTAAGCCCCAACTCTTAAATCCTACATGTAACCCTCACCCGTTGGCGGTGTCGGAATTGCTCTTTCAAGGACTTTGCAGGGAAAGCTAAGATAGCGGAGGTCGTGAAAAGTCTGCATGCCAGAAAAAGCTCTCGGGCACTAGGGTCACTAGGGTTTGAGTAGGTCCAAGGCGACACCGAGCCACATGCCCGAGTATCACTGGAAAATCTTAACATCTTGACACTTCGCCAGCTTAATCAGCACTTTATGTACCGTGTTGTAGATCGTTCGCACAAGCACTGCATTGCAGCCAGCCTCTGAATCAGAGTCGGGTACCTCAGCATCTCTCTGACATTAACCTCACCCGGGCAGGGTGAGGGCATGCGGTCGGTCGTAGCATTTGCGTCTATAAATACACAAACACACACACATATATATATATATATATAGATGTGTATATATATGTATATATATATATATATATATACATACATGCATACATACATACAGACAGACATACATACATACATATGCATTTGTGCATGCTCATGTTTTGTAGGTGTGTGTGTATGCCTGAATGTTTGTACGTTTGTATGTTTGTATGAATGTATGCATGCATGCATGCATGCTTTTGTACGTTTGTGTGTCTGTGTAGTCTGTCTGTCTGTCTGTCTGTCCGGTCTGTAAGTAAGCAAGCATGCATGTGTGGTGTGGGTATGTATGTATGTATGCCTGTATGTGTGTATGCATATGTATATGTATATATATGTATATGGATATGTGCGCACATATGTATATGTAAATTTTAACTACGAAAAGCTTGCGCATGTATACGGAGTAATGTGCGTGTGTAAATACAATCTGTATGCATAGAAATCATGTACAACAGTATGTTCGAATGGAGAGAGATTTGTAAATGCTGACATTTATGTATATATATATATATATATATATGTACAGACAGAAAGATGTGCATATATTCAACACGTCGGTTTAGAGATGGACATAAAGACGACAACAATGTGTGTGTGTGTGTGTCCCGGTGCGTGGGCGTGTGCATGCGTGTGTGCGCACGCGTGCAGGGGTGCTCGTCTGAGATAATTTGCACATCAAGGCACATCTGCGTTTGTCTAATACAAAGGCTGTATGCACTTACATACAGGCTTACGATGTACGGGATACATACGACCATCCGTGCATACAAGGAGGCTGCATACATTCCATCCATCCATTCATCCCTCAATCCATCCATGCATCCATCGATGCATCCGTGCATGTTTTAACTATCAATCCATCCATCCATCCATCCATCCAGCCAGCCATCCATGGTCCTTGCATCCAGTCATCCTCCCATTCACCCGCATGCATGCACGCATACATACACACATACGTACATACATACGGACATACACACACTCCGACATGATCTATGTCGATGTCTATCCGTCCGGATGCAAGCACATAGTAGCATTTGCCCTCATGCCATGAACCCAACAAACAGAAGTCACAATGCTCCATGTGTGTGACACATGCCTTTATCTATAGAAAGCCTCGCACCAGAGAGGTTCAGGACGAGCTGTCCCATCAGTCACCGACGACGGCTACGAGTGTGAATCAGACATCGCCAGGTACTTAAGAACAAAGATCGTTCAGCCTCAACACAGCAATGAAAGACAACTAAGAATCCCAAACCCTCAAACTTCTGAGCCCAGGAGCTTGCTGCTCCCCTTGCTCCCAGAAGATCCAGCAAGGATTTGTCCGACTGCAGATAGTGGCCGCTTGCTTTGCAAGCCCGACTCGGCTGTGGAAGGGCGCTGTCCATTCCGCATTGGTCGCACGCCATTGACAAAGCTACGGCAGAGTGATCAGAGCTCGTAGAACCTATGCCTTCGTGAGGACACTTCTGGAAGTCCGATGAGGGCTCCGACCATGGGAAATGCTCGCATTATATCTTAGCGGAATCCTCCAGGCTTGGCAACACGACTGCTGGACTTGGGCTGACGGGTGCAGGACTTTCGATGTGGGGAGCTATTGTTTCGCAGCTGTCTGGCGCAATGGACACCGAAAGCATGCCATGCCTGAGAACAGCGAATCCAAAAATGTGACCCAAACAAAAGTGTGGAATAAGCACTTGCTCGAAGGAGCAACTGCTTTGTGCCATCGCGAATGTGCACATACACACTCCAAGATGCGACATCACACCGACATAACTCGTGCCATCACATGAAACATGCCTTGCTCAAAATATCCTATCGCACTGTCCAGTGAGGCCAGTACTGCGCCCTCGTCATCCCTCGAATGGTGCATCAGGCTGTGGGCGGCATGGCGCAATCGAACATTGCGCGCACGGACTCTTGTGAAAAATACTGACTTACATGGGCGCTTCAGAAACAACGGACTCCCGGTATGGACCATAAGTAGTAGGATATGGTGCCCCGAAGGCGAAGAACCCCTTACGGCAACGTTGTTCAGCTCAACCCGAGAATCATTGTCAAGTGTCTCACTCCTACTCTAGGCGGATCTCAGCCTAGACTCTTGTGATGCAAAGGCAAAGGCGGAGTCTCTCTACGAAGGTAAACCTTTGTGGCCTTTAAAAGGTCAGTAGGGTTTTGAAGGGTCCTGGTTGTCAGTAAACCCACCTCGCATCTCGCAAAGAAGCTGAAGGGCCGCTGGCCAGTCATGGGCCTCAGTGCCAGCGAGAACCTACGCGACAGCTTCGATTTTTTTATACGCCCTAAAAACCTGGACCACACCGGCCCCCAGACTCTAAATCTCCCAAGCTCTGCTGAACCCTAAACCTTGCAGTCTAGTCCTTAGGCGAAAGACCTCTCAATTTGAGAAATGGCGACATTTATTGTATGTGGGCACCAAGTACTCGGACTAGGACAATTGCCTCCGGTATCAGAAACCACCAGAAGATAGCCGTATAGCTGATTGAAACAAGACATCTTCTTCCCCAACGGACATCAAGCTCCCGAACAACAGGCTTCGCCAAATATGAGACCATGACCGTAAACCCAACACAGACCTGGAGCCCAGCTGGTACTAAGCCTTACAGCCAAGTAGTGTCTAGGAGGCTGATCGAGTCGTCTTGAGTTTGGTGCCCCTACCGCAGCTGAGAGCACATTGCCAAATTCAAAGCATTTGGACTCTGTGGGAGCCTTACTTGGGGGATCAGGGCACATGGTTAGCGATTGGTACTACCCCAGGACTTGAAGAAGAGGTGACATACTTCTACGTCCCAGGACGGCAAGTAAAGCAACCAGCCACAAACCCTTAATAACTAAAGTTCGTGGACGGGTCGGGCTTCTCCTCAAACACCCAAATCTCACGTCTGCGTGTCGAATCCAAGGCAGCGCTCCACTTTCCAATCGTCCCAAGCCTATAAAAGCGCTAACTCTGTGTGCTGCAAAACTTGCAAACCTTGACCCTACACCCTCTACAACACGACTTGGAGGAAGGGGATTTAGGGTTTCGGGCCGGCAAGAAAGGCAGCTTGAAGAAACGCTTCAGCATCAGTTCAACCCCATGCAAGGCCGACTACATGACGACGTACCCCAATGACGCAGCTCACTGACCCTGAGCAGTTGGAGTTGGATTGTGCGGAGATTTGAACTACAAAGAAGTTCAAGTGAACAATAAAGAAACACTTAAAAGTCAGTCGCACGTCAGTCTATGTTTGTTTGTACAAGCTATTTCTCACACACATGAAAATCCTGAGTGGAAGATGAATAGTTTACAATAAACCTCGGTTCATCTCCACCATCCCTTATCCCAAACCTGACGCCCCAAAGTACAAACCGTAGGCCCTCTACTACATTGTCTACACCCGCCCTAGTCCTCCAAATACAACGGGCAACTCAAACAATGCAGCCGCGGTTAAATGCGGAGTCTACATCAAGCAACACTATAGTCCATTCGTTAGGGCATCTTCCTTAGTTTTGAAAGTTCATGGTGCAGTCTGGGGATCGTGGCGCGGCCGCACGCGCCGATGGCTGCTGAGTAGGTGGGCGGCACTCGGGAGATCCCGTGTTCTTCCTGACACGATTTCGGGAAACAGAAAGGCGGCGATTCCGAGAAACACAAGCCCCGAAAAGCCACATAGTGTGGCCCTGTTGGCCAAGCTGAGCACAGTGGACTTAACCTGCTTTTCGTCGACAACGCACCACAACCGAATTGCCGGTTCTCTCACTAACCTCACTCCTCTATACTGGGCAAGCAAGAAACCCATTGCCACGCTGTCCAGGGAACGAACAGCAACAATCTGTACATTCCCTGTAAAAGCTCTGAACCCTGAAGCCCAGATCCTAACAAGCCGTAGCTAGGAGCCCTAAACCGTGAACTTTCAAAGCGCGCACCATGGATGTGAGGAGACGGTAGACGGCTCTGGACGTCTGTGCGCCTCGAGGGCATCCGGAGATCGGAGCTCTGCGTTTCGGAGGGCCAAAAATGGGTTTTGTCAGGGCTTCTTACACTTAGGCTAATGTTTCTCTAGGATGTTAGGTCTTAGTGATTTAGGGGCTTTGGTTTTCAATTTTTTGGGTGGTCAGGATCTGGTTTCAGGATTGTAGGTTTGGGGGAGGGCAGTCTCATCCGAAGGCTAGAAGTTGCAGGGCGAAGACAAGGCTTGCGGGTCTAACTGCAATACTGGACATGGCTGGTGGGCGATGTTGCGTCGCAACGGTGATTATAGCTCGGGGCTTGCAGGTTGAGGCCGGCCGCGTGGGGTTTTGCATCGCGAAGAAGAAAGAGTAGATGTGGGTTGGACGTGGATTTCATGTCTAAGGCTGGCAGCTGCTAGGTGAGCTGGTGTGAATTGAAATTGAAATGAAGCTATACGTCTACACTTCACTCTTGTGAGATGTTCAAGCCAACGAGTGAACCCTACCCCAGAACCCTAACTCGAGCTTTGTAATACCGTCTTTGGAGAAGCTATTGCATGGTTGGGGCCGTATGGATCAACAGTAACCAACCTAGAAAGAGCACCACGTTTCAGGCAGGGAGGGTTCAGGGTCAGCTGTGGACTTGTGGTGAACGGCTTACATATTCACCGAGTGTAGGGGCTGGGGTCCAGGGGCAAGAACTCTCGCTTCAACGCCTCGGCATGTGATGTGGTGTCCTGGGGCACAGGCGGAGGATCGTGGCATTGAAAAGCCAAACACCCATGCTGCCATCTTCGCTGCAGCTGAGTACCTCTAGTGACCCGAAACGTGCAGGGTTCAGGTATTTGTATATGGTAACCTCTGCAACAGTCTCGCAGACAACCCTTGCAGGGCTTGTGCTGCCGGTCTCAGCCCAAGAAACATAACTACGAACATTCTGAAATTTAGCGACCAGCGTCTAAGCAACCCTCTGAGCCATCGGTCTGTGAACTACAACGGCGCACGTCATCGATGATGCCTTGCAGTGAACCCTCTGCTGTTGAGCGCGTCGAGTCTGCCAAGGAAGCTGTAGTTCCTCAAGAGAACATGAAACTAGGCTGGGTGTGCCGGATTCAGGGTCTTCGATTAGGCTACAGAAGAAGCCGCTTTATGATCTGAATCTCGAGTTTAGGACTTTAGGATTTGAGGTCCGGTCTGCAGTTTAGAGGTCAAGGTTGGGAACTGGGACCCATGCAGAGCAAAATTACTGACAATGATCGCACGCAGCTGAGCGTTAGGGTTAAGGCTCCAAACTGAAAGCACCAACGGGGGTCTGATTGCATCGTATGCTACAGTTAGACTAGATGTGGGAATTATTCCCTCCAAAGTATGCAGGGCTGAGCCCAAGCCTCAAGGTGCCGCAGCATTCCAACATGGCAATCAAACATAAGCTGTAATTCCGTTAGGGAACCGGCGGTCCTATGCCAGGTCACCATAAACCTAACTCTTCCAGGATTCATAACCGTGCTATTTCTCCTCAACGGCAATTAACTCCCGAACTCCTTGGCCCTAAACCCACAGATTCCAAAACCCCCAAGTAAACTACGGCACCTGCAATTTCCAGCGCAGCGGCACGCAGCGACTCGCGCTCCGGCTGCAGGCCTCGGTATGCTTCCCAGCGAGCCCAATCTACCCACGAAGTACGGAGTATGCCCTGGACTGCAAGGGTTTCACAACTTGACGTACTGTGAATTCGTAAGGTAAGGACCATGTACGTAAAACACTACGAGCTGGTATAACAGGCATCCGTTGTCAGTGTTATGGGCTCTCTGGGTTTTGTTAGCCCTTGTTCAAGTCATGTGTCTGCACTCAGGACGGCACCTCGACAAATCGAATGGTTCAGAATCGAGACGTACGTGTGCAGATGCATGCGTGCCTATTCGTTTGATTGGCCTCACATGTAGAACCTTTAAGTACATACACATGCAAGTGTGTGTGTGTGTGTGTGGTAAGCCCCTGTGTATAAATAATGTGAGGACTGAGAACATACCGATGTCTCTTCGCGCAACACTGAGAACCAATAGCACCGGAGCCGAACTATGCTCGCTTGCTGCAGGTTCCCAAATGCGAAACCTTCTTGCATCTAATCATGTGTGTATGTATGTATGTATGTATATACAAACGCATACAGATAGATAGATGGATAGATGGATGGATGGGGAGACGGATGGATAGACGGATCGACGGCTCGATGAATGGATGCATGGATGGATGGATGGCTGGCTGGCTGGCCGGATGGATGGAGGGAAAAAGTTATGTCCTAGGCTCATCGGTGTCCTTGGTCCTTGGGGGTAGCATCGTTTAGAATTTTGCGGAAAGGCAAAACATGGCCCATGGAGAGGTACAGAATCTCTAAACCCTAGCACCCAAACCTCAACCTTCTTGGCTTCCAGCGTTTGCTCCAAAGCTCCCGAAGCCTCAGTCACGGGCTGACGGGCTAGAACTTGCAGCAAGCACGATCAACAGTCGGCTTGTTGGACTCGATAACATCCGATTGCATTCCTAGTAACCCCAAATACACAAGACTGCAATGTTTGCATTCTCTCCTCAAGTTATGTCCGCGTAAACCCTAAGCCCTGAAGCTCTCAGCTGTAAACCCCCCATGAATCAACCCGTTCCCCACGATCTTAACCCCAATCCCCGGATTGCCAAACCGTAAACCCTTAAATTCCTAGCCCTCATGAAACCGTAACCCCAAACAACCATAATTTGGCTGAGCCCAAGGCATTGCCAGTGCTCCACGCCCATTCGCGAAGCCCTCATCAGGAACGCCTCTGGTTGGATTTAGGGGTTTTAGGGTTCAGTCTTCGAGGGTGTCGAGAGATTGCGTTTAGGGCATACACATTGAGGGTTAAGAGTGTAGGGATTGGCAAAGGCATTGGTCTTAAATGGCTCAGGGTCGCACAGCTTGCGGCTTGGAGTTTAAAGTGACTCTCGGCCTCTTGGCTGCCCGAACCGAAGGGATGTTGCTACTAAAAGTCTCTGTGTGTGTGTCTGTGTGTTTGAGGTAGCACCACGAGGTCAATGGAGAACCTTGCCGTTCGGGTGCGTGCTTGTTGTCTATTCACTTGTGTGCAGGAGCTGAGAGACTGGAGAGGAAGCTTTGAAATGACACTACCTGGTTTAGCGGGAACGACCACTTGCCAAATGAACCCTCACCTTTCTGCTCCGGTATGAGTTGTAGCCCCCATGCTTTGCGAATGTATCACTAAGGGTCGCCTCCTCGGCCTTCAGACGCATTGATTCGCTTTCTACGTTTAACGAAACATGAGCACCCTGACGATGGATTGAGCTCAGGTCATAGCGGAGACAGCCTACTCAACCCTAGACACTGCAACCCCTGATGCTCACATCCTGAAGCCGCCATCCTTAAGCAAATCCGACGTGCAAAACCACCGAGGCACTCGAAGCGTAAATTACACACAAACGCCCAATCTACCCTCAAACCAATACCCTAAAGCCTTAAGTGTTGGATACCGAGATCCTCCGGGTCCTGCAATACAACTGTGGGTTTTCGCCATCCTAGAACGGGTTCCGAGGCCTTAATGGGAGTCTTGAGGCTTTAGGTCTCGGGGCTTTGGGCTGGGGACTTTCAGGGATGTTCGGATCTTCGGAATCACATTTCGGGTTCCTACATGTTACAGTAGCCAACTAGGCCTAGGCTTGGTGCTGCCGGTGCTCCCTGCGTGTGAGCCACGGCCGCGGCATAGCAAATTGCATCTGGCTGAACCTGCCCGCGGGGCTCTGGTCTGAGTGAGGATCCTTAAGCCTCGATCGGACGAAGGATACTTCTGAGATAAATTCTGATTTAAACTAGTGAATAATTCCCCGTCCACCGTCCAACAGCCGGAAGCAAGAACCGCGCTCCGATGTCATGTCTCGAAGCACTTGTGGAATCCCTCTTAAGATTCGGCGGTCTTTTGTAAGTGTTGCATACATACATGATCCACCTATTCAGGGTCAAACTGGGATGCAGCTGCTGGTGAAACCCTACTTTTGCCTTTTGGTGTACGGGCAACCAAGCTGAGCATTCCCTGCCTTTTGGACTGGCATGTTGCGGATCAATGCCACTGCTGCTTCCCACTCGGTGCCTGCATAACACCGGTAGACATGACGGTTTCAGAATATGAAGGAGCCTGTTCAAATATATTGACCCTATTCCTAAGTAAGTCATGTGCCCCTAGGTTCAAGCACCGACTTCCATCTTCTTTGATGGAAGTTAAGTTTGGGGTTCAGGGGTTGAGGTTTAGGGTGTGGGGCTTATTCTACGATTCACTGGACTCATGTGCATGGGCCCTGTCGAGGCGGAGACTGCGCTCCACTTGGCTGTCCAGTCGCCTGTCCCGGATGAGATTCTTCAACTTCAAGCACGCCCAGCTACGGAGCCAGATGGATTCTTCGAAGGCCCTGGCACGCCCTTGATGTGGTGCATGAGCCGCAATGACAGCCCAAGATTTCGGTTTGCAGTGGACTTGAGTTCATCAGATTCCACGTCCCGGTGAGATGAGCGGCTCATGCAGGCGTCTTCGCACCAGACGGAGCTGGCAACTCAGCTGCGCAAAGAGTTGGTTATGCAAGCTCGCCACAGTGGGTGCCTGCATGAATGTACCACAGGATTTGCCGGAGCTGTTCGTAAGCGTGAACAAGTTTGCTTTGGTAGGGTGGGTTCGGCATTCGGAGTTCAAGAGGTGAAAGGTATTTGCAGCATCCAAAACGTTTTGTGTTACAGCATCCAAAGCCCTGTGACAACAAGTGCTTTGCACAACCTGTAGTTGTGCTTGTATTGAAATGCGTATCTTGATTCGCAGAGAGACCCAAGACCACGAAGTGAATCTAGTACGTGTATATGTAAGACGATCCGAAACCAACGTCATTTCCAAGTAATTCAAGGCGAAAGCTGCTTCTGTAAAGAATGGTATCCGAAACCTACCTTAAACCCCACCTTGACCCCCATTCTGATTCACCCGTGCCCGGCCCTGCAACTTAAAGGCCTGAAAAATGAGTCTTGGTTTTGGGGGGCTTCATACGATAAATATCTCAGGGAAGTGGAAAACCTCTCCCAGATATTCAGCCTCCCGTTTGATGCCCGGAAGCCTGAACTAAACCCTTGACACGCGCTCTGTCCCGAGAAGTTGGGCCTTTGGAGCAAGCAGATATCACAGTAGTGCACCTAAGGGATGCCGAGAGATGCCTTTTTAATGCCCTAAGTGGGTTTCACTCTAACTTACGCACAATACCCGACACCAGGAGCTAAGGTGGTGTTGATATTCCGTGAAGCGCCTTTCACAGGCTGCTTACAATGGGTGGGGTTGGGGACGGCTTGAGGAATAAACAAACAATTCGGACTAGTGATTCGTTTCGTTTCAGCCCGTTGGGCTCTTGTAGACTGCCCGGTGGTGTGGTGCTGACCCGAAACCTTACCCGGAATCTCCAAAGCGAACCGTGGAACCGAACGTGACTCAATTTTTTTGAGACACTCAGATATGACACAACGCAAAAAAACAAACTCTTCACGCCAGGAGTAAGCCAAAACCCCCACTGAACCCAGAATGTCAGTCTGCAAATGCAGAGCCTCGGGCCGTGAGTGCACAACCGCAGGTGCTTATTAGACAGGTTTTAAAGTCACAGTCACGAGTACATGAAACAATAAATGACTTGCGCAGGATACTTAAAGTATATAGAACAACAGTTCACTCACCACATCAGTTTCTGTACTCTGCTGTCGATGTCCAAGACCTGACACCTCCAAGCCGAAAGCCAGTGCCCACAACCCCAATCCCAATCCCAAAGCTCCGAAATCGGCGTCATGTGTAACCGCGGCACGGAGACCTTCACGACAAAACCCATCTAAGCCCTCAGCGCCCCTCTCCAAGAAGAAAGCCAGAAATCCATATTCCCTAACCAAAAGATGCCTGAACCCACACTGGGGCTGAAGGCCCCAATCGAGCTTTCAGTTCAAGGCCTAACCCTTAAGTCCTAAACCGTCCTAGCTTGAACAGACAACTAGAATGACAAAAGTTCTGCCGAAGGGCAACTCAAGGGTTTGACTTCTGGGGCGTTTTGACCTCATCTGGCTGTAGGCCGTGCGGCACAGGGCCGCGAAGGGGCTGTGGCTTCAGAGATTAGGCATCGGTTCATGACACCGGGAGCAAGGCAACTCTTTAGCCTCATAGCCTGCACTGCTGGCTTCATCGCCACCACTCGAATTCGGTATCCAGTACTGGTTCTAGCACGATTCCCAATGTCTTGGCCACGAGTGTTTCCGTATCTTCCACAATGACTGCTGCTGTACTACCCGAAACTGCCATAATGTCAATTCTTGGATAGGTACTGTAGAGTATGGTAGCTAGAAAGATAAACCTTATGGACCTCGTAACCTTGCCTGTTGGTTGCACCGCGTGAAACTATGAGGCAGCTTGTTACCATACTCTGGCGGCTCCCGCTTCTCATCGTCAACATCTGCAGCATCATATTCACATGACCGTCCACCATCACCGGCATGATCGGGTCATCGACGCCGACCTTGCCAGAAATCCCGTTGTCGCCATGGAAATGGCAACCGGATCGTCGGTGCAATCCCAGTACCGAGATTCTGGTGTTACCAGCAGAGGGAGGCAACCAGAGGTTCTACATCGATGATGATTGCTTGCATTAGGTTCTGGAAGTCGAGCTCAGTAGAAGCTCCCAGGGCCCCGGCGCCTCTTCCAACATGGACAAGGCCTACACCGGTCACCGGAAAAGTTCGGGTTCGGGGGCTTCAGGCGTTGAGCTGAGCATAAGAATCCTAAGGCTCATGCACTCGGCCCTCAGCCTCAACGTCTTCTCGAAGCACTGCCCAACATAGTCAGGAGCCTACTTGAACAGGCTCTACGCTAGGACCCCGGTTGCTCCTCGAAACTTCCATATGCTGACATGGACTTGCACATATTGAGACACATTTATAAGCTTTGATCGCGACCACTCTACTAACAAGTCGCGTGGCTTGGGAGTTGACCCATCTCCGACAGATCATAGCATGCACCTGCACCCAAGATGAAAACCTCAAGAACCAAGCACCCTGAACCCGACATGCCCCCGCGTCCGGAAACCATACCGTACACACACGCTCCCCAATCTTCATCTTATAGCCCGTGCAGCTGCTAATCGCTCATAGGTTGGACTGGTAGTGCACCCTGGACCGTTCTGTTGCTCAGGCACCCTCTCTGTAGCAGCAAGCAGCAAAACGCTAACCTAAGTCACATAGTTCAGTAAGGACAGGGCAAGACCGCAGCTGCAATCATGTCCAGGATTCCCATGCAATCCCGTCAGAATTCGTTTAACAACACCGGAAGGCCGCTGCAGCTCGGGAACAACTTCGGGAACATGTTTGCGCTCTCCTGGGATGCTGAAATACATTACAATAGAATAAACCATAATCAGTATAGATGTACTATAATAATACATTACAGCTGTGAACTACACTCCAATAGACTATAACTGTGCTAGAACATACTGTTACTATAATACCATAAGATGATATACTATATCACTATACTATAATATGCAATACAATACCATATAATATCAATCTGGCAGCCCACGAGCCTCGACCCAACGAGCCTGCAATCGCAGGACCAGGCTTTATAGCACGGGGCTCAAGGAGTTAAGACCCAGCCCTATGGGTTTAAGGGTTTGGGGGTGAGGGACCCGAATCCAAAACAAAGGGTGCAGAGGTGCATATGTATATAATCGTCGAGTTATTGTCATTTATTGGATTGCCTGTGCTTTTTTGCTATATTCATGTACCGCTCGATTCTGCGTGAGTGCTTGAAACCATGCATGCACAAATACACGCACAGACACAGAACACACACACACACACGCACACACACACACACACACACGGTCGGTGAGACATGCGTGTGTGTACTGTAACTGCTTATGCAAGGAACTCACATGCACGGTCCATACATCATATACCTTTCTACGCACATGTGTCAACATTCAAAGAAAGAAAGTTCGCTCTTGAGGAACTTGAGGATCAGGTCTCGAAGGGATTGTAACCGTCAGACAGAACATGTAGCTACATAATAAATATAGCTATGTTACGCCTGTTCACTTCGAGCCCTGAGAAAACAACATGAAGGTCAAGCAACTTAGAACAATTGATCCCATGTCGCTCAACATGCCTGTCCACGAAGTACTCCCTCTCATCAAGATCGAAGCTTTCGAACAACCCCCGCGTACACGGACACCCGCCTGCTGCTCACAGGCCTGAGTCGCCAAAGCAAAGCAGCCTCTGCAGCTCGGCTGTTAGAGGACGACAAGAAAGCTTTTAAAGCTCAAGGCATAGAGGGCTGCTCGGATTTTACGGCTTAGGGTTCTTGAGGTTCAGGGTTTGAGGGCTCTGTGCGCATTGAACCAGGCCGCTACGAGCTCTTCCCGCTGCAATCAGGATGTGAGGGCACTATGCTTGGGATCAGGGCTCACACTAAGCGCGGGTACTGATTGCTTATGTGTTTCCTATGTTTGTGTTCGCTCGGCTCTGCGGAGTGTCATCCCACGGACCTATAGGGGACCCGGCTAGTGGAACCCGCCCTGCACACCCACCCTTGCCAACACAAGCAGCAGAACCGAACTTCGACTTTAGAACTCCCGCCAGATGGAGAGGGGCGAGCTCCTAGCAACCGAGAAGCTCGGAGTCGGCTGAAGCTGTGCCTGCGGGAGCCTGCGGGAAAGATCCACTACGGTCAGTTCAGGCTTGAGGGTCGAGGGCTTTAGAGCTGGAGGGTTTGGAGACTTCGGGCTCTCTGGTCCAAGTCTTAGCACTTCGGAGTAACTCTTCTGCCGAGTACGATTCAGAGCCTGAAGTTTGGGATCGGGAGCTTCGGTTAAAAGTTTTCTCGCCACATACAAAACCCTTCGACCCCACAATCCACAGACGGACCAGGAAGAGGGAGAGGGAGGGACAGAGAGAGAGAGAGGGGGAGACCGGACTGTCGAGCGTTATCTGGCTATTCGTGCTTCTTCGCAGAAAACTTATTTGTCAGGATTAGAGGACGAAGGTCTTCGACCCTGGACAGCTTCAACGACATGAAGTTGTGTTCTGGGCTTTAGATTGCGCATGCAGGGTTCTCGTGTAGCTGTGTACCCTCTTGCTTATGACGAGGTTCCCGTGCATGTCTCTCTCCCGCTCTCTCTGTCTCCCTCCCCGACCCCCCAACCCCTTTAGCCAGGGACCTCTCATGGAGCAGTTCCAGGGCCAGCAGCCACTGCCCACCAGCTGCACCTGCAGGAGGCTTGCGTAACGGCGTAACCGCGGAGGGCAAGCACCTTGAGGCCTTTAGGATTTTCGAGGTTACCTTCTCTCCCTGGGCGTGTTCTGCGCAGAATCCTCTCTTCTCTTCATACCTAGCTGTGGTGGCGTGTACATGACGTTTGCATGGCCTATAAGCATCAAAACGACATCGAGGAATGTGTGGTTGATGCTAGATACCTTGGACCCTTATCGGACTATTTTCTTCGGGCCAGAATCTCCGAGCAACCGTCGAAAGCTGCCTAAACTCAACACCTAGACACCACGAAGCCTGAAAGCCCCAAGCTAAGCCTGAAAGCCATATGGTCTCATATGCGCAAAGATCTAAAACTGAAAGCCCTATAGCCTAGATACAATAATCCCATATATTCCTATACACTTACACAACCTCTCGGCACCAGGTCCTGTTCCTTCCCGCCCCGAGGACCGAGGACTGAGGCCCCACGCAGGCGCTCAAGGTCACGTGAAACGCAGCAAGGTCTGGCCTGGGTGTTGCGGAGTGTGCCGCAGCTGCTGCGAGTGTTCTTAAACTTAGGGCTTAAGGGCCCTGCCCGTGCAGGGCTGCGTTTAGATACATTTCCGGGTGGGGTGGGGGGAGGGAGGCTTGATGGCGTGCCTCTGACTGGGCGGGTATGGGAGGGGGAGGGGAGCTGGGGCAGGGGGCCGGGGGGGCTTCACGATCCTACTTCAGCAGGTCAGGTCATGTGCTTGTCTTCATGCATGTTCAAGGTCATGTAGTCTACATGAGGCCGGCGGTGCTGGTGACATGCTCCTTGAATTGGGTGTTCTTGATGTTGTTGCGTTGATGGTGATGGATGATGATGGTTGCTGGGCTCTGCAATGCAAAACCTGTGGCATGACTCTGCGCAAAAACGAGCATAAGGTTTCAAACGCCCCCATGCTGTGGCCAGAGCACGATTCTGTAGCTTTCCTTGAAGCGAAATGTCCTTTGCCAAGAGCCCCCTCTGCACAAAAAGGCATCCGAAAATACAACGTGCATGCAGGGTAAAAGCACACCCGCGCTGTGACCAGAGCACGATTTTGGAAAATAATGCTCTAAAGAGATTAAACTTTCAAGACCCACTGGAAAAATACCAACAAAAATCGCACAGGCCCGCGAAAGCTCCTCGCCCATGCAAAACACGCGTTTCGCTCGAGTTTGGGCCACGCGGCACGCGGCTGTGATGCACCTACAAAAAAGTCTCCAAATGCACGGCCCCGTACCGGTGTCGGCACCTTTGCTACTGTTTGGCTCTGCTTGCGTCTTGTAGCATTCTGTATGGTCCTGCAGGAATGTAATGCAGTTAAAAACTCTAAAATTACCATCTATAAGAACTCTGATATTATGATCCTGCTATCGCAGCCGGGGCTCCGAGAAGATCTATAGGGCATACGAAGTCTGCTGAACTTGTTGGAGCCCATTCCCGACACCGTAGCCAGTCCCAATTTTCGCAAGCTGCACCACCGTACACCTTCTACGCCGGTGTGAGCCGTAGCATTCTGGTGTGCAGGCGCCACTGGACGGTAACGGGTCGAGTTGCTGTAAGCTTCCGGCTTTGAGGCTGAAGTCGGGTTAGTTTTGCTTCAGAGCTACCTCTCCCATTGAAACGCTTCATTATGATTAGAACCAGAGTGGAGAACCCAACATAGGTACAATTGCCAAGCGCCGCCTGCATAGAGTGAACTCAACAGCAAGGTAAGGCGCAGACTTCAGTTTGTCAGCCAGCAGGTCTCGAAAAAGGCAGAGCACCTCTTGCAAAGGGTGCCGCAAAAGAAACACGATTGATGTACATCGAGCCCCTAAACTTCGACCCAACACCAATAGCCCTGAAGGCTAAAGCACAAAACCGGCACTGAAACACCGCAACACGTGCAATTTTATTGAACAACCTGATGCTGAACGTGGAAAGCCATAGGGATGACTTTTGTGAGGGCCGTCACGCACTTGAATAGAAACAACAACAAGCTTCAATGGCAGTGCCAACGCAAAACGAAAAGAGACAGCAAGAGACCAACGGTAGCAAGTGGTGAGGACGAACCAAGAAAGCTCTTGCCACAGCTGAACCTGGAAGCCTTGCAGAACCTCAGGGTACATGACATGGCGCCTCTTGCCATCGACCTGCACGTGCGCAAGCTTCGCAGGCAGCCGTGTGCACGACGATGTTGGGGGTGGACCTCGGGTGCAGCTCTGAATGATCCTGACACTAAACCTGTAACAGCGGCTCTGCTTTGCATTGAGGGTTCCTGCGAGAACTCGAGCCAGAAGTCTTGAACTCAAAATGTCAGTTTGGGCGAAAGGTTTCGTGCTCGCGTTTAAGGATGTCGGAGTTAAGCTTGAAGCGCTTTTGCATGTCGTTTCCGTGGGCGTCGGGTTCAGATTTCAGGATTTCGGACGGAAGCTATAGAGAGAGGGTCCAGAGACGTAAGTCCGGCGCATGTGCTGCAGCATGTGGATGGCCTGTGTCCACTGGACACCTCGATGCGTCAAGCCAAGTTCGAGATTAAGTGACTATGCCTTTTTTGAATGGGAAGCTGCGCCATCAGGCACAACGTTCACAGACCGGATATGCCTATAGTCGCAACACAAGTCACCATAACTTTTTGTTGCTATCCCTGAGACCCTGCGACAAACCGCAACGAACCATGCTGACACGGAAGTTTCAAAAAATAGGGGACCCTAGTGAAGATCACCACGAGTATCACTAGTAGGATGCCTACTACGGATGCACTACGGGAACTTTGATCCGTTGATGCCTGTTCTAAAGACTGATATGGATAATCGGCAACTAAGCACTCCCTTCGACCATCCGCATTCCACCCCGGAGATGCTTCAAAAGCGCCTCGAGCCAGCGCAGTCATCAAAGCAGACTGTGCCCGGTTGCCGGCATCGGCGCCTCCTGTGGCGAAGGGTTTGGGTATCGGGCTGTTGTAGGTCCATTGTAGTGTGGTTGACATGGATCAGCATGTCACGGAATCGTATTCGAAACAAGATGCACCTGCACCTCAAAGGTTTGAGATGGGCTCAGGCATGAAGCTGGACCCAAAGTGAGCACAGAAGCTCGTGCTACAAGGCGATATCCTGCGATATCCTACATAGCGCCTGTGAAACTTGAGCAGCATCGCCCACTATGTAATCTCAAGGTCGGCTTCTGCTTGTGTGGCACACTTGCGGTTGCCGGAACCTCTACACTGCAGTCACGTGCAATGCTCAAGGCAGCTACCCGAAACATCTCAGGAGTCTGAGGTTCCACAGCACAAACCTCTCGCACCTATACAGAAACCGTAACACTATCACAACGTAAAAGAACAAACTGACACGAATCCACAGTAAATGCCTTGTGTTTTTTCTTAACCCCGAAAGCTCAGTAAACCCCTAGATAAAGCCACTGACCCTCTATCGAATTCATACTCGACAGATGACCTTGGACAAGCTTTGCATAGAGCTGGAGGGCTGACTCCTGGCTGGAGTCTCGACGTGTGCTTAAATTTAAAAGTTACAAGGATTCAACGTACCACCTTCAATTAAACACTGACTGGGGATAGTTGGGGTTTAGGGGTAGCTGGAGGTCAGGTCATGAATGTTGAAGTTGGGATCAGCATTTCTCTGGGAACCGAACCATTAATGAGTTGAACGAGAATAGAATAGCGGTTCAATTTACACTGCTTACCATACAGGTACACTAGATACTGAGAATACAAGAGGGCACCAATACTGATGATCGGGACTTCTGAATCTATATGGCCTGTCCCGCTACAACAACAACAACAACAACAACAACAACAACAACAACAACAACAACAACAACAGCCACGACGACGACGACGACGACGACGACGACGACGACGACGACGACAACAACAACAACAACAACAACAACAACAACAACAACAACAACAACAACGGCATCGGCAACGGCAACTACAACCGCAACAGCAGAATGTGCAACAGAAACGTACAACCTGCAGTGCTGTAGAGTTGCACAGTGCGAAAAACAGCTGCTGACGTTTTAGGATCGCGGGATCCCTACATGCCGGCGCGACCCATTGCTCGCCTCTGCCACAAGCACTGATTGCACTGTTCGTGGCAATGGTGGTGGCCTGGAAGTCAGGGCCTTTTTCGCGTTTGACACATGTGCTCAGGTGTTTGTTTGACACCTGCGGATTCGGATTGGTGTGGCTTAGGTGTCAATGCAAGCAAAAGGATGAGGGGATTGTTTCTCAGAAGGCAGGAACTAATGTCCAGCGCCTGTGGACTTACCGTTTGAAGATACGAGCTTGGGACTCGCCTTGTGTGGGCAACTAGAGGAGAAGGGTGATGTGGGATCACGTACTGTACCTAAAGCGGCGCCTGCGGGCTTGCAGAATTCCCGCACAGTCCCAAAGTGCACCTCTATCTGCAGCCGGCGCATCTGCTGAAGCAGTTGTAAAGCCTGCGCGGTAGAGGCATCCGGTTTTCGGATGGGAAGGACAAAGTGGTCCGTCTGAGAGGATGCGCAGGCTTGGTTGTAGCTGTATCCACGCCTGCTACAAGGCAGAAGCGTTCCGTAGTGAAGAGCGTTCCGATTAGCCACGGTCTCTGCATGTTAACATACAAGGGGAGCGACAGCGTGCCAAAAGCTTGCTATAAAGCTGCTGTGGGCTAGTAGGTTTGCCTTGATCAGGGATAAGCACTCACCAGCATCAGGTTGAGATCTGCGCAATTCACCACACCTCCCTCCCCACACCCAGTTTTGCGGTGCAGTTACCTGTGGCATCTGACCTGTGATAATGGTAAGAAAACTGTTTTAAAATTGTGCCGGCCGCTGCGTCGACTTTACTGCTTGGCAGTGTCGGTCTGCACGTCACCGGCAACAAATGTTGCAAGCTGCACTAACCTATCGAAGTCTGTCTAAGAATGACAGACAGAAATGACTAATTACCTCTTACGAAGTCTCCTTTTGATGCACAGGGCCAGCGCCTTTTTCGCCGACCTCCTGAAACGTCCATCGTTGTGCACGATCCAGTTGCGCAGCCTACCTGAGTAGGAGCTATAGGCCACCACGCAGTTGCGGTTGAGCACGCCGGCGACCCAAGAGAATCCGCTGGGAGCCTGATTTACGGATCACTGAGGTGATGTCGTTTTGAATTGGCCTCTTGATTCTTGGTTCAGGGGTTCGGTGTGGATGCAGGGTTCACTTCCTTATCATTGCCCCTACCTACCACAGCAATTGAGCCAGCGAACACCTTTGCGTAGTACAGTCTCGCAAACATTAATATAAGCATAATCCTGCATTGGCCACTTGTTGAGACAGCATGACTCAACACAAAAGAGAAACAGGGATCACATGTCGCACATCTTGTACACCTCCACACCCAAAAGTTCTAGGTGTTTAGCCCTGATACCCTCAGCCATGAAAGGTCTAAGTCTAAACCCAAACATACCCAAAAGCTCCCTTAATCCTTAAACCCCGGCTGTACCGAGTGCGGGCCACCTGGATCAACACGTCGGCCTGGGCCATGTGCCTCCAGTCGTCCATCTCGTTGCGATCTAGGTGAACCTGCAACTTGCTAAACCCTGAACCCTTGAACCCTGAACCCTTGACCCTAAATCCCAATTACTGATTTACACAGGGCGAAGAGTTGGTCTAAATGAGGCTAGAACTCGACTGTGAGTCGAAGCGCTTGATTCGGGGTTTCGAGCTTGAGAACAAAGGTCTAGGGTTCAAGAAGCGTTTAAGAGCTGAAGAGGACTAGAGTTGAGGGCTCGAGATTCAGGGCAGTAGGAAGCACCTACACCTTCGGTTCTTTTCCGTATGAACCTAGCTGGGTAACAGTAAAGACGACTAAGCAGCAACGGAACTCCACTGGAGGGTAACTACAAAGAGGTTTACCAAGGCCAACCGCAAGCACAAAGTCTATACCTGACGAGACTGTGAGCTGTACAACGACTCAGGGCGCAGAAGGCGGACCTAAATCTGAACATGGAACCCACAAGTGTGCGGTTTGGAAGTGTAAGGGTGTTAAGTCTCAGACTTGGAGGCGTGGTCAAGCGGACGAGCCGCCTTGTAGCCGCGCGATCTGTAGACGTCGAAATCTTTGCTCCGATAGTTGCCCTCTTTGGTGGTGCTGAATACCTTGTCTGCTATGACAAAAGTTGTAGGGTTGAGAACTTCGGGCCGGCAGCCCTGGGCACATAAATGATAACTGACTCCGCGCCGGGCGGCTGAGAGGTCAGGCTGACACTGCAGGCTGGGGGTCTGGGGCAGAAAGGTAGGGGCGAGACCCCGGCAAGAGGAACCTACGCCCGTATTAATAAGGCAGCCCCCAAACACCAACAATATTTGGCTGAATGCATGGACATCCGAATCTTTCAGCATCTTTTTCACTATGGTGATGAGCTGGAGGTAGACCTGCATTTGGAATTCGGGCAGGGCTTTCAGGTTTCAGGCATTTTGGGGGTTTAGGGGGCGCCTTCCACACCAGCCAAAGCCTCAATCCGGGATTCGAGGCACATTCCCGACACCGTCATTCACAAATCCCGAGGTCGGCTAAAGGAAACTAAAGGAAACAAGCATGAAATTTGACCAGTTCACCAGTACAACCTTAAACACAAAAACCCCAAAACAGACTCTAGCCTTATAAACCCGAAAAGCCTATAGTCTGCACTCACACAGCCCTAAAGCCTAAAAGCCAACACCCAGGACCTATAGTGCCCAAAGTCATTCGCCCTAAAGCCTCTACACATTTCAACTCTTGGGGCTTGGGGTCTAGGCGCCTTAAACCCTGAAACCCGACCCTCAAAGCCTCAAAGCAGAGCTCGGGTCCGCCTTGTCGGGCTTGTCGCGGCCTCGTTGCTTCGTCCTGGCGCTGATATCGCCTCTGCGAATATGGACGGCGATGTGGTGGCGTTTGCTCCTGTCCTGGGTGGGCTCGGGGTGGAAAGCTTCGCTCAGGCTTTGTAGAGAATCTCCTCCGTAAGAATTCGGACGTAGGGCTCCTGTGAGACTACAACGGCCTCGCACGGAAAGCCGCAGTCCAGGTCTACGTGTGGGCCTATGAGGTATGGGCGGTTGAGGTGCCCCCGCACCCTCAACATCTCTTCAACCCAGCGACACTCCAAACCCTAACATCCAAACCCAGAAAGACGCCCGAACCCGAAACCTGAAAAAATGGCGAAAAACCTCTGCACCCCAAGCCCAACGACCCAAAGCACCCAAACTTTTCATCCGGAAACCCACTCCGAACTGAACCCCCTCTGTAACTCCTAACTAAGTTTCAAGACCGGGACATACTTTTTTTTAACCAGAAAAATACGCTTCACACCATACCCCTAAAGGCCCTGTGCCCAACACTCTACACACTATAGAGAAAACTCTGAAGCCTCAAAGCGCGAAGCCCGTAAACTCTCCACCCTCAACCCGTAAACTCCGTGAACCTTCATCAACCTCGGTGGAAACCTTTCTTGACGCTCGCTATTGAGCCTAAACTTCATTCTGAACTTGCTAGCCTGGCATCAAAGCTCGGTGTGGGGCCTTTCAGAAGCGCAGAGTGTCGACGCAAATCATTCAGAAAGCCTCAGCTATGTTGATCTTGTCCGCTTCTTGGTCTGAGTTGGTTTGGGGGGTTTGGGGAGGAAGGACGGAGATCGATATGGATGTATACTTAGTATTCCGTGTGGATGGTTAGAAGTATGGTCATACGGACTTGACGTGCGCTAAAATAAATATTCTATCTTTACGCAGCTACCTTACATATTGCCATACTCACTAAGCCCCGCGATCCTTTTCGTGTATTGTGCAAAAGCCCTGCAGCCATTTCTGATATCCGGGTTTGGCTTGGTACCTAGTCCTTATGTACAAGGCTAAAGAAACGATGACCACAGTCAAACAGTAGTCATACATCAAAATATACTCCTAGGTCCCGTGCGCATAAATCCAGCAGGTCCCGATCGAATCCGCATGACGGCATATCAGAAAGCCCTTAGACGCATAGTGAGAAGAGGCGGCACTAAGTCCCATGATCATTGCAGTATGGCTTCAGACTTTACGGGTTCGGGCTTAGATTGTGTCTAAGGATACAAAAACTTGTATGCGGCTTTGGGTCTGACTTGGGTTTCACCTCGAGAGCTTGACGGCTCAGGGCTTGGGACGGGCTTGTAAGATGCTGGAGACAGTAAGGATCTGCTCAGTCTTACCCTCGATCCCGAAACTCTCAATCCCCCAATCCCTTCACGTCTGTTGCTTTTGGCCTTCTAGATCCAGGTCGAACTCGAAGGTCTGGGATCTGCTGTGAACCGTTATGAGCGATGGAACTTTTACGGGTCTTCGAAGGATAAAGAGAACAAGCGACAGTGAAAATCGGGCCCCGAGTCCGGCAAGGCACCGGGTTTGGAAGTGGCATGGACTGCGGCGTTCATGTGTCTTTGGCCTATGTGGTGGGGAGGCTCGGGGCATGCAGGCATGCCAATTCCTGCTAAAGTGGCTTGGCGTCAGGAAGTTGACGATGTCCCTGCCGAAGTTGCACTGGTGATAGAGCACATTGTGACCTGTGCATTGCCGAGCTCTAAGGAATTCTCCTCAAATGATGCGAATGGCATGTTACAAGTGTTGACATTCTAGTAGTATACTACTGTGGCCGTTACCATTCTGCTTAAGCTTTGAACCTTTCGAACTCCATTCCTTGCTGAAGGTGGGCTCTCTGGGCTGCTTTAAACTTCGATTCGATCTAAATAGCAATCCTGCCCTTTCGGTCACTGCTTGGGTGAAATGAAGGTGGCACTGTCTTACAAGAGCCCTCAAATATGAAGCCTTGCAGGAAGCTCATCACGCAATGCAAACGATCGAGCCTGCCTCATCCAGAAGCGCAAACCCCGAAACCATCTGACTGTATCAGTGATTCCATTCATCTCCAATAAGCGTGATGATGATGATGATGAAGCTACACGACCGAAGACACCGATCATGTGAACTCAAACGCCCAGTTGTGTTGAACGCGGGCAGCTACTTGCAATATGGCCTGTATGCTCTGATTGAACTATGAAGGACTATGAAGGAACGATACTGGCAATTTGCGGAGCTCATCCTACCTAAACCACTAAAATAACCCTGAGCCCTTAACTCCTAAACATTAAGGCTGAGTCGACACTTCGTACTAGGGTCACCCAAAACCCTGAGTCGTAGGCCGAATCTCCACCAGCCCCACAACGAAAGGCACAAAACAAAGCAGAAAAAGATGCAACGGCTCAACAAGAAAACCTGAGCCCTGCAATCAAAACAAACCAAACCCTAGATTGCCCTCTAAACACTGAAACTGCGAAGCCCGGATCTCGAAGGTCTCTCTTAGCCTTGGGTGGATCCCTTCCGTCGCAGCTGGTTGCTCCCGTAGACACAGGTGTCGAACTCGGCGTGCCTGCAGCTTAGGATCTGTGGAGCCTTTGTTGCAGGCTGAGGAAGTGTATGCTCTAGATTGCTCTAGGAATCAAGATGTAGCGAGCTGTGAGGTTTAGGCAGTTGTCTAATCGGCCATTCTCGTACCCGCCAAGAAATGCACAACCTACAGGATCCAAGATCTGAAATGCCCCCTTCAACCAAACACACCGATTGTCACCTTCAAGCAGCCATGCCATTCCAAGAAACTCCTGCATAGCACCGTAACGTCCTATTCTCATCTTCTCGACTCTCGTGCTGGACAAGGTTGGCCCTTTGAGGCCTCTGAAGATACTCTCAAGCATTGGAAGCTGCTGACAAAATAAGTTGTGGATGCAAGCATTTGTCGACCTTCTGCAGCTCCAGCAAAGCATGCCATGATCCTCTTAAAGTCTTAAAACCAGAAGAGAAAGTACAGCACCTCATTGGCCTTGTGCCTCTCAGAATAGCCTGTATAGAATCCTCTAGTGTGAAGGATTCTTAGACTTCGTACAAGTCTCCAGAAAGGAGACCCCGTCTTCCTACCCACAGGAGCGCCTTACTCGCCGGAGGATATGATTGTAGTCGGTGCCCACAAGCGCGCCTAGGTACTTCCTCATGTCCTCGGTACGGTCCATAAAGAGATGATTTTGTCAGGAATTTGTCGGGCTTGCAGGGTTCAACATAATCAGACGGCTGATGGACGAACTGTCTCAACCCCCAATTAGCCGAACTATGGGAGATATGGTGATTACATATGATCGTGGATGCAAGACCTTTCTCAATCAACAGTACTGTCAACTTGCATGTGTCTTTCTTGGTCTGGCTTTCTTCTTGCATTTCGTCGTTCGGAACACGAGCCCGGGCTTTCGAGAACTGCACCACACATACACAGACTATATCTATATATATATATATATATATACATTCAATAACACACACACACACACACAGAGATTTGCGTTGTACGAAAGACTCGCCCTTCAGCTGCAACATTACCACACGCAGTCTGCAGGCCAACCGACAGCCCAGAACATGCACAGCCTTGAGCTTATCCGAACCCGAATTGTGAGTAGTTCTCCTACTCATGATGCAGCTTGACTTGCTTACTATGCCAGTTGACAGTATTCCGTCAACAGCCAAGCTTCAACTCCATGTACTGAACGCACCGGGTTTGGCAAGAGGCCGCCGAAGTTGAGATTGTACTTTCTAGCCGTGGCCAGACACATGATCAAATGTGCTGCACGTTGTCCCAAGCCGTCGTAACGCTCCACCGAGTACAGGTACCCGTGCGCGTGTGCAGTTTGGCAGACGCTGCACTTCACCGGTGTAATTCGCTTTGAAGGCATCTTGTTGAACATAATTTTCATCCGACGATCTGGACCACGCTCTTTGTGTCCATGCTGCTGACGACACTTGATGTCGGGCACAGCCGGACAGCCAGCGGCAGCATCCAGGCCTGCATCCATCATCATCAACTGGTTCTGCTTCTGATGCACTTGCAGCAATGTGGTGGTGTCGCAGATGTCCTGTCTATGTGCTTCGCGTGCAATCTCACCACCCAAGGCAGAGAAGACAACGACATGGCATAGCAAGTGGAGTAACATGGCTTCGGTGTGCGGGCACGCGATCTCTACGTCTTGATTTGACAAACGGCACGGGGAAGCTCAGCACTCCTAACACTTTACGCTTCGTCCGACTGCAAAACATCTCCATATCGTCATGCCGCTTTCCAGGTGCTATGATTACCGAGGCCCCTCACCGCGATGTCAAGACCGGGCAAGGGTTGAGGATCTGGGGATCTGGAGTGTTGCGCTCTTTCGCCCCACCCCTGCTGGCTTGCAATGCCCGAACCCGAAACCGACAAAAAACGAACACACATCTATGAAGTCCCTGACGGCCCTGACGAGAAGAAGAACAAGCAATTATCACCGATATATCCTGCATTCCCAAGTCACTCCTGTCATGACTCTGGCCTGTGTTCCAGACCTGAAAATCTGGGATTTGGACTTTTGGACGGATTTCATAGACTTGCAATACCAATTAAAAGCCGGCAACTACGTGGTCTAGGGTTAAGAATCCTTCAGTAAACGAAACACAGAGATGCCCCTACATCGAAACCCCTACATAAGCGTTCTATTCTGTGCCCTGCAGAATCAAGACCTCGTACGTCGAAGCCCCAGCCCCCTGGCACTATCCATTTTAAGAGGTGAACCGTATCATTCATATCTGTTAGCCGCAACAAATGCATGAAGTCTTCCTGCTGAGCTCGAACCGTAGGCACCACAGCGTCCTTCATCCGAGAAAACTTCCCCGAAACCAGCCCTTAGGGTACAAAATTCTCAAGAAACAGAAGTTGGGTCAAGGATGAAAGTAATTCAGATGTTAGTACAGATAGTGATTCCGGCTGGCGTGGAGGGGCCTCCTCCCATCGGGCGCCTTTCCTGAATCATGCAATGGAGGCTTTGAGTTCTGGATTTATGGCTTAGGGGGCTGAGGTTGAGGGCTTAAGTGTAAGGGTTTGTTGTTGTGGACCCCAAAGATTTCCTGCTTCGAAGGTTTGGGGACCTACGAACCTTCTGTTTGAGCATTCGGGTCCGTGGGTTTAGTGTACTGTCATGCCTTGCAGGTCCCACTTCTGTGCTCGTGATAACATGACAAGGACACATCACTCCCCAGAAGGACTCCAGCATGTATCGGCATCCACTCCCAAGAAAACGCACAAGAACATGCCGGAGCGACGGAGGGTCTTATGTACTAGCATTCTCCCTTTGGACTCCCAGTCCTCCGGCTGCTCTGGCCCATGATGCTAGACCTTCTTAGTAGCTGCTGGCATCAAAAAAACACTGAAGTCGCAGCCCCTGAAATTCGGTCTAGGACCCCAGAAAGCTGAGGCCAGTTGTTTTACAGAACCGTTAAGGCAAAGGGCTCGCAGGCTGCCAGAAGGGTGCCGTAGCTGACCACGTTGAGCCTTCCATGTCGACTCAACAACACTGGCGATACGGAGCTTTAAGAATAGATATGTACAAACAAACAAATTATATACATGCATACAAACACAAACTCCTACACTTGCATACACATGTCGAGAAAGAGACAGAGAGAGAGAGAGAGAGAGAGAGAGAGAGAGAGAGAGAGAGAGAGAGAGAGAGAAAGGCCTTCTGATATCCATGTTATGCTATCAGGACACATTACATGCACATGTAAAGTATTTACTACTAAATAGTTGGTGCACATGGCCAAGAAGGTGGCGCTTCCTAGTGTCAACGTGCGCGAATTTGTCTTTAGGGTTGGGACTTTACGGTTTAGGTGCAGGAATTAATGCTATAGAGCTTGAGGTTGAGAAGTCGTGTTTTTGGGCCTTTCGGGGGTTTCGGGCAAGGAAGTATAGACCTTGTTGCTAGCTGCTAGAGCTCTTCTTGTTCTAAGGTCCCCTCCCCTCAAGCTTTTGGTGCGGACTTCGGCAAATCAGCTCCTGGTAGTTTGGTGAGCTACTACATCTGGAGGTGCAAGTGCCCATGACGCCCTCGCAGGCTGGAGGTATGAATTCATCTGGGGTTCAAAGTTTATAGGGTTTATTCTGGAATCCGGGTCGATGTGGGACTGTACTTTTTCTACTTCTTCGCATGACCAGAAAACCGAAAGAATAAAGAAGACAAACAAAAAACAACAACGATAGCAACGACAGAACTTTGTTGAGTCAGTAGGCACAAAACGACAACCACATCAAAGACACTTTTTTCAAAGACAACTTCCCAAACTGTCGTGCCTGTTCATACATACAGATATGCATGACATGTATATCTGTATGTATGTATGAATATATGGCCCGGTCTGTGATAATTCCGCGGTGGGACCAAGCGTGTTTCGGGGACCAAATACCACGAAGAAGGACAAGTGCGGAGATGGGCTCAATCATGACTATATACAGGTATCAGGTTCGCGGGCCCTGAAAGCCCAACACCGTGAACCCGTCGCTCTTAGAACAAATAGTGGCAACCACGCGCATCTTTGGGTGGCCGTTCTTGACCAATCCGACGGATGAAGGCAACTTTCGAAGCGCTTTACACATAACGAACATCGAATTTCTTAACACCGCAAACAGAACTGTCGAAGAAGCGTCAGCTCCTGCCGCCTCATTTATGGGTTCTCATTTAGCATATACCATAGCTTAACTGTACTTTGCATAAGGCTTCGAATCGCTGTTGACCTGCAGGGTGGGTCAACCAACCCGACAATCAACTCTGGTCCCCGAATGACGATGGCCTTGGAACTGGCAATGCCAGGGCCTGCACGCGGCAGTCTCTACTCTGAGTCAGTTCTGATTCTACAGGTTTCCGGGCTTGGGCTTCTGGGTGCGATGATGCAGGTCTGAGCTTCGTTGGGGTGTACGTGCTTTCCCCAAAACCCCGACTTCCAAAAGGGAGTTTCACATCAAGAAGGTTGAACCGTGAGTCAGAAGATCTTTGTCGCAATATGAAGACCCCTCGCTTAAGAGACCGCTGTTTCGAGAACCGCCCCATCGTCATGCGCTTCAATATCGCTTCGATACTCCTGAGCGCCAGCCACCCAACCCCCCACACCATGAAATGAAGCACAAGCCTTTAAACTGATGATAACTAACATTGAACATCTTGAACCTTAATTTACTCCAACTCATATCTCTACACCTTACAAGCCCGGAATGCTGTCCGATCCTGGTGCTTATCATACCTACACAAGCAGACCATAGGGCGTCCTGCTCCCAAAGCGCCGCCCGAACGAGCGAGCTGCCTGCACCACTGAAAGAAGCGGCCTCCAGGCAGGCGAACGTGGGATCAGGGTTAGTGGGGCTTCTAGGGGCCTTTAGGGCTTGAGGTTAGAGTTGAGAGTGGCTAAGCCTAAGCTCAAGATTTAGAGGGGTGGCGGCCGAGGTTTCGTGGTGATTGTAAGAAACCCGAAACTCTGGTTCAGGGGTATAGCATAGCTAGCTGCTGAGTGTGCTGTAATCTGCAGGCAGGCGGGCATCTGGGCTGAAAAGGCACTCTCTCTAGCTGTACTCTTTGGCTACACACGAGCCAAAGAGAGCCGAACGCTTTTGTCAAACGAGGGCCGCACGCACCAAGATTGTCAGATCCAGGCACAATGACACAGTGACACAATCAGATCGGGTGACAATGATCGTGGCCTGCTCACTTTCTAATTCTACCACTTGCCCTTCCAATAGGACCAGTGCCGGTTGGAGTTCGAGCTGTGACTCTGCTCGGCATTGCTGGAAGTGGGCCGGCCTAGTTCTCTGGCAAGCTCTTCAAGGCATGGCTGCATGCAGATGTTCATGAAACCGCTACCTAAGCAACGTCGGCGCGTCCTTCTCAGCTGGCTCCCATCCAGGAAACCCGGGATTCTCGGGTTTCTTGGATGGGGGCCAGCTATGCCGAAGGCACGTCGCTAGGTGGGACCACATGTGGAGGATTCGGACCAGGCATCGCAGGTGTTCGTCGCTGCAGCCAAGTTTTCTGGTCCGCCAGATCCTGCTGGAGCGCCGAAGGTGTTTTGTCGCTTGCCATCGTCCACTGCATGTCGAGGAGTTGAGCATGTTGCTCGTTCTGCTTCTGCAGCATTGAAGCGAAGACTTCGTTGAGGCGTCCAAAGCCTTTAGGGATCATGTCCACGGTATTCCATGGCGCCAATCTGAACTATATACTCATATGCCTATCAGCTGGATGAAGCCTGCGCTCTGCTGGGCTGGGCCTTTTGTCGTGGTTTGGAAGAAATGCATGCTCATGACAAAGCGCATCAGCTTAAGGTTACATGCTAGGTTACATGCCGGTTCAGAGCCCGCAATCTTCAGCCTCTACTCCTTCCACCCGATACTAAGGCCCAAGACTCCCACGATCTCCCACGTCCAAAACCTACGTGACTCGAGGTTTGGGGCCTGAGGGGTTACAAGACAGCCTGTGAACTAGCTCGGCTAAAGGTCGCGGACTGTTGGATAGTTTATCCTGCGACCTGCTTGCGAAGCTCCCGAAATAACCCAAAGCTCTTTAGTAGCAGCACTTATTTCTGTAGAAACCCCAATCAAACCCTGGAGTCCCCGGCTCCCGACAGCACTGGGTCTCCCGCGTCTGGCGCCAATGTGGGGGAACTCTGAAGCTCGTGAAGGAGACTCAACGCCTGGTGACGTTAGGGACCAAATAACACAGAGCTTCAGCAGCACTTCAGATGTTACATCAAGGTATTGTACTGTAGGTTGGTTTTCATCAAGGGCCCACATCCAACTCACAAAGCTCAATTCCGAGGCCTCATTTTTCATTGTGTGTGTGTGTTCAGGGCTAGGGGCGTCTGTTCCATCATCGCCTGTCCCGTTGTGGCATGTTTCCTGCAGTATCCGTTTGTACATTGACATGCATGTAGACAAACAGACAGACGGACTGACAGAGCCAGGCGGGCAGCATGCATGGACACACAAATAAATGTCAATAGATAGACAGGTAGATAGATACGTAGATCGAAAGCTAGCTACTAGCTTGCCGGAACAGGGTCACTTCATGTTTAAGACTCCAGGAGCCAGCAGTTACGAGAAACCCTCAACCCCAAACTAGACTATGCTCGTGAAGACATGACCTGCGAGCTTCTTCTGAACCCCGTTGCAATGTAAGGGAGGTAGTTTGACCGCCTCCTCGTGCGTCCAACGGCGCTTGCGGAGAGGCAGATACACTGACAGATCCATCTGCCTATCTACCTGCCTGCCTGCCTGGCCAGCTGGCTCAACCCAGATCCTCTAACCGACTCAACCCAATTATCTTTCAGCCCAGCGCCCACATGCCGCGGCCCATAGCCTTTAAGACTCTAACTTCAACATGTACCGTTTCTTCAAAGCAAGACATTGGCATAGAGATCTCATCTAATAATTATCTGGGGGGTCACGACCGTTTGCGGCCCTTACTCGCCTGACGCCACTGAGTGCTCCGGGAGCATGCAGCGATGGTCGCATTGAATGCCAAGACCTTCGGCTGAGCCACTTGGGGATGTCTTAAGCCAGCGCTGTGGCTCTTTCTGGGGTCCTTAAGATCTTACTGTTCGGGTTCTAGGTCAGGGCCGCCTGCAGTCTGAAACTCTTGCGAGAGGGTTAGGGTTTTGCGCAGAAGGCAGCACGTGCTGTCCGGCCAACTGACACATGAATAGCACACGGCAGATGACGGCAACAGCTTCAAAGATCATGTTTACAATCTTGCTCTCGACTTCAGAAACAAGAGGACCGCCCAGTAGGAGCACGACGTCGAGTTGAACGCCAGACCTCACAGCTCGTGAGGGCGTTCCGGGTCATTTTGAAATGCAAGGAACTGACATTGACTGACATTGAGGCGGAGTAAACGGTGATGGGATCCAAGTTGGACGCTACTATTAGACCGCCACTCTCATGCTGCATCTTCGATGCTGCAGCTTGCGCAAATCGAACATGCGGTCAACGAAATGTTGCACCAATCGACGCAAGCCGTTTCGCTTCACGCACTGAACTCGAAACCTCCGCAGCTCCGGATCCTTCTTCTTGTCATGCTGATCGCCGACGCAATGTTGGGAATGGAGATGGCAAAGCCAGTGCTTGGTCAGCAACCGTGAAGTGATCCCGACCTGCATTATGGCGTCCGTTCACGTTGATGATTAGATCCTCCTGGTTGTTGGAGTCGGGATGTTCGGCGCGCCGAGGCCCAAGTCTTTGGATTCGGCCCTTCGGCGGACGATTCACGCCTCTAGGCTTTAAGCCCACCAGTACATGCCCAGAAGCTGGAGACCTCGAAGTCAAACAAATGAACCCACCTCAGTTCACATTGTCAGGTCCGGCAACAGCATTTTCCAGACACACCTGACTTAGCAACTGTAAGCTAAATTAGCTCAAACGCAGGGTTGCTCAATACTGATCACTGATCACACCAAACAACTACGCGAACACCGGAGCCGTAATGACGACGGCCGGATTTGCACGGTGTCTAGGGCATACTTGTGACAATGGCAAGCATGCAAAGAACCCAAATTTGCGTCACATACCGCGAATACTGGTGATGGACACATGTCGCTGCAATCAGCAACAGGTATAGCCACGACCTAAACCCCCACCCAAACCCCCACCCAACCCTAAAACCCTGGCCCTGAAGCCCGAAAATCTCTTGCAGAATTGTTTCGCTTATTGGGGCGTCAGGAATGAAAATCTGTACTACTACTGTACTACTACTGTACTACTATTCTACTATACCTTGATTATTGGGGGGGGCTGCTAGGGTGAACCGCCGAATCGGGGCCTCTCCAGTACTAAAGTTTGTATAAAAAATTAAGTTTTGGGTCGAATCTGGACCGACCCCCCTTTGGAAGGGTTTAGGGCTTAGGGTTCAGGGTTTGTTATAGGGTTTAGGAGTGTAGGATTCTTTAGGGTTTAGGGTTCGGGGTTTAGGGTTTCAGGCGCTGGCTTTATGCTTTGCTTATTGGGGGAATCCGCCGACCCTGGCGGCGTGTTGGATGGGTCTCGATGGGTTTGGAGGTGTTAACCTCCCTTTTTCCCTCCTACCCCCCCTCCCCCCCCCTCCCCTACCCCCCCCCCCTCCCTCCCCCCCCTCCCCCCCTCCCCCCCCTTCCCCCCTTTCACATCCCTGGTCCCCACATAGCTCCTGTACAGATGCAGTCGGCTTCTGCTTTGTCGCCCACGGGGTCGGCGGCTTGAGCCGGAGGCTCTTAAATGTACTCACTGGCTTTATGCTTTGCTTATTGGTACTATTTCTGTACTATTACTGTATTACTACTGTACTACTGTACTACTGTGGTACTACTACTGTACTACTAGTGTACTACTGTACTACTATTGTACTACTACTGTACGATTACTGTACTACTATTGTACTACTGCACTGTTATCGTACTACTACTGTACTACTATTGTACTACCACTGTACTACTGTTGTATTACTATTGTACTACTGCACTATTATTGTACTACTACTGTACTACTACTGTACTATTATTGTACTACGGTACTATAATCGTACTACTGCTGTACTACCACTGTACTACTATTGTGCTACTATTGTACCTTGATTATTGGGGGGGCTGCTAGGGTGAACCGCCGAATCGGGGATTGGACCCTAGCTCAAAAGAGGCCTCTCCAGTACTAAAGTTTGTATAAAAAATTAAGTTTTGGGTCGAATCTGGACCGACCCCCCTTTGGAAGGGTTTAGGGCTTAGGGTTCAGGGTTTGTTATAGGGTTTAGGAGTGTAGGATTCTTTAGGGTTTAGGGTTCGGGGTTTAAGGTTTCAGGCGCTGGCTTTATGCTTTGCTTATTGGGGGAATGTACTCACTGGCTTTATGCTTTGCTTATTGGTACTATTTCTGTATTACTATACTACTGTACTACTGTACTACTGTGGTACTACTACTGTACTACTAGTGTACTTGTACTACTATTGTACTACTACTGTACGATTACTGTACTACTATTGTACTACTGTACTGTTATCGTACTACTACTGTACTACTATTGTACTACCCCTGTACTACTGTTGTATTACTATTGTACTACTGCACTATTATTGTACTACTACTGTACTACTACTGTACTATTATTGTACTACGGTACTATAATCGTACTACTGCTGTACTACTACTGTACTACTATTGTGCTACTATTGTACTACTGTATTATTATTGTACTAATACTGTACTACTATTGTACTACCACTGTACTACTGTTGTATTACTATTGTACTACTGCATTATTATTATATTACTACTGTACTACTACTGTACTACTATTCTACTATACCTTGATTATTGGGGGGGGCTGCTAGGGTGAACCGCCGAATCGGGGATTGGACCCTAGCTCAAAAGAGGCCTCTCCAGTACTAAAGTTTGTATAAAAATTAAGTTTTGGGTCGAATCTGGACCGACCCCCCTTTGGAAGGGTTTAGGGCTTAGGGTTTAGGGTTTGTTATAGGGTCTAGGAGTTTAGGATTCGTTAGGGTTTAGGGTTCAGGGTTTAGGGTTTCAGGCGCTGGCCCAGACCCCCCCGACCCCCGACCGCGCAGTCGCGCAGAACCGCAGACCCTGCACCCAAGCCAGCCCCCAAACCCCGGCACCTCCCAATTCCCTGCCACTCAGACCGACCCCTGACCCCTGTCCGGGGCTACCGGTTCCAAATTGAAGAGAATTTTGTTTTTTGGTCCGGGGGGGGGGGGGGGTACCCCACTATTAATCCGACCGCCACATTACTTACAGTAACGCAGGATTTAGTCTGTCACCAGTGGTGGAGAAACAGAAGAATGGTTCAGACTGGTAACACGTTGGCAGCCACCTTGGTGCCGCGTATCACAGGCTTTGCCGCATGCAAGGTCCGCCGGTCTTGGACCTGAAGCTCTACAGGAACGGAAGGGTTGCTGGTGCCGGACGCTTTTCAATATGGTCCGACAAAGGTGTCATCATCGCTGGGCTGAGAGGCTTCTACAGTGTGGGTTGTAGGATGCTGCAGGATGCAGGCGCAGCCGTCTTCCGTATGCGTATATTGCCACACAGGCAGTTGAAGCCGAAACAGGCACCCTGCTAATGTGGGGCTACGTATACCTAAAGATTCCGGAGGATGACACCAATAACGGATGACTCATATTTACGGCAGTAATGACTGCCGCTTTGACATGTTGCTTGGCGTTCGATGGGAAATTTTAGGCATTCATGACGATGCACTGATTGTCGAGACATACGCGATCCTCATACGTTTCAGAAGAGCTATGGTACGACCTATTGCCGCAGCGGCGTTGATCCCACAAAACTGGCTGCTGCTCGGGTTGCTGTTGGGTTCTGCGAAAGGACCGATGGCCACAGCAGCGCAGAGCCTTTGCCTCGCCATTGCTGCTCAAGATGAAGAATCTAAGCATTAATTTTCAGAAATTGCTCGTGCTTGCTCATACTAGCATCGTTGATGAAACCTGTACAACGTGATCCTTGACACTGAATGCTAAACTCCTAAGGCTGAGACCCCACACCCGAACATCCGAGCCCGAAGCCTTAAACTCAGTTTCGGGTTCGGGGGTTCAGGGCTTAGATATTTGTCCCAACCTCAGGCTTCGAAAGGGATTGGGGATTTCTCGAAACTTGGGATCCCACATTGCGTGTGTGTGTGTCTCTCTGTGTGTGATTGATCTTTTGTCTTTTGCTGTAGAGTAGAAACCATGCTGTGCAAAAAGGATGCTACCATGACAAAGCAGCGTTTTATTTCCAGGATATTAACATAACCGCTCCGCCACGTTTTAATTTATGTAGGTCCTCGAGGACAGGTCAAGTTGAACAACCCCAAGCCCTTTCGGAAACTCTTCCCCCAACACGAGACCGGCAGGCCCAACAAAGACTTAAACCCTAAACCAAAGACTACGAGTGCAAGTATGCCTGACCCCGTAAGAGCCGAAACCCCAAACCAAGATGTGCAAGGGGCGAGGGCTCACGGAGATGTTGAGCTCCGTGAACTCCCTGAGAGGTTGAGCTTTTAAACGAACTTAGGGGTTCCGGTTGAAGGAAACGAACGTCCAGTTTGGATGTCATGGGCTCGCGACTATATGAGAAAAGCCTGAAACTTGCACATGAGGGGTCTAGGGGTGGGTGGCTACCCCTCTTGGAGCTGATGATCTAATGGGACAGGCAAGCAACGTCTCACCACCCTCTTCCACGTCCGACAGATAAAGGAAGAATGTGTAGATGCGCGGTCCAGGTGTGAACTCATTGTCCGTCACGTTGTGCATGTCATGGTGTCGCGCATACTCCTCGCCAACCTGGTACTTCCTTGGCAACTGTGGCCACCCGTGTAAGAGCGTGGATTTCAGACTCAAGCTACAATGCAAGCAAAAAAAGGTGCGTGCGCCGAGCTTCAAGAACTGCAGTGTCTCAAAGTTCTTCCATGGCACATCTATCAGATGAGATATTCCTGAGATGCAGACGGATGGGGGACAAGCAGGCATTTGTCTGGTGGAGCAACGAGCTCAGAATCTACACACACAGCGGTTGGTGCGGAGCCTTCGCGTCAACTTTGCGGACGTTAGACTACTGAACACAAGGAAACGACGGAAACGGGCTTTTCTGCGAGGGCGCTGTCGCGAATCTTGTGGAAGACCGAAGTTGCCTGACGCGATCACTATCGACGGGATACTTGAGGTGCGTCTTCTGAACTCACGGTCACTCTTGTGCGTCCCCGCCTTGCACTCGTCTTCGCACCATGCCGTCTGGGAAGTTCGATGTTTGGAGATCACCCCCTGGCAACGAAGCGACGCGGCACTTCACTGCAGCTTGGAGAAGCTTCGCGTGCATGCTAGTAAGGCCTAGGACCCTTAGCTGAGTCTCAACTGGGATTGAAAAAAGTGTGTTTTGGATCAATCGCCAATATTTCAGAGGAGCATTGAATGTCGTCGCTTACGAGTCTACGACACATGAAGAAAGACATTGTCGTTCTGTGCAAGCCTTCGCGGGCAACCTCCTACAGACATCTGAACATGTCAAGCCACCCAGAGCATTCATCACCCTTGAAAGATGGGCAAAGTTGGAAGCTGAATGATGCAACAAGCACCGACACCTTCGTTCAGAGCATGCACGATTGAGGCGCACATGGCCGGGATCAGCTTGGCTAAAAGATACGAACTTGAACCTTTACTGCAGCCTGCAGTGAATCTCGAGGCAACAATCGCCCTCAAGCCACAGCTGAAAACACGAGAAGCGAACCCGCCCCTTGAAGGTCTGCGAGTTTAGGGCGCGGGCCACCTACCTTCAGCATACACAACTAATTTATATACATGAGCCCAAACCTTCTGACCGCAACATCATGCACGTTTCAAACACTCCCGTCCATGAACCTCTATCCTCCATCCGATACTGTCTTGGAGCTTAGTCTTGATCCAAACGTGCTGTGCCCGCCTTGCCAACACCGAACTCACTTTTCTCGCCTTGATCCGAGGATCTCGCGAAATCCGATGTGACGGACAAAAGCCCATCGATCTCCTCAGTAGGAAGACTCGGGTTCTCGGCGCAGGGGTTTGAAGAGTTTGGGATTACATTCTATTGTCTTAGGAGGTCGATTGTGACCGAGATGAGACAGGCACAGCTCGGTTGTCCTCTGATCTGGTGCTGCTTGATTCTAGCGTCAGGACTGGCGGTTCCTGGCAACCTTATAGGTTTCAACAAACACGTTCGTGATATCTTGACTATTTCTCTATGATTTGGGTCTAGGATTTTGGGGTGATGTTGCTGCGCGTGGGCTGTGGGCATCGTGACACGGCTGTGATTTGTCAGTAACTGATTTCTTGATTGTTCGGGGATACTGTGAAACATCGTGGGCATGCGCCTGATATGGAAGCCTGGTCTCTTCGTCCGAGACGAAGTTGTCAAGGGTAACGATCCTTGCATGCAGCTCCGCACTTCTCCGGCTTGTGCGCTCAACCAGTGGACCCTTCAACCAAAACCACAATCAGGAAGGTCAGTTCCAATGAAACGAAGATTGGCCTGTGCTCCTAGGTCCTTGGACTGAAAACTGCAAACACTGATCTCACACCACAAGACATCGGGTTCTGCGCACAAACAAGAAGGATCACGAGGTAGCAAAGAGAAGGAACGCTGCAGCAGTACCACAGCAATAGCAACCATGGGCTACTCAGATCGTCACCGAACCGAATCCTCGTCGCAGAAAACTACATCGCATAAATCGAAACCGCAAGACACCGCATCGCGGTATCGGGGTTCAAGCACGATTTGAGGGCCGTGGAGCGAAGCAGGTGTGGGTGTGGCTGGAGCTGGTACCGCACCGCAACGCCAACAGCAATACCTAGCAATATTGGATCGCATACAATCGCTAACAGCCGCAAGCCGATCGAACCGAGGCATTACAACCATGGCAACAGCAGCCGCCGCCTCAGAAACAACACCGAAAATGCCAACGAGAAGGAGCAGGGGTAGGACAAGGGCCAGAGCTGGGGCTTGTACTAGTGCTGCGAACAACGACGACGCGTCGACGACTACTGCTGGTGGTGGTGCTGCTGCTCCCGCTGCGACGACGACGACAACGATGCACCACTCTTGCCGTTACAACTTCATGTCCACGACAACCAGTGAGCCTGGTACAATAGCAGCCTTGCCCTACTTACGGTCCTCTGAAAGGAAACAGCACCAATCACGGCTGCAATAACGACAGCAATCTCAAATGGTAGTTGTAAGATCACCAATAAGGCAGAAATTGTCGTTGTAGTTGGGGGTAAAGGGTGCAATGGCAGGAACAGCAACCATCGTCGCGAGAAGTATCCCCAGAAAACGTACAGGCATCAAAGCAAGAGTGGAACACCAGTGAGAACAAGTACAGGCACCTTGAAGCATGTCCGTGGAACTGTGATGTCCGCCTAGGCTGTATAGGGGGGCTAACACAACCTGCCGTGCTTCAGGAACTGACACTCCGTTCAGACCTGACCATCAAGTCCAACCGGGCTTCGGGTTTAGACATCTTAGAAGCTACCGTCAAGCATGGAATTAAAGATGAGAGTGATAATGACAAGGCTTCGGGATTCGAAGAACACTGCCATGAAACCACTTCTTAATCAAGGGACTGCTGGACAGGTTCATCGAAGCCGGAAAGCCCGGAACCCATCCGAAAACCTTTGTCTGCCTGGCGTCCATGGACTTCTGCTGAGGATGGTCAGGTTGTATTCGGCTGCCCGCACAGAGAGGTCTGGAGAGCAGCTTCGGAGTTCTTCTTGTGAGCTAGCATGAACTGTTGGACATGTGTCTTCGAAGGGCACGTACAACACGGTATATCGCAAGCATGAGGGGGTGTAGGTTCTAAGCATGGAATACGCTTCATGCTTTGCAAGCATAAGATCAGCGATGTGCACTTTGCGAGAATGCGCGTTCGCCATGCCTGTGAACATCTCATCCATATCGCCAGGACGAAGCGCAGGCTCCTGGCTCATATTCCTTGGCCAAGGCATCACTCACAGATCATGTTACAAAATGAGAAAGGGCTTGAGGTTTGCATGGCTTTGAAACATTCACGGTGTCTCTAGAGGTGGGATGCGGAAAACTCTAAGGGTTCGGGCACGTGCGTATCACTCTGGGCGGTTTCAAGGTTCGGCTCACGGCATAGACATGAAGGTCTAGGCTCGTCAATTCTGTTCCAAGGCTTCAACCACCATTCCGCTTGGCTACCTGAAGGAAGCATCCTGAAGCTGGACTGTACGCCCCGAATGGAAGGGTCTGTTTGGTGATCCACCATGCTTCGGTTCTTCTGACATACTCACAGGCAGCTGGCTCTCTGATGCGCTGCATCTAAGACCTCAACACTCCACGGTAACGCGTTATAACGTGTTGCTAAGGCGCAGTAGCTGCCGAGTGCAGCGAAGCTCCTGCCAGCAAATATGCCCAATTCTTTACCAGAGATCCAGGGACCTTCTGCTATCTTACGCCTACGCTACAGTCTGGGTCATCGTGTTCAGTGTGAAGGGTCCTCGATCCTCTTTTGAGTCTGCATTAAGGGCCGCCCTTGATTGAATCAAGTTCAAGGGGTCCAAAGCGAGGTGGGTTCTCTGCACGCGGCGATAAAGGCCCAGCATCCAATGGTGCTGATCGAGTTCGTGAGAAGCTTCCAGAATGCCTGTTGGGCTTCTTGCATTCGAGAAGACTCCGAAGACATGAGCGCTGTCCCTGCACGTCCAAAGTTCCTGTTAACTGGGTATTCGCGATTGTAGTATACACTGTAGCTTGCAGTACGTAGTATCTGGGAGAGTATATGACAATCCCTTAGGGCTTCAAGTTGCATCCTGAACTCGGGAGCCTGAACAGTAGCCTGGGTGTCATCCGTGACATCTTGTGGATCTGATGACTTTCCGGAACAACCAGATAGTTAGAAAACTAAAGCGAGGTGTCCGGACACACTTTTGAAAAGGTCCAGGGGTAGACAATCAAAATCAAAAGCCCTGTAAACATTGGAATTGGGCCTATGTATCTCCTGAATCTTGCATGCGCGACCCTAACTCTATGCTCCACCTGAACCGTAGATGCAGAACCCTAGAAACGCTCGAAAGCCGCAAGGCCAATCACATCCCAAAGAGTTTATGTCGGAGGCGGAGCCTGCAGCCGCATCAAAACTCAGGTTCTTGGTGTATGGAGATTGATTGAGGGAAGGCGATGTGCGAAGTTCGCACTTCAAGCTTTGGGGCGGGTTCAGGGTTCCGAGATATGCAAACAACCCAGCTAGTAGCTTCTTGTACCAGAATCGCAGAGATGTCGGTCCGTATGGCGAAGATGGCAGGAGTGGCAACTCTTGGCGCAAAACACTGACCTGGGGTGCTTGGGAGCCCATCGGCGTGGAAGCCTTGTTCAAGCCAAAAGCTTACCTCCGCTGTTCGAATTTACTCCTTGGGGCATGCCATTCAGGCTTGATGGATGTACGCCGAAGGAACCGGGTGTGGCTCTATTGTTCCTATGACGCCTGCTTACCAAGACCCCTGGATCAACGAACTCAGCACAACAAGCGCTATACGGGTAGGTTGGCATTGATATCATACATTACATACAGCCCGCATCAGGGTTCTTGTAAGCTTACTTAGGACCAACATAGCAAGTTCCTTTCTCCTTCAATTCACACGCCACGTCTCGTACTCTGCGAGCAGCCAGCAATGTACATAAGTTGTCAGTACATGCTAGCTTGGTTGTGCAGCCATAAGAAATCAAAATCCACAACCTCGGAATGCGAGTACCAACGCGCTGGTCAACACATGTGTCCGAGAGTCATCCATCCTGGATTCGCGACGCAGCCTCCGGCGCTGGCCTCTGCTCTCTCTTTTTGTGGACAGGGCAAAAAACTGTCTTCAAGGTTCCGGCTCCTGGATCCATCATCATCATCGTCGTCACAAAGTCATGGCCAGCATCCCCTGTCATGTGATAGCTACACTCTAGGCTCGAAACCCTTAGGAAGGCAAACCCCACAAACCCCCCCTCTGAACCTAACATCACATGACATGAAACCCGCCTGAGACCTAGAACCCTGAGCAAGCCCGAAACCCCAAAAAGAAGCCAACATCCAGAGTTGGAGCATTTTCAACCGCGGATATCCAAAACCTGAAACCGAGATCCTTGAAATGGAAATCACCTCGCCTCCTCGTGGCAATCACCGTCCCAGCTCGAAGGCGGCGTATCCACCTGCCCGGAAAAAGCTATACTTCACAACTAAAGAACGTCGCGCAAGTAATAGTACCCTACATAAACGATATGGAAAAGATCATTGTTCCCCCCCCCATATTACATGTGAGCAGAAAATGTGTGAGAATAAGTTTGTGTCGGCTGGATGTGTGCAAATATACATATATATATATATATATATATACTCATGTATTTACCTATTTATGTTTATATTTCCATGTTTATCTAGATTTTTTATAGTAGATAAGAATCGCGAAATAAATATACGTTGGAAAGCAATTATAAACAAATAAATGAATCAGCATATATATATATATATATATATATATATATATATATACATACATACATATGCATATATATATATATATATATATATATACGTGTGTATACACATAGACATACTTATAGAGAACTATAAAGAACTATATAGCTATTTTTGACTATATAATATATATTGTATATACAGCTGCAGAGGTATATATTCACTACGTTTGTTTATGCAACCATATATATATATATATATATATATATATATATATATATATATATATAAACATACACGTATAAATAAGTTATATGCACACAAAAAGATAGACAGATAGATAGATGCATATATGCAGTCATGAACAAACATGTTCATGTACGTGTGTTACGCTATACTCCGATTATTGAGGGCCTTCGGTCTCTACGAGCGATGAAAAGTTGACTGAGTTTCTTGGGAGGTCTCGAAGGCTGCTAAGGGTTGAGGGTGCCAAGCTTGGGGTTTAGCTGTGGGATGTTCTCCTGTTGGAGTCGAAGATTTCCGGTTCCGGGCTGGTTACATGGCTTTGACGTGGCTGTTGTTAGAAATGCCAATACAATTATTGGAACATCCGGGCAGCTTGCACTGAGCAAGGAAAAGACTTGAAGGCGAGGCACGCAACCTGCCACCGCGTCCAGATAGTCCTTATCAAAGCCAATGACCTCAACTGGGTTCTTGCTCCGTCATGAGGACAGCGTATTGTTTACTTCTGTATATCCCTGTCATTCCCTCTCATCAACTACGCTGCTTACCAGCGCTTGGATGGATGCGGACTACGCAGACTAACATGGGAGCGGGACTGGTCATGAAGCGATATGAGGAGCATGTCATTCCCAGCTGCCACACTCGTGTCATCGCATTGCTTGCAAAAGACATACAAAGCTTGAACTCTAGATGTCGTACCCTACCTCCAGCTATGAGATTGTCTGAGGCTGCACCGCCCCAGCCGGAAGCTTTACCCAATCGCCCTACGAGTGACCATTTCATGACGAAGCTACATGAACTGTTGAAGTCCGCGCGACGCTGCTGACCAAACCCCAGAACCCCAAAGCTACATCCGGGAACCCTGTACCATGAAAGACTAGATCGCTAAACTGGCCCCATACGCAACCCTAACTAAACCACTTCACCCCCTTGTGGACAAATAGCATCTCGGTCTGGGAACATCCGGACCACTGCGACAAGCTCATCATTGCCTGGATTCTGGGACTTACATTGGCTCGGACATGTTCTTGGGCTTTGCAGGGATGGTTCCCGAAACAGGGTGACTTCTTAATGAGGGAGATGCTAAGTGGTTCGGCTCTCTTTATCAGGAATTGAAATGCATTCTTGATATTCTTAGAGTCCCCCGATAGAAGGCCAGTTTCAGCCACACCCACATCTTTCACAACTGAGCCTCACATCTTGATCATGGTTCGGAATGTTGGGGTGCAGGGTCAGCTACTCCCCAACCCAGCAGGAACCCAAACCCAAAAAAGGTTTACCCTGAGCCCTCAAGCTCAAAACAACGCTGCAACCTACAAGTGCAGACTCCCGCCACGCTTCGGTCGTAGGAACATACTAGACCAATGCCGACAGCAAGAGCAAGAAAGCCCTGGAAGACTTGGTTTCAAAGCCGTGGCCGCTTTAGCTGGGAGCTGGAACTCGCGACAACAACTTCGGGCTCAGGGGTTTAGGTTTACCCAATGGGATGGCACGGCACCTTTCAGGCCCTCCATGTTCTGCGTCGCTTTAAAGCTCAGGGAAGAATGCTCTCTTCTTCAGGTGCTTCGGGCTGGGACTTCGGGGTGGCGTGTGAGCTTTAGGGATTAAATTGAAGGGACTAGGATTTAGTGGCTGGGGAAAACTGCGGGTTCAGTCCCGCAGCTGCCAGGCCTGGATCCCGAAGTTGGAACCTGGGTCTTTGCTCTGGATTTGCTTCGGCTTTAGGGTTTCGGCATTGGTGCTGAGGGCTCCGGACGCAGCTTAGGGCCTAACTTAGGGCTTAGGGTTTGAGCCTGCGCTCTGCTGGTCTACAATGTGTTGTGCTGGTTTCGAGACGGTGCTGTCGAAAAACACCAGAAGATCACACGGCACGTGCTTGGGCCTCGGGTTGTTGGGACATGTTGGGACACCGAGGCTTGTCACCAGTGTGAAGCCATGACGGCTGCCCTTTGAGACCAAGCAGTTCAAGCCGAGTCCGAAGCAGGAAAACCCAGACCCTGAGGTTTTCTTCAGGAATCAATCAGATCATGTCCAGCCCGTCCTGTATCCAAAGCTGTTGAAAGACATGTGGCCTGCTCGGCCGAAAACCAGAAGGAACGTTTCTTGGTGGGTTTTTTATTGCCCGATACAGACCACATATCAAGCGGAGGCAGATCCAGGCAGTCATCTCTGAAGTCTATAAACCCCGAGTCCGAAATGGAGCAGCGAACACGCAAGCCTCAACCCTGAAACCCTAAGCCCTTGACTCCACACGCAACTCAGAAGTGGCTTTAAGTTTTTAGTTTAAGAGCTGGCAAGCAGCACATGGTCCGGGTAGGTTTGGAGCGACACCGCCTCCCCATGAGCCAATCGACCTTGGAAAATGGAATGAGCGGGGCAGATCTTTCCAGGCATATGCAGAGTAGGTTCAGAGGATAGGGGTTGGGAACTGGTTGACCAATTGCAGGCGTAGTGCTTTTGCATGATCGACAATTTATTTGACCATGATACCCATAAGGTTACGTTACCGAAGGGATGACATATCTCAGAGCCCGAATTGCATGACTTTGCACGGGCTGCTATAAATAGGGTTCCAAATAGCTTGAAACTGTGGCATAGCAACGCCACGACAAATGTTTACCGTTTGCTCCACCGTTGTCCGTAAACTTTCTGATCTAACCATGCAGGTGGAAAAGAGGTGTCAAAACAGCTCTTTTCCCAAGCCCTATTGGCCCTATTCCCTTAGGTGATTATCACCAGAACCAAGCTACTTGTAGATGCCGGACCCGGAAACCCTACAGCCCACTCCGAAAAAATCCCGTATTGAGGAGCCCGAGTAGAATTTACAGGCCGAATCATTGGTGAAAGGATTCCAGGACTTCTGGGAAGTTGAACACCCCTACTGACTCAGACATGAATGCGTCGAGGATGCTCAAATTCTCAACCGCACAGCCCACCGTGTCTTAACTGACGACCGAACACTGGGAGTCATGACAGGAGCAGCAATTGGAGGCCTAACGACTCAAATAATTACTGGCTGGAACAGTCATCACAAGAGACATCATGGTAACAACAGTGAGGACGTGGCCCACATGTGTGTGCTCTTCATCCGGGTCAGGATGGATGAAATACCTTGGCAGTGGTGTACTTGGCGAGAACCAAAGTCTACAACCACGAGATTGAGGATCCTTTGCCAAAGGAGGACTACATATTCACAGACTTGCCAATACGGGATTTGGGTGGATGGCATCTTCCATCATGAAAGAAGAATGCGCCCGCACACACGGCAAAGTCAACGAAGAAATGACGTCACGTCTCCGCGAAGCCTGAGCCTTAAGCTTTTGAGGCAAACACAACATCCGCGAATAAAGCCAGTGTATGCATTAGATGCCAAAGGAGAACTGCGGTAGATAAGACACTACTGTGATGCCGCTGCTACTGGTGATGGTGTGGCGGCAGCATCGACACTCTCAAATTAAGGCATACAGGTACGTCACTGAGCCGTTGTCCTGTCTACCTTATGGAATTCCTTGTCGAGGTGATGAGATTGGACCAGGATTTGACAAGGATTTTTGCTAGCTTGCAAGTTGGGGCAGGTGTTCATTTTTCCGTAAGTGGTAATTACCTTGAATTCTCCACCTTGCCCTTCGTTCCGTGGTTCAGTTGGCATTTTACGTAGCAGCAGGCTGCTGGCCATCTTTCTATGCCCAGCACAAACGATACGGATCACACGTCGCATGACCTTGGCTATCATCATGATACTGACTGACGTCTGACGTCTTGGCACTGTGGCAGCGGTAATAACCACATAGTAGTAGCTGCATAACGCTAGTACTGCTAGCTTATCTTCGCCATGCGGGTAGTTACATCATGGTATTTCCATGTGCTTGTCAAAACGATTTCTGCCAATACTATATCCGGCAGCAACCATGCATCTTGACTACAACAGCAATCACAACCTCGACTCTGGACCACCACCAACAAACCCAACAAGCCTCTAAGCCCTTTTGGCAGCCAGGAGCGCAGGTCCAAGGGACCTCTGTCCTCCAGAAGGTGCCAGAAGTTGCCTCGTTGCTGAGACCAGCAGCTGGCCATGGAACCTAAGGGCCTGAACCCTGAACCCCAAAACTGAAACCATGAGCCCTAAACCATTTGCTTCATGCAGGAGACGCAGCCGGCATTCCTGCATGGTTAAACTTCAATGCAGGCCCTGTGCTTCCGAAGATCTTTGCAGCAGATGGTTTGAGGCACAGGCTCGTAGTTTAAAGGGGGCGTTTGGGATGTAGGGTGCGGACTAAGCGTTTGACTTTAAGTGTAAGACTCAATTTCACCAGAGTTCAGAAGAACTGAGACATTGCACATCGGCGCGGCTTTTAACTTTCCTGCCAAGCCGCATTGCAGGCCGCCCGCTGCCTAGTCTAGTCGGATACCAGGCTCTCATGGTAGAAACGGTACTGGCAGCAGTAATTGGAGTACTGTTCTTCCTTTTCAAGAAAAGTCGCAATAGCTCTTGGAGTAGCAGCCACAGTCGGAGAGTTGCTGTTGCTGCAGTGACACCCGTCATCATCATCATCATCGCCACCATCACCATCATCATCAGCATCAGCACCACCACCACCATCATCATCATGCTCAGTAACGGCACGAAGCTTGCTCGACGTGACCTCATCTCAACATATCTAGAGTCTGAGTCTGCTGCAGTACAGCACTGACGGCAAGTCCAGCAGTATGAATGGTTCGTCAAGGGTTTCGCTTCGCTTGGAGCTCATGCCATCCCTTAGATATCTTAGGCCCTACACCGAAACCACTAGCGAACTCTGTCCGGGGCACGGCATGCTCCGCATCATCTTCCACCGAGCAGAAGGCCTCGTCAGGGCTTCTCGGGGCTTGTTACGATCTTGATGCTTCTGCTTAGCATTCTCCTACATGCCCCTGGACAGACTGATTCCACAACCCCAAGATCCCAGCAGACTCGGAACAATCAGTCCAGAACTCCCACTTGGTTTCGGGACATCGGCCACCAAACCACAAAACCTGAACCCTGCACTTTGGCACCTCAACCCCAACCTGACTCTCGAAGAATTTCAGAAGTGCGAGTCGTTGGGGTTTAGGGTTTGGTGCGGGGCCGTAAGATCTGGGGCTTGAGAGATGATGTAAGATGCAGGAACGTGCTTTTGCACTTGAGGGCTGAGGTTCACTAACAGAGGCGCCTGAACATAGGGTTTCGGGGGAAATTTTTTATACTCTACTCTACTTATTTGTGGGACCCTAAACAAATCTTTAGTTACATTCGTACTTGATTATACTTACTTGCAAAGGAACTGCTTACTTAGAAACGAGTTTGCGATGAGCCACCTCCAAGTTCGCATCATGGCCGGGTTTTTGAGAATATTCCAGGTATAAATCCGCCGAAGTTAATCACAGTTCAGGAGGAATTCTATGAAAGCTGAAGAACCCTTTGGAAAGGAAGCCAAGCCTTCAAGCACCCGAAACAGTTGCCACTGACTGCTAGTCTGCGAAGGCTTCCCTTCCGCACCTCGCTGGCGTTCGCCGCTGAGCAGGAGTGAGGCGTGCAAATGCCGCAGGAGAAAGGGCAGCTCTTCTTGTAGAAGTCCTGGGAAACCGCGAAACCCGTAGCCTCCGGATCCATGGAGCCGGAAATCTGCGCCAAAGCCTGAATTCTAAACCAAAACTCCTGTGCTCCCTTGTAGAAGCAGCTGACAATGCTCTTACAACCCGTATAGAAAATACTATCTTAAGAACTAAAAAGCCCCGAAGCCCTGCACCGGAAGTTGACAGTTCAGGTCTCGGAGTTTGCATCGCAATTCGACAGAGACTTCTTTCCAAATGATCGCGATCAAAAGCGTAAACTCTATTCAAGCTGTATCCGTCTTATCGAACATGTCATCGTGCGCCCAAATATTCCTTCCACGCCATTAGTCCGTTCCTCCTACGTTGATGGCAGGCTTGGAGCGTAGAAGCTTAGAGCATAAGTGTTGGGGCTTCGGCCACCAAGCTGCGCCATCATCGCAGCGACCTTCCAGTGACCAAGCATAGCACAGGTTGCTGGCGTCCCCGCACCTCCTTTGCACCACGAAGGCTGTCAGAGGTGGCTGTTTGACCATCTGCTCTAACTCCCCCTGCTGCGATTGACCCGGGCGTCGATCGGAACTTGCAATGTGATGTCAGCATGTCCGAATCACACCGTACTCGCAATGGCAAAGACAGTATAACACAACACGATACCGCTCAACGCTTTAATGCTCTTCCGCCCTGCCCTGTTAACAAGTCGTTGTATTGACTGACTATCTTGGAATCGAACCGCACACTCGAACTAAGCCCTCTACCCTGTAGCCAAGTCAGGCCGCTCACCGGCTTGGACGAGGGTGGCCAGCACAAGCAGCGACCACCTCAGGCAACGAACAAGACCGCACTGGGTAGCTTAGGCAGAAATCCTCTCCTAGAGTTATCGAACACTAAGACAGGTGTTTCTACAAAATACTTACTGCCATTGTAGTTTATATGATCATTACGATTGAGAGTGCTGCTAGCTACCCCAACTGTTTTGTAATGGTCTGTCTTGAAGCCTCCGTCACCTCGAAGTCTGCAGTAAGGGGCATTTGCAGCATAACCAACATGATCGAAAATACTTCACCGGCCCACACATCGAGTTCCTACAACATACGACGCTCATGCATGATAGGGTGCAGTTTGCCCCCTCCTGAGATGTTGCCCTGAAATCAATACCTGAAGCTTGAAACCGGAGATCTAGAGTTGGCGTCCGGGCCCGAGATTTCAGGCTTGGACTCAAACCCAAAATCCAAACCCTGCAGCCCCCAACCTTGAAAGCCCAAACCCGAAAGCCCTGAACTCGGAATCGCAAGATCTCGAATCTTGGCAGTGCTCTGCTCCCAGCCTCGTCATCCGCCTTTCAAGGGCAGCGGCTAGACGGCCACCTTCTGCTGCATTGGGGAAACCAGTGCCTTCCGCCCTTGACACTGAGCCACTTTGCGAGTTCCAAATATACACTTGGGATTTGGGGCTGAAAAGCTTGAGGATTAATCCTTCATGGCTTAGGGTTGAGGGCCTACAACCAAGCTCCATGATCCGAGTGTTCGCGGGTTAAGACTCTGTTGGTTCAGGGCCTCGGTGTGTGGGTTTAGGAATTTTTGGGGGGGCCCTCTAGACGATCAATGCATTTCGGGCTTGAGGTGTTGCAGGGCTTACAATTTTCCGTCCGGATCCTGAAACCGGGCTGGTTTCCAAACAGGGCAACTTACGGAATGAACCTATAATTGCTAGTAGATAAGCTAGAGCTGCGCCAAGAAGATCATTACACAGTCCGTGCTTTTGATTATGAGCATGCGGGCTACTTAACACGGAGCAGGACTGCCGCTGCGATGTCAATTGCCAGTGCCATGGTTAGTTCTTGTTGCTAGTACTTTGTCTTTTATGTTGTTTGGTTGGCACATATAGTGAGACGGCGCAAACGGACGCCTTGACCCCAAACCCGAAACCTTCAACCCTAAGCCCTTGACCCCATGAATACCGTGGCTCTTCCGACCTGTGAAGGTGTCTCGGGGGCCACTGCCATAGCTCCGGCAATGCTTCCCATGGCCACATCACCGGCGGTGCAAAGTTGATGGGACTTCGGGCGTTGGAATATCATTCTGGGCTAGGTTTATAGGGCTTTGGGATTTCGAAGTCCAGGATTCAGGGTCAGGCTCGAGGTTTCGGGCCTGGGGCTTTAAGGTTTTCATGTCTACATGTCCTTTGTCAGGCGCACTCTTGCTACGCATTGCGCTGAGTTGCATGTCATCCGCATTTCCCTGCATGAATGTTTCTGCATGCAGACATGAACAAACAAACCCTGGCTTGTCTCCAATTTCTGCATCGGTACAGTCGTGGGACCCCTGGCAAGCTTTAGGGTTCGACTTTGGATACAGAAACAAGAGCCCTGAGCCCCGCCCAAAGCTCAAAGGCTACAAAGCCCATCAAAAGCGCGGTCCGGTCGCAGCTGAGCTCCCCGGCGCCTTTAGCTCGTCCAGGCGCCTGCAGCGTGTAAAGTTAAGGCGGGCCCGCCTCAAAAGCCCTTCAAGACCCTGTGAAATCGCCTGGAATCGCCACCACTTTTGTTTGCAGGTCCTCCTGCCGAACCACCGTGCCTAAGCCTTATAACTACAATCACACCAGCGATCATCGGTGGATCTCGAATACCTGGCACCAGACACACCAAGACTATTGCTTGATTAGCTTGGTTTGTGTACGTGGCCGGGCATATTTGGCGCATATCCGTGACACCCAGGCCCAGAAACTAGAAAGCTGGAAAACAAAAATGTGCCTCAACGCTTCCTTGCCAGCCAGCTGTCGCGCTGCGGCTGTGAAGGCTACAACCTGCAAGTTCTCTAAGTTTTGGCTTTCCGGCTCCAGGATTGATTTCGCCGGCTTGGGGCTTGGAACCCTGACAATTGCGCTGAGGCTTCTGTTTTGAAAGATCTTTGGCATGAACTCCAGCATAGAGGTACTGGGACTCATACTTTAGGATGCAGACAAGCAGCAAAAGATAAAACAAGTCAGTGCTGAGGGGACACATACCAGCCTCACTAACATCATCATCAGGAGATTCTTCGCCAGCAGCTGGAGCAGAAGCATCTGCAGAAATTCAATCAACAGCAGCGGCACCATCATTGTCATCGACATCACGATCATCATCCCGACCATCTTCATCACCGCCAGCAACCTGTCATCCTGCCGCTGCTACTGCTGCTACTGCTGCTACTGCTACTACTCCTACTGCTGCTGCTGATACCGCGACTTCCGCTTCCAAATTCCAAAACCCTCGACGTAAAACTCCAAAACCACAGCTTTTAAACTTCACACCAAACCACACCGCCTAAACCCTATGAACGAATCATCGATCCAGAACCTAAAGCCGATCTAATTACACCCTGAACCCCTATCCCTCCCCGTAGATTGCAACGCTATCAAACCACAAATATAGGAGCCTCAATGCCTGTACACTGAGGCCCCATGTCAAAGGCCTCTTTGGGAGCCCGCCGGCCCCGCGTGGAAGCGTTCGATGCCTCATAAGCGCGCCAATAATTTAAGGGTTTGGACTACAGAATTCTCGATCGAGGGACAAAGGAGATAGGAGTCTAAGGCCTGTAGGGTCTCTGGGTTTTGGCTTGGGGTAAAGTGTCTTGCGATTTAGATCCGACAAAGGGCCGAAGGATTTGGGAGTTTAGGGGAATTGCCCCTGTAAACTTCAGTCCTGAAGATACCAAGCAAGATCAAAAGGGCGAAGCATACACCACACTCCAAGTATTTTTACCCTATGGAATGTGAGCAGAAGGGAGCGGCTGTAGACATACCATGGCTTTTTTGTCTCACCAGACATAGCTTCTTGGGGCAAAAGACTCTGAGAAGAAGCAGAACTCTAAGTAACTACGTACCAGGGTTCAGGGTCGATCCGTGACAGATTAACACACTTTGCCATAACCGCTTGCACGATCCTGTGCAGCATATTTGCTTATCGCCCAATCGACCTTGGGAAGCTTGGCTCGGATCCTTCCCAAACTGCTCATGAGCTGATTCTTGCTGAGGGCCGACTCGGAAAGCCAACGTGCAACAATGCAGTCTCGCCCGAAAGGGGGAACTGCAAACACCATTCTGTCAAACCCAGCTTATGGTTCTTCCTTCTGGGACTATAGGCGAAGGCTCCATGTTAAGCCCATACACAGAACCCCGCGCTGATGTCGCGACCTGCTGCGCAGTGCATATAGCATGTCGTCGACTGCTTCAACAAATTGCACATTACTGAGACTCAAACCTATCCGCACCCATCATTTACCTCCGAGCAAGTTCAATAGTCCGTGCCGACTGGCAAAATGACCTTCTGCAGTGCAGGTGATCAAAGATCTATCGGAGTGAAGGAAGATGCGAGAAGTCGAGAAGTCTGCGCAACTGAGGCTGCGCTGGTCCAAGGGCGGAAGCACGACAGTAGCATTTGTGGTATTCGTGAGTTCGGGAAACGTGAACGACAGCAAAGTCGCAAGAAGACAAACCGAGAATGAACAACTTGATGTTTGCCAAGCCGCGACCCTCAGCCCCGAACCCTAAGACCCCAAACACTGAACCTCTTGCACAGCTTCGGTGTCTGATCCTAGTTCGTGATTCTCTTAGGCCGTCGCTGACCTGCGAAGGGCACTCCATCGCATCAGGAAGGCATCGAGCGCTGCCAAGTCACGCTTTTTGGCTCTGCGTTTCCACAACCCCCCCCGGCTACTGCCTAGAGTGGAACCGCTATGTCAGTTTAGGGAGACGGTATCACACTGTTGGTGTACACAATGAAGGGTTTCCTTGGAAAGACTACCGCAAAAACTCGAATCTCAGCACATCTGCAAACAGAGGGATGGTGACGATCCGTGACCACATGCCTTTCCAAATGGTACTTGTCCCAAAACCCGGGTACGGCAGATCTTTGGAACCATGCATTGGTGAGTGCAGGCTTTTGTTCTTCAGTTCATAAAAAACTCTCTCTCTCTCTCTCTCTCTCTCTCTCTCTCTCTCTTCCTCTCTTCTCAGGGCGCTTAGGGTTTGGGGGGTTTTTCTGATCCAGGGCGCTGCGCTTGGATGCTCTTTGAAAGGAGCCTGATGCTGTCCTCGGAAGGAAGCAGACTCGACATTTCAGGGGCTTCTGAAGTCTCTATGGGGAGTCTTACAATAAAGAACCTACCACGCACGGTCAAAAGTAGTGAACTATGTTCTCTTTTCGACCGTTCTTCTTTAGACATGCTTCACACATCAAAGTTAGGGATATCGTAAACATCAAGTGCATAGAGTCTGCCATTGAAGCTTTCGTCTGAGTTATTAAGGGCTCTGAGTACAGAGCTGTTGAGTGAAGCTCATGGACGAAAAAGGCAGCGAAATCTACTCTCGGATGAAAAGCACGGAGAACACCTGTCCACAACAGCCCCACAAGCCTTCGAGATCTGATGTAGAGTTTTTTCTACTGCTTCAGAGCGAAACTACGTAATAATGCGAACCCGAAATCATGCTCCCTAACCCAGAACCATGCTTTTTGACGTCGATGCCGACGAAATGCAGTTGTCCATTCTGCCTGTACAGCCTGGCAAATCTCAGGCCACCGAGCTCTTCTGCCATCCGGCTCTGAACAACAACTTTTCGGGTCTAAGGATCCAAATATCGGGGCTTTTGGACCCACAAGCCGTAGAGTGCAAGGTCTTCGGGTTGAGTTGCACCTTCAGGGACACGAAGCACAGCTCAGCCTCTCGGCTGCCGCGCCGTTCTGGTTTCCATTTTCTGTCTTATGATAGCGTCTCCAATCGACACTAATGTTGGGGACTGACACTTCATACAATAGCAAACGCAGTGATTTGCTTTTAACCAGGGACACACCGTGCCAGTCCCAACCCCCGTTCAACTCAAACCCTAAACCCAAGACCCGAAACCCTAGGCTGTAAATGAGCATCAAAATTTCTGCTTGGCTGGCCAGTCGGAGCTTCGAGCAGAAGAACATGCTACATAAGTGCTGCGGACTGACAGCAGCAAGAGCTGTACATACAAGACATGCAGGCGTGAGATTAGGATTTTTGCTTTCGGGGTTGGTTAGCGGCTGAGAGGTTGTTGAGCCAGGGGCTGCCAGTGAGTGGCCAAAATGTGTTGGAAATCGCAAGATGACGCCGCGAACATACATCTCGTGCGTCTCAAGCCAGGGACTGTGAATCAACGGTTTAGGGTTGATGTGTGAGGCATACAGAGTTTATCGGGTTTAAGGCTGCAGGGCTACCTGGGTACCTAAAGGATTCTCGTCGATGCAGCATCAAGGTAAGAGAGTGCCCGCAGTTACACGGGAGGCAGCTTCGGCACTGGAAGAACTGCAGTGGCGTGAAGCTTTCAGGTCCCAGGTATCACTCAGCTGTCCAAGACCCGTCTCTCTCTCACAAGCCCCGGTGCACAAAACCAAAACAATGCCTCCCTCATTCCTCGAGGAATGGATGGATTGCTCGGTGGTCTAAATGCTCCACAATCGACAGACCACCATAGAACCCTACCCTGTACCCTACGCCGTTACGGGCCTGGGGCTTTCAGTTTCAATTCATCATTCCTCCAGCTGGAGGCTCCCTGATCCCGGCGACAAGCGACACCCACTGCAAAACAAGAAAACCGAGAATACACTCTGACCAGTATACAATCGAAGCCCAGATAAACCCTGCATGGTGCACGCCAGGATCTTGCCACTGAGTTTCAAGGACTTCATTCCGGGAACCCTTATTTGTGAAGCCTGGGCTTAAGAGCCTCTTGGGATCGAACAGCAGTCTAATCAGGTACTGTATGATGGGAGCTGCTTGCAACATAAACGTTCGATCCTCTTGCCTACCTCGCCCTATAACTCCTGACAGCATCTAATGACCACCGAACTTGTTTCGGTGGAGTTGAGCTTCGTCCGCGCACCGCAGATCTTCGAGCCAAAGGGCTTATGACGACTGCTCAGCGGCAGCCGTCTCCCCTCCGCGGAGGATTGACAAAGGCCTTAGCGTCGGGTCATTGAAAGTAAGGGCTGCGCAAATACAAAAACAAATTTTGTTTAGCCCGATTTAAGAGGGGTTTAGCACAGCGGAGTTCGCAACTACCGATCCTATTATTTTGCGGTCTACTCCGAGCCAAATTTTCTGAACAAGTTGTACAATGTGTCGATGCATCCAGAGCTGTGTCCAGGGAGAACAACCCCAAATTAGCGATCATGGCAAGACATCCCGTGAGGAGACCTAGACTCCCCAAGGGGGCCCATTGGAACGGAGCTGAACGCAAAACACGCAACCTCGCCGTTGCACCCTTCTCTCGGCTACTTCAAATATTCCTCTACAAAACATGCAGGAAACCTGATTTCGGAAACTACGCACTGAGCTGCAGCCTGCGCCCTATCTAGCTTGTCTCATGGATGCTTATAAGCAAGATGGAAGCTATCAGATCTACTACTACAAATAACGATGTATCCCCTGAGATGCTTGACGAGGACCTGCCGGCAAACTGGCACTGCCACGTCTTACTGCATGCCTGCGATAGTCATGGTAAACATGCTGGCACCGGCAAATAATTTTAAAGATGCAGTAAGGAATTTCCCAGTATATAATCATTAAGTGGTGACTGCAGCTGCGCTCTTGCTTCTCGAAGGTTTTGTCAAGAGAAGCGATGTGCCCTATGAATACTATGAAGTAGAGAGCGTCTACTGCTACGTTCCACGTGTTCATGCTGCTGTGTAATAAATTCAAGCAGCTCTACTGCAGAACCACTCTTCAACCTGACCAAGCCTGAGCCGTTGTAAACCTGATGCCGATCACGCAGAGTGGCTTTTGTCGAAAGCCTTTCAAGCGTCGAATACGCTCAAAACATGTCGCCCGAACCCTGTTTCCAGCCCCCCAGCCAAGCCGTCCAGAACAAGCGCAACGCCCAAACAAGTTGTATCTTCTGCAGACATTGATACAACAAACGCAACCCCTCCAGGGCGAAGGCAACCACCGCGTGGCCAGGCTCACAGGGCTGTAGACAAGACCAGAAATGCTGGAAACAGCCTCAGAGGTTTTGGGTTTGGGGTGTTGTGATTGTTGTTTAGGGCTCGGTGATTGAAGGTCTATTCGGCAAGCGTTTATAGGGCTTGGGATGTATTCAGGTTTCGGGCTTGCGGTGTTAGGATTTGCAGTGTCGCATACTCCGCAGTAAAATCTACAAGGCATGGGCCACCATGACAACAGAACATGCCTGTGTTCGGTGGAAGTGTGATACAAGATGCACGAGATTCCAGCCAGCTTCAGTCACAGAAACCACATGTGCAACTAAACCCTGAACTTGTTTGAAAGAAAACATGACTCTGGGCTTTGAACACCCTGATATGTTGAACACTGTAAGCTTGCTGCGTCCCTCAGACACCGTACCTCACATCTTGAAGACCCAATTTCCAATGATCGAACCTGAAGAAGGACCGTCATGCTGGAAATGAAATGGTTTCCCGGAGGTCTGGGTTCAAAGCAGTTAGGGCCGGGGCAGTAAGGTCTTCTTGCGGCTATCCCCAAATCAATGCTGGCGAGATGCCGCCGCAGCAGGGCCTTCAGCCAGGCTCGAGCTCATGACACCCAGTGCATCGCCTTTGAGGATCCCAGTTGGGTTGGGGTCTCGCTTCTATGATGTCTTTCGGGTTTAGCTGTTCGTGTTTCGGTTGACGACGGGTGAGGAGTCAACGATCCGGGTTAACGGTCGAAAGAAAAGGGTTGGCAACGCTTTAGGCTGCACATTCAAAATAAGGGCTTCCCGGACCGCTGTGGTCCCAGTCCTTGCGGTTTAGGGAGTCCCGGGAGTTTAGTGGCATGGCGGCATGGGGGTCTTTATAGGTGGCGTGGAGCTGAAGATATCGAGCTGAAGATCTCGAGGTTGCAAGGATTTCAAGCTCGCGTCGGTCTTTCGAGCTGGTGGCTTCGGTGAAGTCAAGTGAGGATGTACGGAACACGGGCTGGGATCAACGAACCAAGACCTCAGACATAACAGTTAACAGCACCCCACCTTTAGCAGTTCCAGCAAGATTAGCAAACACACGGCCGCAACACGGTTTTGGGGATTTGCATGCGAGATGACATGAAGGCTGCTAGAACTCAAGGATCATCTGGCCATGACATCGCCACGGGAGTTGCAGTCAAAAGCTTGAGGCGACGAGAAGCCATGCTATGAAACCTCGCAGGTGCCCTCGGAGACTTGAGGGTTGCACGCTTTGTGCGTGGAAGGGTTTAGGAGATAAAGGCGAATCGGCATCTGTACCCTAACCGCCACTAGAGATATGTGCTGCGAGTCACGACAGGCTGCATGGCAACCGCCGCGAAGACCCAGCGAACGGTATTCGGCGACGTGTCTGGCAGCGGCACTAATGACTCATGACAGCGATTGCCAAACTTGGTCCTAGGAGTATGTTGCAGGCATTTAGGGCTCGGAGCTGGTATATCCTTATTTGCATCAGTGGCAGTCGGAAGACATGTGGCTTTCGTGAAAGGATGCTCATGCTTCTGACCGCAGTGGCCGAAGGATTAAGCGAGGCCATTTGATATTCTGATTGCTGAATGCTAACAGTTCGGACAAATCGTGCGAATCCCGCGTAAGCATGTCCGCAGGAAAGTCTCAATGACCAAACCGCACCAAAAACTGTCTGCGCACATGCCATTGCGAGTGGTGCTGTGCCTGGCCGAGATCGCGATGCACTCTACCGAACGTCCAGAGGAGGAACGCAGCAAGTCCACCTCTGCGGCATCGAGGGAAGACCGATGGGGGTCGAAACAAGACTATTTTCGCTTAACATGGCGGCAGCAAAACATCAATGAAAAGGTATTGGATTTGTAATGCTCAGGTGCTGCGAAACCTCTGATTACGTGGCGCGGCATGAACGAGGAGATCGTTTCCAACCGATCGTCGGGAGTTTCTTGAATTTTCTGTGGCTCTCGATGGTTCTCGTCCCGGATTTAGACTGTTGCTTTGCTCTAAGAACCAGCCCGAGGGCATGAAGATGAGGATTAGAGCTTCGGCATGCTGGGTTTGAGAAACTGGTGGATCTTTTCGCCGACTGCGAAGCTATCTGGATACGACTCAAGGGCCCTAACGGCAGCGGGATATATATACAGTTAACACATGCATGTCATGGTCATGGCTTCCTGTACATGTACAACAGAGGGTGCATTCACACTCAACCTGTTCTCATGCCATGACATTGAGGAGAATCAGAATTAACCACATGAGGTACAATAGGCATTGTCCTCTGGAAGTGGTGTCTGCATGCTACCCTAGCACCGACTCAGCTACTATGGTACATACAAGGTATGCCCACGATTGTAGCGTCTGCAATCTACGTCTACAGCTTAGCTCGACTAATGCTGTATTCACCAGATTCAATCACCTTTATGATGAAATCCGGTTTCATGGACTTTGTGAAACAATCAGCGGCTTGAGTGGCTGTATCAACCCAGTCCACTCTGTCTCCACCCGCAGGATAGGCTTCAACCGTGCGCTTCCCGTCTTCTGTAAAGATAGACTGGCGAAGAGCGCTAAGCTCGATTTGCAATCGCTTGTCTTGCACACGGGACGGAGCCTCCGTGTTGAGGTGATCGGCTAAGCTGCGGCAGTCCGTCAGCGCTATGTGCGGAACCTGTGTTCTCGCACGAAGTTCCCAGTCGGGACCACTACTACCGAATCCGTAGATTTCGGCTAGGGCTGCTCTTATGCGATCCCCTGCCTCTTGGGCACTTTGGAGTGCGTAAGTCTCAGCCTGAAGAGTTGCTCTGCATACTCTTTTGATTGTGGTGGATGAAAACGACACGATCATTGTGTCGTAACGACTACAATTTGGATCGCGGAGCTGGGCAGCTGGAGCGAGAAAATGGATCCGTCCTTGTTGTGATCGGTCTCCCTTTTCACCCGCAAAACTAGCGTCTGAGGCTGTCAGTACGCCCAGGCTCTCGAAATCAAAAGCACCATTTTTATATCTTAACTTAAGGTCGCGACCCTTTAAGGCAAGTTCTAAGACCTTGTTAGCCTCATGGAGAGTGCTAACAGTTGCACCTTTTATCGAGCTCTGAAGCTTCGATACGCGGTATAGGATATCTGGCCTAGCTTGCCTAGAAATGCACGAAAGGCTGCCGACTACAAAACGTAGCTGGCGTTCTTCACCTCGGTCAATAAGATCCGAGTGTTTCCTTCCTGCCTTGACGTCAATGTAGGTGATCTTGTTTGTGTTATCGGTAACGTCGATTAACACGTCCTTTCCTGATATGTCGAACTGTTTACCGCAAAAGCGTAGTCTTCCCGACTCGCGGCGGCCTACTTCGAACTTCTTTAGGAGTTTATCTATGATAGTTCCACCCTTGCCTATCGATGCCCATAAAAAGTCATCGACGTGTGTTGTCAAGACACAGACTACTTTTCCGGCGGCGCGGTAAAAGTAAAATGCAGGGAAAATCCTGCTTACCTGGAAGCCGACTTCACGTGCTTCTCGGTCGACTTTCCTCCAAAATCCTCGGCCGCTATCGCAGAGCCCGTATACCGGTACTCTGATCAGGAGCATCGCTTCCGGATCTACTCCTGGAAGTCCTCCGCCAGGTTGTCTCATAAGTACAACTCTGTCTATTGGCTCGGCCTGAAAGTAGGCGTTGCGAATATCTGACGATTCTACAGGGACTCCATTGGAAGCGGCGAACGCTGATACTAAGCCATGCGTTTCAAGGTCTGAGGTTGGCGCGTCCGTGCGAACCTCTGTGGAATCTTCAAAATTTCCACAGGACACCAGTCTGGATTTGAACTCAGGTTCATAATCCGGCTTAAGACGTTCATGGTAGTTCTTAATAGTGTCGACCCATTTAGATGGTATCGGCGTATGACCGGCGTCTAATAGTTCCTTAAGCTGCGCTCCTTTCAGCGGAATTGCCGCTTGAAAGTCCTCATATTTCTTCCACTCCTTAGCGCGTGATCCATCGATCCGCAAGCGGACTGCTGGGGTGCATTCCCAGTATTTCAAGGCCTCGGGGAGGTCCTTGAGCTCCTGCTCAACCTGTTCTCTAGAAGAGAACCGGTTAGACCAAAAGCCACGGAGTTTCTGTCGAATACTCACGTTAGCTTCCTCCTCGTGTCTACGTTCCTCAAAACGTGACCTAATGGGAGCTGGCAGATCGTCCAGGAGGTCTGATCTGCTTCCCCTTCTGCTAGGATTAGGGGTTCTTTCTGCTTCGGGTTCAGCTGTGCTGACCCGCCGGGATCTCGAAGAAGATGCTGGTGGAGGTGACCTAGATCTACCTCTCTCTGGTCGCTCTGGTTGCTCAGTCATCTCCTCATCCTCGAAGATTGATGAGAGTGGTCCTGGGCCGTCCAGAAGACCATAAGATGGTTCTTCGACTTCCTCTTGAGGTGCACCTCCCGAAGGTACTTCTTCGGGCTCCTCGTCATCGATGTCACCACCAGGTGCATCTCTAAGATCCTCGAAGTGTTGCTGTCCGCGCACCAGTTCTTCTGGCAGCACGGGTTCCCCTTGGAGAACTGCATGTGCAAGTGCCTCCGCATCTTGCGCAGGCCTAAGATTCTGTGCGGACACTAGAACCGGCACGTTCTGGCACAAAACCCACACGCTCTCGTTCTGGCTACCCTCAAAACCGATTACTCTAGACGCGGTAGACCAAACAGTTTTACCCGTTTTATCCCGCCTAAAGCAAACCACGTCTCCTACCGAGTACGTGTACGGCAGCGGTTTCGCATTCCTGAGAAGTGCACGCTGCACGCGTTTTGAGGTGTCCAAATGGACAAAAGCCTTCTTGGCTTCCGCTCTCGCCTGGTGGATTAGTGCAAAACGGCTTTCGGGATCAACCTGGTCGTTTAACGATCCAAGGTCAGCGGCATTATCCTCCTCTACCAAGGATGGAGGCCCACGCGGTGTCTTACCGAGTACCCATTGAGATGGGGAGTACCCTCCATGTCTCAACATGCTATTCTTGGTGAGGCAACACTCATCCAAGACTGTCTGTAATGCCACTTCCCCTACGGCCTGTGTTTGCGATACTACCTTTCTAGTCATCGCTTTCAGGATTCCGCCGTGGCGTTCCACTCGGCCAATCGACTCGGGTGTTTCCAATGGCGCGTGGTGTACTTGAATACCATGAGCCGCGCAGAATTGCGCCAGTACCCCGCGATTATGTAACCCACGGTCGCACCGTATAATCGCCGGCATACCAGCCCATGCGGTCCAACGGCGTTGGATGGCATCTAGACACCGTGCTGATGAAGGCAACCCGTCGCCTACGCGTACGGTCTCTGCAAGTTGGAAGCACGTTCCTAAACACACCATATTCATAACTTGGTACTTAGTGCCTTGTGCATCTAAGCATTCAAAGATATCGATACCTAGGGCGTGATTAAAGGAATACCGTTCCGGCATGGATACGGTGTGTGCGTTCCTACGAGGCTGGGCGTCCTCGCACTCATTGCACCTATGAAATTGAGCCGCCTCTATATACGACTTATCGATTCTAGCGGTCCTTAAGAGGTTAACTAGAACCTTCTTTGGCCGAATTGGCGGTGTAACCGTCGGATCGCTACGCGTATCCGCTGTGGCACTGCTCGCCATTTCGCGCGGCGCTCGGACTCCTCTATACGGGTAATCCTCGCAAATCGACGTTGTCGAGGCGAGTTTCCTCTTCGATGGCCTCCTCGGAGGGGTCCATCAAAGCGAAATCGCGTGGTTCTTCCACCTGATCGAAGGGTTCTTCGTCAGCCTCAAGAGCCGGAAAGGCTTCTTGGGAAACAAGTGCAGTAGCTACTTGATGTTCTGCTATTTGTCGAAGCCACACAACGAAATCTACGGAAAACACATTGTCAAAACTCAACGGCGCCATATAGGGATAACTATTTGTGGTCCAGCCATCAAATACATCCATAATGCCATTGTCGTTGCCATAGTAGGAAATGTCGCCTACTCCGTATACAGGTTGAATAGGGATGCTAGCTTCCTGCCACCTATAGGTTTGGGCACTGTCCACCAATAGGTACGGTGTCCCGGACGCCTCGGAGTGGCTAACAACTTCATCTATGAGGTCGGAGTGATTAAGGCCATCTATCGGGTCCTTATACCTTATAGCTACTATGACTAAGCTAGGACCCACAGACTGCAACTCCTTCCTGGCACCGCTTGGTGTCCAGGTGCTCGTGGCGTTCAGGCCCACGTTGATGCAGTGGATCATTGGGTCCTGGAAGTGTTGGGGTTCGCTAGTGAAAACAACGATGTGCTTAGGACCGACGGTGGTTCCTATGTTGCTTACATCTAACAGGCGCTTAAGGGCCTTGTCGTGGTCCCTTAATTCGTTGATACCCTTGGTTATCAACTTACGCCTCCCTTTACTCAACACTGCCATTGAGCACACAGATTTAAACCCAGCACTAGTTGGGGACTCCGAAGCGATTACTACTCCCTCGTCGCTATGCTCCTTTTTCAAAGTGAGGTTTAGCTGACGGGCAATAGTTTCGGATTCAGAACTGGGGTCTGATCCAGAACTGGACCACGACGCCCAACGTTTCTGTTTCTTGGCTTTTGGGTTCTTGGGTTGAGGAGGTTTTGGAGGTAGGGGCCTACCTCTCAAACCGTCACTACCCCTATTACCCGAAGGAACCTTCAACCAACCTGGGTCGTCGGGGTCTTCCTTTGGTTTCTTTTCTAGCTTGACCGGCTTCGGTTCAAGTTCCTGTGGAGGTCCGGATCCTACAGGTTGTGCGCTAAGAAGACTTGGTGGTTGTGGCTTCTTCTTGCTTGCTACACCGGGGCCTGGCTTCAGGACTATAGGCTCATCTAGCTTGGGTTCTGGATTATTCCTAGAACCTGACCCTAAACCGAGCCCTGCGCGCTCCCCTGTGTATGTGCCATAGGCTGTGCGCTTCTTGCTTTGCCCCTCAGGTTGTTTCTCTCCCTTGTAGGTAGAGTGGTGTGGCATCCTCTGGCCGGCAACGCCTAGAGGTGGTCTCGCGAGACAAAGGAACTTGTTCTCGCCTGCCACGTCGCTGTCCTCCTCTACGGATGGACAGGGGGCATCAATGTTAACATCCCGGAGCAGGATTGTTAACTCACCCTTCTTGAAGAGAACAACCGTCTTCTTCCACTGGTCGAAGGCATAGTCGTAGCGGAAGTTTTGCACGGTGGAGCCACCTCGTGGTCTCCACCAAAATCGCACATTGTGGAGCAATGTGCGATTGTTGCCTCCGCCCCTGCCGACGGGGCCGCGCCAGCCGTCTTTGTTCTTGAGCCCGTTATCGGCTTCAAGCTGCTCCCTTTTGATGGTCCTGGCCAGATCCACCAATTCAGGGAAGGACAGGTTTGCTGCCCACGGAGTGTTGTCGTCGGGCTCATCGTCGATCCCCGGGATCGCGTTAATTTCTTCCTCGGCGACGCTGTTCATCTGGTCCAGCCCGTCCGCAAAGGCGGTACGGGTCTCCTGGCCAACGTCAGTGCTGCTTCTTCCCGGTGTGCCTGACCGTCGACCGTGCTTGCCGGGGTGGCGTCCCTCCAGCCTTTCGGACCTTGATCTCGGTGTCGAGCTCCTCGAGACGTAGAAGCGGTTAGGCCTCGTGACGTAAGGATCACAAGACTCCTCTTCAGCTTGCACATAGGCTTGTGCTGCGTCTGCCTCCCATACAACCGACCTATCTACGAAACCACCCTTAGGGTTTTCCTTAGGGGTCGGCTCGACTGGATTAGGGGCCTTAGGGATATTTTGGTCTTGGCTCGACGACGAGGATTCGGATGCCTGGGCATTCCTCGGAGAGGATGCTTGAACATTCCCCTGTGGAGACGAGGAGGCTTCCGCCTTCCACTTGGCGCGGATGTACTCAGGTCCTGCCTTAGCGCAGGCCTCTCTGTACTCCTCCTCGCGCCTCTGTGCGTCGAGCTCTCTTCTCCTGGCAAAACCTTCTGCCAGGATCTGCTCCCGTGGGAGATTCTGGAGGTCCAGATCTCGCTCTGTTGGATCCTCCCACCAAGGGACCGGTTCGGTTCCCTGTCGCTGGCGTGCTTGGAAGTCCAGCTGCATGATCTCCCGTCCGGGAACGTGTCGCACTTGCAGACGGTTCTGAACCGCCGACGCTGAGACAGGAGGCGTCACGCTGTCGGATTCGGCGTCATTCTGAGTCTGCTGGCGCGCCTGCTCAAAGGCTGCGTCCAGATCCTCTTGAGCCTGCCTGGCGATATAATAATCGTCCAGTTCTGCAACATTGTAGGATCCTGGCGATCCGTCGTCTGACGAACCACCTGGGAACGGGTCGTACAGATCGTCATCGGCCCTGAAGCTCTCTATCAGAATAGCTTCTCGATAATCGCGATCGAGGTCCGGGTCCTGACTGTGCACAGCGGAATCGGTCCCCAGGGGATCCGAAATGTTGTACAGCTCCGGTGTATTAGGAGCTGGCTCAGGCTCTGGAGCTGGATCTGGCTCTGGAGCAGGAACAGCTGGGACAGGCTGCTTAGCCTTCCCCTTTCCTTTGTTGCGCCCGGGGCTACGCCCTCGGGCCACCATTGCTGTCGGGGCGAACTCCCAGGAGGGACTTATGGGACTAGACCCGCCGACTACCATGGTGATTGCTTCCTTAAGCCACAAGTGAAGCCCTGTTGGATGAATCCGTTCTTCCAACGCAATGGCCTGGTTGATGCGATCTTGGTACAAACCCATGATCTGCAGCACTGCCTCAGGGTCGAGGTCAGCGGTCGCGTCGTCAGCGGTAACCGCTTGAACCAAGGGAAGCGCAAGGTCTGTCGCTTCCAAGATGCGTTCCGAGACGGCTTTCCGTTCTCGGTGAAACTCCTGCGGCACTTCATCAACGATAGTGCCACACATTCTACAGAAGGTTCGGGACGTGGTCCTCGAACTACCCCGATGGTCTGTTGCTTCGTGTGAGCATACAGAGGGGTCTACGGTATATACATGTTCCCGTTTTTCCTGGGATACATGGCCGCAGTCCCTGCAGGCCTTGCGGACGTAATTTGCGGAACTTCCTTGGTAGGAGAATTCCGTGCACGAGCTACACTTCTCCGCCAAGGGCGGATTCGGTGGAGTCTTCTTCTTCGCGCCCTTTCCCCTCGGGCGAGGGTTATAGGTTCCCTCAGGGATACCTATCGAGGCACGAGTTTCGCGATAGTATTGACCTCCTACACCCTGCTGAATGACATAATATCTATTAAACCAGGTGAGGAAATCCTTAAGGTGCGCGGCAGGGCTCGGCTGGACGAGGGCCCAGCGCACGAACTCAGTCTTACGGGATACCTCCTCGTAAGTCTGGCCCTTGTGTTGACCGAGATTAAATCTTCGGTCGGCACCCTCCATCTGCATTGAGCTAGATGGTTGTGAGGGGGCAGCCTTGGATCTAGCTTCGCTTAGATCCCGCACCATGTGGCCACTAGGGTCCACATCGTTCCCTGAGGGAACGTACAGGCCCCCGTCGGGGTCCTGTCGCGGCTCCACAATTGCTATGTGGGCCCGGGGCTTCCCTTTCCCTCCTTTAGAGGTAGGGAACTTGCACTCGGGGTCACCGGCCCAGTGACCAATAGCTCCACACCTGAGGCATTTCGACCGTGCCTTCAGGTTTTTCATTTTCTCGCGACGTTCGTCGAGTGTAAGGTGTGATCGCACTACCTTACCTTTCCCTTTTCCCTTGCGGCCCTTGCCCTTACGCCCCTTCGCTTTTCCGAATGCGGCGTTCGCGGCAAGCTGCAATTGAATTACATGGCCGCTATCTGCATCCTCGGGATCAAGCTCCTCGAGGCAGTTAAGGGCAGTTGCCTCTTCTTCCTCGAGCTCGAATTCCTCGTAGCCCGGGTCCTCTTCCTCCTCCCCGGCGGGGTAGGAGTGAGGATCGTACTCAGACTCGTCCCCAAAGGCGGGGTACGAGGTGTCGTCGTACTCCTCGGCGTCGTCGCCATCATCCGGCGGCGCGTCGTCGTAGTATTGCGTCTCGTCTTCAGCGACGTAGGCGCGACGGTTCAAACCCTTAGACCTATTCTTACCGTAGCCCTTAGGGTTCCCGCGGCGGGCACCAGGATGGTGTTGCGGTCGGCGGTCCTGAAAGGTACCGCCACCTAAGGAACGACCTTCCTTTAGGTGAACGCCGCTGTAGTGCTCCACTAGGGTAGCAGCGACTGCTTCAAAGCTCCGGTTGCTAGTGGTACATGCCTTAATGACAAGGCACTCTTGCCGAGTCAATCCGGAAAGCTCCAATAGCAATTCCACGCGCATCGGCTCGGAAAGCTCGATGCTGGCGTCGAGAGTTTTAAGCAGTTTCCACCAGCGTCGTCGCCGGCTGACGTACGACAGCATCGACTCGCCGCCTTGGCGTGCGCGGACACCTTGCTTCTGGCCCGCACGGAAGAGCTCTCGAGCTTCTTCGGTGGCACGGGGAAAGACGACATTCCTCAACTTGGTGATGAAATCCCGGAGGCCACCAGGGGCAGTCAGGGATTCGATACCGATATCCCGGGCTAGTTCGAAGGCTTCGTCCCGAAGTCCTTCCAGCACTTTATGCACCATTTCGGTTCTTGCTTTAACCGCATAGGATGACATTTCGTCGGCAACCAGCAGTTCTGAGATCGAGTCAGATGACTTCGGTGCAGATGGTCTCTTGCGAGATCCACCATCAGAGGCTGCTGCTGCTGCCTCGGCTGCATCCATGTCGGGCCTGTCCTCGGGAGGTACAGGGGCAGTGGCTCCCGCGGTCGGACTCTGCTCCACGACGCGGCTCTCATCGTCACTGCCTTCTTCTTCTGGCTCCACGGTCTTCTTAGGTTTGCTCCTGACAGCATCTTCGTACAGTTTAAGCCTCATAGAGGTCCTAAACTCCCAGTCGTGGAACGTACTGGGGGTGCCATCATATATGTAGCTCCCGCTACGAGTCTCAAGGGGAGTACTCGAGTAGGTGGAGCGACTGTACCGAAGACCGGCCACGGACATGCTTGGCGAAAGTTCGAAGGGAAAGAATTGAGAGGGAGGTATGCAATGGTAGGTATTGAGCACAGGCTACAGGCTACTGCGATCCACGCAGATACAGGTCCCGGAGGTACCTGGCTCCGCTACCAGTTTGAGAAACTGGTGGATCTTTTCGCCGACTGCGAAGCTATCTGGATACGACTCAAGGGCCCTAACGGCAGCGGGATATATATTCAGTTAACACATGCATGTCATGGTCATGGCTGCCTGTACATGTACAACAGAGGGTGCCTTCACACTGGGTCTTCCCCAGCAGCCCTCCATTGAAGTTCTCAAAAACAGGCTACCGCATCCTAACCCAGCTTTGCACTTCGCAAGATCCCAGTATTCAGGAGAAGAGATGCCCTGAGCCTACACGATCATTCGGCTAGGGTTTCGGGGATTTTCGCGCTGCGTTTGTGATGTGGAACCCATAGGTTAGGAAAGGTGGTACAAACAGTTGAGCATCTATATTTCTTGATGCGGACAGGTCGAACTCTCAAATTAAACGTCGCAAACCAAGTATCCTGACTAGCCCTCAGGGGATTGAAACAGGGCTTCTTGTCGCAAGGCAACCTTGTTGTGGCCCGCAGTGTTCAACCAAGTGCTGACAGCGAGGGTCAGCCTTCAGGAGGTGGATGTGGAGGGGAGGTAGGGTCACCACCACTACAAGTCGCGATGCCCACAGCTAAGGTCCGTATAAGCCTTCACGCGTTTAATATATCTTTATCTGACAGATTAACAACCTACCGGGCAGCATGCACTCCGCTAGGACGGCTGGCTTGAGAATCCTTGGCCGAAGCCCGGGGCCCGGAGACTGAATTTTGCACACGTCAAGTGACATGCAGAGCGCTTTCCGCACCCAAATGCCTGGTTGACTCCACGAGGGCCGAGCGCTGACCAGCAAGGACCTGCCGTGTCCGAGGTTTGTTAAAGGGGCTAACGGCTAACGTAGGGTTTTCAAGTTTGTTTAAAGTTATCCTCTATGACTACTAAGGCTCGAACAAGGGTAATTATGTTGTAGGGCTTAGGGCTTTAAGGCTCTCACGGCGTGTAACGTGTCAGGCGTTTCCAAGGCTGCTTGCGGGCCTCGGTGCGTAGGGGGTCCTGGTAGGGTTTCGTCGAGTCTCTGGCCTTGGGGCTGTGGCGTTTCAGATCGTTTCCGGATTACGAGAATGTTCTAGAACACACCGCGGCATCATGCCAAAAGCTCGGTTCATGAGCGGCTCCAAGACGACACTTATTCGGCAACTTCCACTGGAAGCGTGTTATGCGCGCTGCGGCAGAAAGCTGGGCGACGAGACCTCCTCCAGAGCTCCGAAAGCACCCGGGCCACCCGTTAAGAGGGCTGTCCTGCTGCACAGGGCTTTTGGGGTGCGGAGCTGCTACCAGGAGTAAACCTCAGCCCCGAAGCCGCACCGAACGGGCTTGGCTCGGTCCTGAGCCCCATATATTATACTGTTTTGGTTATCGGATTTCGATACAGACTGCCTACCATGAAGCTGGTCAACCAAAAAAATCCGATCTGTGAATTTCCGGGTCGAGTTAGATCTGAGAATCCCTGGAACAGTCCGAGAAGTTCAGAAGGCTTCTACGACTTAGAAGATACTCCGAACTCCAAGCTCCTGTTCATTACTTACACAGGAGCCGTTACGGAATAAGCCTCCCGATGTCCTGAGAGCTTCTAGACCAGGCGGCTGGCCGCTTGAGAGCACTTTGCGAGAAACGACGTCAGAGACCCGCGGCGAGACACGCGCGATGATCCCAATGTTGACCTTTCTGGGCAAAATGTCGAGCTTCAGTACACGAGATGGGCAGATCAGCTAGAATGTGAACCGATGATGACAACCATGATGGGGAGACAAGGGTGGCGATGAGCATCCACGTGAGGATGCAGACTAGGATCAACATAAGGATGTCGATGAGGAGGCAGGCGGACAAGGGGGACAAGGATGAAGAGGATAGTCCTGGTGGTGATCTTGACGACAGATTTAGGATTCGCAAATCCGCAACCACACGGACTTCTAACACCCCTCGACTCAGCGAAACATATGTTGTTGCAAAGGCGATGGATCGACCAAAAGAATGTAGGTAGGCAAGCTGCCATAGTAGCCCATGTGTGAGCCCGGCGTAGGAGCTTCTGCCGCCGTGTTTTGGAGTTCTCTCTCTCGGTGCGGAGCATGTCTTCCAGCTCCTGAAGCAGAATGCCGGTGGACCCTTCCAGCATTGCAAGCAGGGAAATCGCTCGAGAATTCTTCCTACGTCCTCTTGCAACCGGGGAAAGATGCCCTGACTCCGATGAACGCATCCGAAAGTATGCCGATGTTAGGGGAGGCTTGGAGGCCCTTGCTTGGTCCTTGGGTTCTACGAGTTGAAGAGGAACCAGCAAGATCCAACACCGGCATCAGTCAGGCTTGCGTTTTCGGAAATTGGGGCTGTGCGGTTTTCTGACGGTTTCATCAGGTCGCTATGAACATCTCACAGGGTTCAAGGGTTAAGAGATCTAACGGGTTCAGAACTTCACCACGATTGGGTTGCAATGTTAAACCCGCTTACGGTTGATATGGTCTGGTGAAGCTCGTGCGGTACATCTGCCTCAACGCCCTCATCTCTAAACCCGATACCCTCTGCTGTGCGCGCTAGGGCCGCTAGAGTCCTAAACTTAGCTCTTTAGATCACGAAAATCCTAACCGGGAAACGCTCGCCCTTCAGACATGAAATCCCTTGTTGGGCCCCAGACCCAAAACAGCCGAAAACCCCTCAACCCTGATACCCTCGAGCCGCTCTCAAGGCCCACATACAGTCCCTTGTGAAAAATTTAGACAAGAACCCATGAAGCCTGAAAATACCTAAACCGGTAGCCTAAACTCGTGAAACCGACAACTCTTCGTCAAGGTGGCCCGGGCGTAATTAGGATCTCGGAGAGCTCGCTGGAGCACCTCGCGAGGGTTTATACAGAACTTTATAAGGGGTTTAAAAGGCTTGCACAGGCTTAAGCAAGGTTGATGCAGTGCGTACAGAAATGGGGTTTGCGCATGGGGATTAGGTTCATTGTTCTTAGGCTTTCCGGCCTCCTTGGAGCACCACATGGCCTGCTTGAAAGAAACGATAACGTGAATGGCAACACTTTCCAAATTCCTTTTCGATGTCAGTTGCAAGTACGGACGGAAAACCGAACGGACCAAACATCATAAGCCTGTAAGCTCTCTGCCCTGAGCCCCAAACCGTATCACATCCCGGAAGCCCAAAGCCCTTAATCAACCTCCAGGGCGGTGGCGGCGCCGTCCGGACCGCGACAAGCTCCGGTCCTTATTGAAATTGGTGCTTTCGCGACTTAGCATGTCCTAAAATGACAAAAGTCTGAAATCCAAGGCCCGAAACCCTAGCCTGCCTAAGCCCTGAGCTGCAAACACTGTAAACCGACAGACTGGAACCCTGATCCTTTGTCCACAAACCCCGTCCCAAACACCCAACATGAGCTCCTGTCAGTAGTACTCCGAAACCCGAGAGGACAATGGTTCTCGAGCAAATGCAATCATAGCTGCTTCAACCGGTTTTTCAGTCTTTATCACGGCCCTATCATTCCCCATACTAGCTGTACAGTTCGCAGCAAGGCCTTGACTGCAAGTATCCCCAGAAGGAAACCCCAAATAGTGCCACACTCATGCAATATCCAAACGGAGTCCCATATAATCGCACTCATCAAAACAACCCAAGCGAACCTTCTTCACATGAACCCCTAACCATGGCCTCACCAGCTCCGCTGATGTCTGCAGGGCCGCAGAAGCGGCGCCCGCGCCCACGGCGCCCGCAGAGGCCACAGCGGCCAAAGCCGCCAGAGGCCTTAGGGGCTTGATGCGCATTTCAGGGGCTTCTATGGGGCTTCAAGGATTGAGCCCCTTATATGACTGACAACCCGCACAGCCCCAAAACTCAAGCTTCCCCACAAGTAGCCGAAGGGACAAGGAAAAGAGGGCGCAAAGCGTGGACGCACTTGTGAAGAAGCCTCAGCTGAGCTCAGGATGTTTAAGCCGGCTTAAGGTTTCGGGGGTGATCAGGCTTAAGTTTGGATTCTGAGTATAGAGGGGCTCATAGGGCTTTGAGTTTAGGTTTCTGGCAGCTTGACGCTTTTTTCTCTGTCTGCTGGCATGAGCACTGTACGATTACATCGTCAATTGCCTAAGCTGCCCGTAAATGAGATCGGCTTAATAGCCGATATCGCAAAATGCACGCAATGTTAATGTTCTACTGGCGTATCTAGTAAAGCCCTCTTAAGTCTTCAACTGGAAGAGCTTCAATAAGCAAAGGAACCCCAAACAGACGCTCCGAAATACAAAATCTCGGAGATCCCAGTATTAGCTAAGAGCTTTGCCGGCTTCGTGTCTAGACCGCAGTTGATAAGCTTTAGTCTAGCGGTTAGGGCTAAAGGGGTCAGGGTTGAGGGTGTATAGGGCTTCCAGCTTTTTTGAGGGGTCTAGGATATCGGAAGTAGCGGTGACGGCAAACGGACGAAGCTTTCTCGGGAGATATTTAAGATATAGGGCTTAAGGCTTATACAGTCAGGTGTAATAGGAGATGCGAAAGTCGCAGGCATGCATGCTACGCTACAGTTGCACAAGACTATCGACTATCCGGCGGTGGCACATGTCTTCACGCACCGACGTTTTGTTGCACACACCAGGCCATCTCAGTCTGATGGAAGCACGCCCTACAACAGCAAGCAGTTCTAGACAGTCGAAGTCACCTGGCCGTTTCTTAAGAGATTCGGGTGACCTTCAGCTGTCCTCAGCCGAACAGCCTAAATCCCAGTCGACACCCGAAAATCCAAACCCCTGCGCCGATAAATCCTAAAACTCCGAACCCCAAACCCGAAAGCCCGAATACCCGAGCCGAGACAACAGACAAAGAGGGCCTGAAGGAGCCCCAAGAATTGCCCTAATACTTGTAAGACATAGAAACCCGCGTAACACCCTTCACATCCATCTATGCGCAATCCAATCCAAAACCAACGAAACCCGACCCCCCCGAGCCAACAACATGTGAAGCTATTTTGTATTCAAGAGATTTCTTTATGATACTATGTATATGTATGTGTTGTATATATATATATATGTGTATATATATATATATATATACGCGTATGCATACGTGTAGGTTAGTTACATGAAATTAATAGAGCTCCATATTAATATATAATTAACATATTTCTATACCTATATATTTGTATATTTATATATTTATATATGTATAAATGGGCTTATCTTTATTCATGTATATACGGCTTATTAGCGTTATTATACATGGTATACATATTATGTGTATATATGTTATATATATATATACACACACATAAACAACAGACAGATGGCCTGAAGGAGTGACCACGTAGCTCACCGCTTGTGCCAGCGGCGGGCGAACGACACACCAGGTAGTCTGTACCTTATGGACGAAATCTGGGTTCAGGCTATAGGGTGTTTTGTTAAGGTAGGGGGCTGTTTAGCTTAATGGATGTTTGCGCAAATATCTGCAATCACGAGAAGTAGGGACCCGAAGTATAAGGCATACGGCCGTTTTGTGCTCGTTGGGATCTGCCAGCCTTGCAATAGAAAATGGAAACTATACCATCAACACCCGAAACCCCACAACCCTTAAACCAAAGGCCCTCCTCAGTCTCAAAACCCAAAACTCATAAAACCTAAAGCCCTGCAGCGCGGAAACACAAAACGTTGAAAGAAACTTTGCCCACGCCTGACAATCGCTATATAGTTCCATTGAAGGTGCAGATTGACGCACTCCGAAGGCTGTGGCACGGAAGGTTGTTGCCGCAGAGGCCTGCCAGCTGCTGCAAGGTAGTACGCTGAGGGTCAGGTGTTGAACCGGTGGCGTTTTGCGACACTTAGGGCTTTAGGTATTTCAGGGCTCATGCAATATGCAGGGTCTCGGGCCTTCAGGGTGTAGACGGATTATGATGCAGTGCTCTCGCTCTATGCATTACATACATACGCATGTACGGAAGTAGCCATCGTGTGGAGACATGAGAGATACCCAGGCGCATCAACAATGTGTAGGTGCGCAAATCAAAAAATTCAGAGATGAGTGATCACATGCATGCAGCTCGCTGCGTGTGTCACCTTGAGAAGAATCCATCGTCTATAGACAACTGAGGCCGTTGATCTCAACCAAGCCTTTGAGGTGCCCAGCATTCCGAGTGGGTTTGAACCGAAAACTCCACCAAAGCGCAAAAACCTTATATGCAAGCCGGACCGCCAGTACGAAGGTGAGGGTTCAGAGTTCTGTGTTTCAGGATTTTGGGCCATGGGTTTTGGATTTTAGATTCCGCGGCATCGACCATCTTGAAGACTTCCCATCCTCGCAGTCTCTGTAAAGCGAGAAAACAACTCTCGACTGAACCTGTGAAACCGCGGCACTACTAAAACAGAAACCTCCACAGATTGCCAAGCATATGGTCTCTCTTTCTCTCTCTCTCTCTATCTCTCTCTCTCTCTCTCTCTCTCTCTGTCACTCATTCTCTGACCCTGTCTATAGATAGACTTGCTGATTGACAAGCAGACGCAATTTTGGGACAAGTCACGGCTGACATGTAACGCTGTATACATCTAGGGGTGTAACTTGACAACGAAGACTTCATCTTATGTCTTCTTGGCTCGTTCAAGGAACATCAAAGAACTAGCCTGTCCGGCCGAGACGGCGAAGTTGCCAGCCCGGCCAGCGGCGCTCCCTCCAGAAGGTTTCGAGCCACTTTGACTTTGGGATTTTCCATGATTCTCCTAAGCTCAGAAACCCATACTCGTGTCCAATCGGGTTCTTAATTATGCATACCTACCGTGTACAAAACCATAATATGCGGGGCGCCAAGGTTACCCTGCACATCAAGTCAGGACATCTTATTTTTAAGATCCCTCCTCATGATCTTCCTGCTGCATCAAGGTGTCCTATGTGAGGCACCCTGGTCTCTGAAGTTCCTGGGCTTCACAGCTGCCCGAATTCAGGGATGCAGGCAGGTTTAAGGTATTTAGGCTTCGGAATGTCGGGCTCGAGGAACCTTAAGGAGATTTTCTCAAGGCCGTGGCAGAAGCGTCGAAATTGCCCGTGCATGACAGTAGTCTCACATACCCTCCTCTTCATCTGACCCAGGGCGGCCCCTGAAATGGAAGGGCCAGACTACCGTTCAAGCCATTGCATATAGGTGTAGAGAACTGCGCTACGAAAAAGTTGGCTTCGGATTCGTGCAAACACGACCTTCAGGTAAGTCTACTGGACTTTGATCGCATCATCATTCATCATACTTATATTGTCGTGCTGTTGCAGCGGCTGCTCCTCCCCCCTACTTCTTCCTCTTCTTCTTCTTCTCACACTAACGATCAAAGCTATCCCCATCATCAGTAGCAATATCAAGCAAGCCATCGCGTCAGTGATGAGACAACGGGAGGACAAAACATGAGACAAGCATGGTCAGATGGGCATACAGCCACCTACCAAGACTACTCATTCAGAACCTCGGTGCGTCCTCCCCAAACCTCAATTCCTTGAATCGTCAAGCCTTTGACCCCCAACCGCAGAAGCCTAAGCCCAAACCAAACGTTGGCCAGTTCAACCCCAAACCCCAGATTCAACACAGGCCACGCAGCCTGCTGCGTTGAGTGCCACACGACCTGCTGCATTGGCAGCCGAGTGGATCAGCCTGCTTGGAGCCTGGACTGGGATGTGTTGAAGCTGGGAGCGCAGAACAGCAGAAAGCCAACAGCATGCAATTCAGGCTTGGGGTTGGGATCTCCAGCAACACTCAATTTCAGAGGAAGGCCTCCTCTATTCGTTTGCTACAATATACGTTGATGCAAGAAGATACATTCATGTGAATGCTAATTTTGAAGAACCTCCGCATCATGAGCTCATTGAGACCTATGCCGTCAGACAGCCTGCAGCAGCCGCCGTGCAGTTTGCTGCCCTCGGCCTGCGCAACTCCCCTACCGGCTCCTGCTCGAGGAACATACTCAGAACAGTGAGTTAAGACGAGCAACAGCAAGAATACTACATGACATACAAAGTGCTGGAGCCAACACAATTAGCAGATCAGTAGCAGGAATTTGATAGTTGCCGGTACTAACGTTCGCGATACTGGCGAGGTAAGGTTAACAAAAATGATCGCAGCAACCAAAGCAGCAATACTATGATCATGTAAGAACAAGCACTCATGGTAATCAAACGACTTCACTCGTAATTTCTTGCAGCAGCGCTCATAACGGCAACTTGCTCGTGCTAAGGGGCTTCGAGGGGGGTTATCATCCAGGCTCTCTCTCCAAGGAAAATGAGAGGAAGCACTGGGGAAGAATCATGGAAATGATAGGTTTGGTCGAGTGTGGGATCCCAATCCCCTCGGCAGTCAAATCCCGAATTTCCTATGTACTATGAAGCCTGAAACTGTCAAGCCCGGAATCCTAGAAGAAGAAGCCGGCAAACACCAGAAGTCCTGAAGCTCGAATAGTGGGCCAATAGAAGATTACTGCCTCTCCTCACGAACGTCTTCGTAACTGAGTTTGCCATGTCACTTGCTGCATGCTGGCAGCAAAGGCATCGAAGCCCGTACTAAGCTGCTTCCCGAATCCCACTGCCTCTATCCTGAAGCGAAATCGCTGTGCTAGGAGGTCTTGCAGCCTGCACAAGCTTGCATGTATGAGGAATGCTTAAAGACGTTGTTTGGACCAGTCGGGCACATTACTAGTAACATACGCTGCTAGATGATGCTGGCAATGATGTCATGATGAAGCTGCTGCTGTTGACGATGATTTGGCGATCAAGGTGAGTTTGGGGTGAGAGATCAAGCCTGGAACCGGCTAAAGTACATGCCTATGTCCGTCTCTCTGTCCCTGTGATGCCGCCACCAAACCAAGCCAAGCCGAAAGCCACGCCAAGCCAAGCCGTGCCAAAGCCAGGGCCAAAAGCCGAGCCGCACCAAAGCCGACAACCAGCATGAAATAACAAGCCCACTCGGCGAAACCCTACTACTGCTACCCGGAATGATTCATCACCATGAAGCAAACTCACTTTAATGAGGGTTCTTAACTCTGCACATCTAAAACCACAACCCTCGAGCCGCATACCCTAAGCCCGAAAGCCCGAAACGGCAAAGGTTTATTCGTGAACGGCACCCGAACTATTCCCAGGAGCCCAGTCTCGGGGGTTTACGGCAAAGTTTGGTGTTGCATCAGGGTTAAAGGTGTTGCTTCAGGGCTGCTCCAGGTTTGCACAGATTTAACAGGAGAGCTGCAGAAAAGAAGGGGCTCCAACGCAGACCCTGGATACTAGGATCCTGTTTGCAAAAAAATCCCAGAGAAGGACCCCTGACAGAGTCCCACAATCTGACTATGCTGGGCTTTGGGTTGGCGGGAAAGCTCCAAAAGCACCTAAATAAAACCAGGTGGTGGGGATGTCCCACAACCCCTGCTTACGTAGACCAATGTCAAAAAACGCAGTTTTATCCCAGCCAAAAGCTTATGGCTGGGTCTCGGTGCCTACTCACAATTCCTAGGCCCTGAATGTGGGAATGCCTCAAGCCGCTCCTCGATGCGAGACAAGGCGGCCTGGAACACAACCCGCACTGAATTCTTGGACCCTCAAATCATGCACTCAGGAGGGTGTGGGGTTTAGGGCAAAGAGATGACTTGAGTTAGGGCTTCGGTTTTCATGAGGATAGATGTGGTTCTGTGCGTCGCAGCCAACGGGCGGCCGAAATACGCGAAATTAGGCCTGGATACTAAGGCCGTCTAGGGAATGTATGTTGGATTGGTAGTCAGGGATATGGGAAAAATGTCGGATCACATGATTGAATATGCAGACTCTGAATCCATGAATCCGAGCGGCATTGAAGTTCAACCCTAGATGGCCTACATGGTTCAAGATTCCAGGACTAAGGTTCGCCGGGAAACTAAATCGAATGGGTAACGCAAAGGTGAGGGTAAGTAGCATAATTACTACTACTTAGCTCACACCCCCATCCCCCAACCTTTTTTTCTAGCAACTATATTACCAGCCTACCCCCCGCGGCCCGGATACAGCGCCCTGAAACCAGGAGAAGCATGCACAACTGGGAGTGAAGTACCACACACCCATAAGTATGTGTGCATGTATGTAGTTATACAACCTATATATATATATATATATATATATATATATATACACCCATGCATGCGTGTAGACACACACATATATATATATATACACACACATCTTATTGCATTTATTAATTATACACATACCCATAGTATAGGTAGATAGATAGATAGACAGATAGATGGATGGATAGATAGATCGATGAAATGTATAGTATGTAGGACCCGTACACACGTGCCCAGACATAGCTTCATGACAACATACAACTACAGGCCTCAATGTCTGTAACGCTGAGCAACAGCTCGCTGTAGAAGTCGGCAGTGGTTTCAGCTGGGTCAAAGACCTCATCCACTCCTACTTTGTCAATCTCTGTCGAAAACATGATTGCGCACACACACACACACAGACACATGCAAGTCGAAGGCCCAATCTGACTCCCTGTTTTAGCAAGACAGTGGACAAGCTGTCGTACCCATTTCTTCACATTGGGTAGTAGCCGACTCGAACGCTGAAGACGAGGAGTGGTCAGCTGTGTAAGACGTTCTATGTTCGTTAAACTCCGGCCTTGGAGATATACGACTTGTCGTTCAAAAACCCTGATGTGAAACGGTCCGGTTCTAAAGTTCAAGGGCTTAGCTTGAAAAGCTCAGGTTCAGATCACTGAGCAAATTTAAGGCAAAGCCGGGCCAGAACACCCACAGAATTCGGGAACTCTGAACTCTTCATACGATATCCAAAAAGCGAAGGCGCCAGCCTCTTGTGCCGCCTGCCGCCGGCAGCGAGCTAGCCGCAAACTGAAGCAGAGGGATCGCAATGAACGTCGGGGTCTTGGGCTCTGGGCCTTCTAGGATTCTACATTCCGCAACAATGCCGACACTGTCGAACCTTAAACCTTTGACCACGACTTTGCCTGCCAGGCAGAAACACATGAACGAGCTGCTGACGGACACTGCAATCAGGAGTGGAGTTTCCTTCACTGATACACGAGTGAACTTCAGGTGATGCAGGAGTCTGTCTATCAGCTGGCTGATGGAAAACCCGCGTAACGCTCTATTCACATCCGAAACCTGAACGCGTCCAAACCTTGAAGGTGCTGAACCACCCGACCAGACCCCCTGAACAAACCCCTGCTTGAAGGCTCATCGTCTATTGTACGAGCAATAATAACTTAGCTGGGCCGAGAAGCAGATGTTCAGCTGTAGTTATTCTTGCTTGTGATCATGCTCGCTAAGTCTCCGCTAAGCCGCATGATCCACTACAAACAAACCTACAAGTCTCAAGACAAAGGCCAGCAATCCCTCAACCTCTACGCCCTTCCCCAACTAAATACCCGCAGCCCCCGCTCTCAAACTCCTCCATCACTTTGCGACGAGAGTCGAGGCGGCACCCAAACGATGCCGGAAGCGGCTCTCCGGCCTTTCCACCAGGTCTCTGGAGGTCTCTTGCTTGTTTCAGAGCTTGACGTGTCCCCCTCTGGCTTCACGAGGGTATGTATGTACAAGGGGTCGTATACATGCTGCACCGGGGCATCATATATCTAGAAGACTTCATGAAGAGGCTACTGCTGATCGGCAACAGATTTAAGTCTGGATTGCGATGGCTGATGGCTTTGGGTATTTTGGCAAACTGCGAAGCCTGAAGGCTTGGCTTCGGACAGTGACGTTGCCCAGTCGAGCTCAGATCCAGACCGCCGGCAATACTCAAAGCCTGCACTCAAATCCTGTAACACAAACCCGACAGAGTTTCGAGTTTAGAAAGCGCACTCAAATCCTGTAACACAAACCCGACAGAGTTTAGAGTCTAGAAAGCCATTAATCGGAAGCTCGAACAGCGCAATGGCACACTGCAAAAGCCCCATAAGCCCTGGACCCCTTCGTCTACTACGGTGCCTCAATTCCAATGCCATGTCAATGCTTTGCTCGGCGCGAAAAGAGATGCAAACGAAGTCAAGAAAGGTCTTCGGCTTGTGGGGCTTGGATGTATAGACGTTTAGGGTTTAGGGCATTCGGATGTCTGAACTGTGTCCCACCAGCTCATGTGACACTCAACTAAGGAGCTTGTGTCAGTACCATCGCGACATGCTTGGATGCCGTTAATCTCGTCTCAATACCACTATGTTCCATGCCCAATCAGGATGGCTACCCCTAGCACGCATAAACAGAAACAAGATAAGAAATGCCCGCCAGGTTGAATTGGTATGATTGTCTACTGATTGCCTGTGCCGTCGGACGGCTGCAGATGCCAAGCGGTTGGCATGAAACCCAACATCCTAAAACCCTGCACCCGATTCCCTCACCCTCGAACCATGAAGCCCGATAACCTTATAAGGCTCTGCAGAATCCAACATAACTCTGAACAATGGCACATGAGAGTCGGAAACCCCAAGCATCCATCAGAAACCTAAAACTCCGAGGACGCCAAGCCACAGTCTCAAGTCTGAATGCATGTTTTTACTTGCCTCACACTACCCTGAATTTGACCCTAAGTGCCAACTACTGGTTAATCCCTAAGTACCAACTACTGAAGACCATGAGGCGTCTTTCCCAACGTGCTTGACATGAATGAGACGCAGCTGTTTCTCGCGCACCCTACTTGAAGCACCGGGGAATTAAGTGAGTCGGCTGTACTTGGCGGCAGGAGTATACCCTGATTGGGGATATCCTCATCATAATGCTTACATACACAGTGGTCCCAAAAGAGCCTCTAATTCGGCAATCCTGATCACTTGTGCAGAAATTTACTTTTCGACCCTGCTCTTTGACGCCTTTCGGGCGTCTCTTGTGGGGTCAAGTGCTAGTGCGCCTCACTACTCATGTAACAAGTTTGCCGGTGGTGCCACAGGCTTCTCTGCACCGCCCCGGCTCACCACGCATGTCACCCCAAGGCTCCAATTATCTGACAGTCAACTACTCCCTGAAATACTGAACCACAAGTTTGCCAATCCTGCGTCCTGTTGGTACCTAGTTGTTAGGTACCCGGGGCGCGGACTTGGGAACAAAGCCGGGGGTGAACTCACACGAATGTCGGTGCTCTCCAGGGCGAGCTTCAGGCCTGGAGAATAGCCAAACAGTCTAAGCTTGTAGGCGGTTTGGGGTTTGAGCGTGCCAGGGTTTATAGAGCTTAGGGGTCCGAATGTGTCTTGGGTGTTACAGGGTTTAGGGGCTTTCTTAGCTGGCCTAGTTGTTTACCGTAGCTGTTTAAAGTTTAGAAGGTGCGGTCTTTATTGAACTGGTAAGAACTCGACCTACTGTAAATATTGGCTACGACGATAATGATCGTGGAGTTTTGCTCATATCAAAAGGAATCGAGTACTCGTCATGCTGATGGCAAATCACCACCGTGTCATCAGTAGACCGGGCGGAAGGGATTCACAATCTGAGTTTCTGCCAGCTCACGGTCTCGTACGTCAGATATGTCAGGTCGAAGCTGAAGCCGAGGGGTGCAAGCCTTGCCGCAAGCTCAACAACCATCATCGGGGTATTCTGTATTGAGAGATGCAATTCATGAGGCCAGCGCGTGCAAGTGGAGCCCTCTGCTTCGAGAACATACCGTTGTCAAGAAAATTAGTCTGCCTTGTCTGTCATGTATTAACCAAATGTGCCATACAGTTCCCAAAGCTCTGGGCCGTTGACGAAAGCACAAATTGCATCAAATGCACCGGCAAAAACATGCATCTCCCTGTTGACCTGGGCCTTCTCGTCTAGACTCCCAGCGCAGCTTTGGAAAGTTGTAGCAAGCCGGCGTTATGTGAAATACAACCGCAAGGAATGTAGCCGCATATATATATATATATATATATATATATATATATATGTGTGTATATATATATATATATATATATGTGTATATATATATATATATGTATGTGCGCATGGACCTTCCCAAGCATCCTTTGCTTGCTACTGGCATGCTTTCACTGCAGGCATAGGACTTTGGGGGTTCAAACATACACGCAGGAACCCCACCACAGCTGCAGGGCACGGGAATACGCTGCAAAACCAGTCTCTTGCAACCAAACCTCCAAACCCCAAGGAGCTCAACTTCCGGACTCTAGGATCACGCAGCAAACTCAAACAACCCACTGCTTGAACTCTAAACTCGAGACCACGTGCCGCACACAAGCCAATTGATGTCCAAACAATTTACCGCAGTGCCTTAATTGGCACCGGGTTTTCGTTTCGGGTAGATTACATCAGATCAAGGAAGAATACAAGTACTCGGACTTGTCGAGGCCCCTGGATACGAAGTTCAGTTCTGGGACCTCTTCTCCCACCGCATCGAGGCCCGCCGTCGTTGGGGAAGACCTGCAGCATCCCCTCACGGAAGCGAGCCCTGAAACACTGCGCAAACCAGAAAGTACCCACAACCCAGTCACCCGCCATGTTTGCATGGGGGAGTCTGCAGTGCGTGAAGCCCGTCCACCAGTGTCAGTAACTGTGTGAAACAAGCTGTAGTTAGCAATAATATCGTGGCAACACTGACACATGGTCTACAAGGAACCCTGAAGAGACAATTGTACGAAAAAACTGCGACTTCTCTCGGGCGGGAGTGTTGTGCCGGGCTATTCACAAGTACACCATTGGGCTGCAGCCACACACTGCATCCATTTTGATATCACCACGGCCGCTTGCCTGAAACTGCCTGGAAGGCTGTTTGCTGTGGTGACCTTAGAGTTTGGGGGGGAGCGCTCTTCCCAAGGCCTTCCTGTTCTCAATCTGTTGTGCATTGTTGAGGGCCTCCGCCACGTCCAGGCGCCGCAGTCGATCGGCCACTTCCACCACTGTCTGGGTGTCGTAATCTCTGCCGTTCACCTCCGCCTTCGCATCGACCAGTGCCTTCACAATGCCTCCAAACCTATGCGCCCAAGCAGCCAGCTTTCCTCGTCTGAAGGAGAGGGCCAAGGCATCGCCTTTCACAGCTTGTCCAAGGAGTTCAAGTGGAGTAAGGCCAGCTTTGTCCTTGGCGTTTACGTCTGCCTTTGCCTCCAACAATACTTCCACCACATCCTTGGAACCTAACCAAGAAGCTCTGTGGAGCGGCGTCTCCAAATTGTTGGTTTTGCTGTTCACATTCGCCCTCGCCTGAAGGAGGTCTTTTGTCACATCTGCATCGGCCGCCGCTGCAAAGAAGAGCGGCGCCCTTCCATCGCCGTCTCTGACGTTGACGTAGGCCTTTGCATCAAGCAAAACCCTGACCAAGTCCCTGCGCATGATGCCCTGGGAGTGAAACAATGCCGCGTGCAGGGGTGTCCGACCAAATCTGTTTTGGGCATTGACATCCGCCTTCGTATGCAATAACACCAAAGCCATGTCTTTGTATCCAGCGAAATGGAGTGGCGTGTCTCTTTGTCCTGATGCTGCATGTGTATTCAACTCCGCCCCAGCATTCAGCAACTCCTGCACGAGCTCTTTATGATTCTCACGCACGGCCGCTGCAAGGGGCGTTTCGATGCCGTGGCCCTGAATCCCTTGACGGGTGGAGTTCACGTCCGCTCCCAGGCGTAGAAGTAGTCTGTATAGCTGGATATCTCCATCACCATAATAGGCCCAATCGAACAACAAGTTATTGATGTCCTTAGATGCATGCACACTAACTCGATGTCTGAGACGGACACTAGTTGCAGGGAAGAGCACTAACGAAGATCAATGACTACTTTTAGGTGTCCGCACAGAATACGGGAGCTCCGGGAATGAAGAGACTCGAACTGACCCAAGTCTCATGCTCAGAACCGCCCCAAATAAACACAACCGCGAGGCCTTGTGCTCTAGAGACATGGATCGCAGGATCCGTTCTGCCAGATCGGAGTCGTCCTTTCGTTGGGGCCGCGGATTTCTGAGACCCCAGACACCTTAGCCTTATACGTCATATACCTCCTATACTCGTAGTAAGATCCTTCTGCTCGTGGACGAGTGTGTGTAATTAGTGATTATCATCCCTAGTCTAGATTTCAATAGGTCCGAGAGTACTTTGTCGGCTGCGCCCCGACCTTGGCCAGCTCCCCAAGGCTGGGAGCCACGAAGAACTGGGGGTTGATGGCATGCTTGGTGAGGTTCAGAAGATAATCAAAACTGACCTTTCACAAGGCTTTTGGGTTGGGGCTCGGGGGCTTGCAGTCTTAGGCATATAGGCTTAGAGCGTATGCAGATAGACCTTGAAAGATGGTTTCTATGTGGACTAGGCACGCCATTCTTCACCAGTCCGGCAACAAGGCGTGGGTCGCCCCTCACAATCAGGCTCTTGAGAACGGTTGCATTGCTGGTCACCTGGCAGCCAAGTGGGACATAGACAGGAGCACCGCGCTGAGGGATGGGTCAATATGCGCATGGCCCTTCGGAGGAGACTCCCGAGTCAGTTCGTAGCTAGAGTTTCTGGGCTTGAAGATTCAGTGCTAGCGCAGGTTCACGCAAGAGATATACAGGCCTTGTAAACACTGCAAACCATCGAAATCCTGTGAGCCCTGAAACCTGCAACTCTGTTAACTCTGGCCCGCAATCCCAAACCTTCGGCCTTACAAGACCTTTAAAGCGACGTCAAGCTCATGTAAGACCCACAAAATCCCACAGCAGCGTTTGTGAACACGGACCTTTTTGTGTTTGTGCGGTTGTCTAGTGGCCAGTGTCCTGGAAGGGTCGGGAAGCAGGGGGCGGAGGATCGTTCCTCAGGTTGGGAGACTCGCACCCCCCCACCCCCACTCCCAAAACAACAGAACACACCATCCACCACGGCACCAGCGCAGGCTGGTTTCTGTGGAGGAAAAATGAATGTCGCGTGTATATGTAACATACCACAGTCTTTATCATGCCTGCTCCATGTGAAGTGTATAATTTGTGGATGGGCTGTGTATTAACACCGATGGAAACGGGCTGTTCAGAAGCACGTGGGCTGCTTCTACAGCAGATGGTAAGGTTGTGCAAAAGCTTGGACGACGCATGAAGCACTGCATACATTATCGGTTCGCTTGGAATGTCAGGGTATTGGTCTGATGTGTGCCTATTGTCGCAGTACTGCACCGCTACCTAAACACCTCATGCTCAAAACCGCAGGCCCTATCGCAACCCGCTTCCGCTACGAAACCTTCACAGTATATATCATATATGACCCCTTGCAGCCATCCGAAACACGAAAAAGCAAGCCACCTTCTCCAGCATCGGTGGTAGGAACGTTTGCACTTGATCCACGCACCGCGCGATGCATCCGGTGCCTCCGTATTTTTAACGGATACAGAAATGATAAATGGTACCGTTACGTTCTCTATGTTGTTGTGGTCTTACGAGCTGCAACACAAGCGCGAAGGCACTAAGTCCCGTACCGACTCGGTCCACGCAGTGGCTGCAATCGTTGACTCGAATGCGTAGCTTATCATCTGGCACCTGCAGCGAGATCTACAAAGCCTTCAATCCTCTCTAGGATCGAAGAGTGCTATGTGAAGTGACTGCGAGGTCACGCAAATCCATCTTAATCCAAATCCGCAGCAAGAAGTCGCAAATAGCCCAATAGGTGTACTACCGTCCTAAATTTGGGTGCCTGGCAATGCATGTTGTCATTCGATTACACACACCTCGCAGTAAGTCAGATACCTTCAAGCTTTTGAACATGAACTCGGTTTGATGAGTGGTCGTGGGCAGGTCGGGCACGTAGAAGCAATCCGAGTACATTCCTCATTACTTGTTACTTGCGGATACGGCGGGGATCGCTATAGTTGCCTGACGTAGCTCCAATTTCCTGCAGAGCTTAACCTTGTTCGACATGCGGAAAGCCTTGACAGCAGCGCGCACAGCCGTGGCCAGGTGCTCTATCCTCGATTCGGGGTGGGCGTTCTCTTCCAGGCTTCTTTCTTGCAGGTTGTTTACGGCATGCCTTGAGCCCGTGTAAAGATTCAGAGAATGAAGCATTCCCTGGAGCAGCGGAGGAACGAAGGACGATTCCAAAAAAGCCCAAGAGTCTTCGTCTCTGGGTGGACGTTCAGCACAACCAACTCAGCAACGTGCCCGCTAGAGCGACCCAGGCTGGGCAACTCCACACGGAAAGCCACCGACTCGCCAAACGGCCGCCCCTTGTCAGACAGTAGGTTGGCCTCGTTTTGCAACAAAGGCTCAAGAACCAAAGCTTTGGGTCTCACATGAGGCATCTAAGATAGCAGAAGCAACATGTGAAGCAGTTCATTTCCAACTTTAGGCGAAGTGACGCCCGAGACGAAATAGACTCGCTGCTTCGCCGGCATTTCGCTGATCAGACTCAAGGAATTCGAAGCCCACGTGGGCTGCTGTACCTGAAACCTGGCGGCTTCTTAAACACGAGGGTTTACCGAGGATAAAGATCCATCCAACCTTGCTTATCTGTCTTGAAGGGCTTGGCACACATGCTCATACAGGTTTACGAGCTTGTTTATAAAGGCCCGGCTCCTTTCGGGTCGTACAAGGAATTTGCGCGCGGGAGCGGGGGTCGGTTTCTATCTGGAAGCATAGGAAACGGCATAGACTGTTGCTCTTAGACAGTTTTTCCGAGAATAGCGTTAGATTCTACGGCTGAGCCTTGCCGAGCCACATAACTCAGACCTATGATTTATGCTGGATCTTAGCCAAGTATGTGGTAACCTTAAATTTTCTTTGGGTAGTATAGTCCGTATTTAATTCAACAAACAATCATACAATGCGTTTTATCCTGCAGGTTTCTAATGTTCAGTCCACGAAGTACCGACCAACCTAAATCCTGGAAACCCATGCTACTATACTATACTACACTATGAACCTACAATGGAGGCCCTGAACCCTGCATGCAAACAGGGACTAAAGTACCCCTGAGCCCAAAACTCTGCCATCTACTCCGGATGGCGTGCAGTTGCTGAAGTGATCGACTTCTGGCAGCTCGGCCACTGCACCAAACCTGTATCGCGGCAGGTGCCAGGGGAATATAAGAGTAGTAGTTGAACAAGATTGGTTCAAGGGTTCGTTTGAAGACGGATTACTATGTGAGCTCCTATGACGAGGGTTTAGTGTAGTGCCCTTCATACTACAAAAGGAACTTGAGGATGTTTCACTCTGATCATGTTACTCGGGCGGTAGGGGAAAGTTCATACTAAGCTTTCGACCCCTATGTTACCAGTGCCCAGCTCTGCTATGATGGCAAAACCCTGAATGGGTTGAGTGGTTCAGGTTTTGGGGGCTTCGAACTTAACTACCCAGAACCACGGAGCTATCGCATACGCCTTCTAGATCACAATGTCGAGACCTAAGTGGTGAAGAGCCTGTTCGCTTGCAAGCCGAACATCCCCACGGCCCCAACAAAGCTCAAAGGCTTTTACAGGGCACTATAGGAGGCGCTCGAGTTGTAGGGGCACTGAGGCACTGCAGTACCCACTCCAATACCACAATTCCAATGGTTCAGCCCCGATCACGCAGGATGCTGTCCACTAGCAGTATTCATTTCTTTGGGGATCAAAGCCTCAAAATATGGCTTCTAGGGTATCAAAGCGTGCACAACCCGCGAGGCAATTTGCGTTTCGAGTTTTAGTAGACATGTGCTTCAAGATAAAGAGACTTGCCGCTCGCCAAGAGAAACGCCCGTTAGAAAACTGCGGCAGTCGAAATGAAGGATCTCCCCAACCGATTAAGGTGACGTGCTCTTGTAGTTGGGAAGCTGGACAGACTGGCAGAAAACCCTCGACAACGATGACACCACTTTCTCTGCTATCGAACTCACAAGTATAGCTAGCGACCCCTCCTCTCCCTCTCTCCCTCTCTCCCTCTCTCCCTCTCTCCCTCCCTCCCTCCCTCCCTCTCTCTCTCTCTCTCTCTCTCTCTCTCTCTCTCTCTCTCTCTCTCTCTCTCTCTCTCTCTCTCTCTCTCTCTGTCTCGCTCTCTCGTTTATCAAGAAAAAATTGTGTTTCTCGATCCGAAGATGCTACATGGGAACCGGGCATTAAGCAGGTCACGACCGGGAACCGGAGTCGTGTACGGTATACGTAAAAAAATGACCACAAACGGGTGAGCGAATTGAGGGTCCGGCATTAATAATGAATAAACTTGAAGGTCGCCATCCTGTCCAAGGGACAGCGTGTCTCCCAGGATGAAGCCCTCCGGTATCCCGCTCAGCACCGTGGACAGATGAGCTGAAGTCACGCGGCTCCAGAGGACCAGGTTGCTTTTGAGCTTCGGTGCCTTCGCCCATTCTTGCGCTGGCACCTGCAATTTTGGGCTTTCGGCTCAGGGTAATCCCTTCCCCCTAATGTTAAAGGGCCCCCCCCCTCCCTAATATAAAAACTAGATTTCGGAGGTTTAGTTTTCATATTAAGGGGGGTTTCGGTGCATCCACGTACCCGGACTCCCAGCTGCTAGCTATCCTAAGCCTGGAGCCCTGAGGCCCTACTAAAGTCCTAAGCCCTAAACCTCGAGCCCTATAGACCCTAAAGCCCTGAGCCCTAAACTTTAAGCCCTAAAGCCCCAAGCCCTAAAGCTTTAGCCCTGAGCCCTAAACCCTTAAACCCTAAAGCTCTACTGTCTTTAGTACAGCTGTAATCTTTGGCTCTATTAAAACTCATACAATCCTAGCCGCCCCCTAAGGTTTTTTATTTACTTTCAATTGGGGCCCGAAACCGCGAAATTCCGGGGGCCGGGCATTTTTATATTAGGGGGGCGTTTAATGTTAGGGGGAAGCGATTAAGCTGCAACTGATACGAGGAGAAAAAGTGACCCATCTTCCCAATCGATGTCCCGCTTCAGAGGCAATGAAAGAGGTCTGCAGGAGCCTTATCATTTGTCGCGAAGAGCAGGTTCATCCCAGCTGATACGCAGTCGTGAAAGGACTTGAGCGGATCTTCCTGTCGCTTCACCAATACCCAGGGATGAAAAAACAAATAGACTTGCAAAGTAAAACTTACAACCGACAGGGTAAAACAAAGATATCAAAACTCCCAGCATGCGGCCTGGTAGATGACAACAACCCGTTAACAAATCTTTGTGGTAAGATCTCGGAGATGGAAGTCCTTGTGGCGTCGTCGGCAAACTACAGATGCCCATTGAACAAAGCGACGCTTTTGTAAAACACAAGCGCGCAAGTTCTCGTCTCGCTTCTCCTCCTCGCGACAATGTGCGAGCTGGCCCTACTCTGAACCCTGACATCCCAAAACCATAAGCCCAACTCCTCTTCTGGACTCCTTCGAGCAATGATATCCTGACCTCCTGAACACCATGCCTTTAAGCGGAAATCCCAAAGAACCCTGCGTGAAATGTCCTATAAACCACTTCTAGACGCAAACAGGTGGCCTGCCTTTTGAACACTCAAAAATGTTCCTCATGAAATCCCTGAAACCGAACCGCCGTGATGAACACAAACAAGAGGACAGAAACAACCAACCCCTCAAAACAAAACCCCAAAACGGAGGAGGCTCCACTGAAGCATGGCCCTGACAGCCACAGCCCTGGCAAGGATCCATCCTTCGCTTGGCGCGAGCGAGCTTCAGAGGGGACTATGACCTCGTTGCATGCCGGTTTGCGGTTTAGCACTGGGACTTCACAAACGATTCGCCGCGTGACAATGGGCGCGGAGTTTAGAGTTTAGGGTTTGGGTGTCAGGCTGGTTGACAACTCAGGAATACTCAGGGACTTTTTGATATAATGGGAGTTCCAGAAAACACGGAACCCAAAGGCACCACTGCTGACCTTGAACAAGCAAAAGGACCATTTCATGGCATCCTTTCTGATTTCTCTACGAACCGTAAAACAGAGTCTTCAGACCTTGAACAAGCACAAGGACCATTTCATGGCATCCTGTCTGATTTCCCTACGAACCGCAAAGAAGGGTCTTCCTAAGTAGCCCCATGACCCCTAAATCAGTCCAACTCCTAAACTCCGGAGGCGCTAAACACCCCGAAGCATACGCACCAAAACTCAAAAGCCAAGGTGCAGAGCAGCCTCCAGGCGGGCGGCGCTCTTGTTGCAGAAATCCTGGGCCACAGCTCGGAACGCTGAGATCCGATCCGAGCACTGGTACAAGCTGAATTGTTCCTCTTGCAGGGAACCAATTCTAGCCCTTAGAGCGAACAAGCACCACAATCCCAAAGCAACTACATGAAAAGCTCGAAGGAGGGCTCGGTGTCCTGATCTTTTGCATCGCAGCTTCCGTTGATGACCTGTGACGGAAACTCCCCGCTTGGAGGTTCATGCGTATTTGCAACTAGGGTAACTAGGGTCGTAAGTACCTGAGTTCGGGCTATCAGACTAACATTGCATACCTTGCATAGAACACACCTCGCTTACACCGTCACCCAAGAATCTGCAAGCACATAGAAGTAAGAATTCAGGTTGCATAAGGCCAGTAAAATTCGGCAGGCGCGAAACCCTCTAAAGCAAGCCGAAGGCGCAGTCTGCTTCTGAAAGAAATCCTCGGCCGTGGGATGGCTCCAGAACTCCTCTTTGAGTTCATCTAACAGCTCCTCCATGCCAGAAGCTGGGGGGCTGGGGGCGGGGGGCGGGGCCCACGTCGCCATCTCCTGAGTTCCCAAAACAAGTACGTCCTTGTTCCTGCCTTTTCCGACTGCAAACCCATCGCAAGAACGTTAACATAAGGGAGCGAAAAGAGTACTTCTGGGGAGCCGAATCTCATCGAGCTTCAGCTCCATGTCGCCCAGCTTCTTCTTTAACTCGGCCACCTGTCTGCTAAGCTTCTCCAGTTCCGGCTCCTGGCATGGCTTTGGGTTTGAGGCCCAGTTTAGGGCTTGCAGGGTGCCGGGTTTGGAACTTAGGGCATATTATGAAGCTCAGGATTTCGGGTTAGTGTCTGCAGCAAAGGAACCGAAGGTGGCAGCCCTGCAAATCGTTTCCGGGCGTGACGATCAACAACAAACCCATAAGTGGACACAAGTGCAGGTCCAAACAAACTCTGACTAAAACACGAGGGATGCGGAGACAAAGCTCTCAAAAGGACGAGATCGATGCAACCCCGGAGGCGAGGATACCCAAGCGCTTTCATCCCCCTTGTAGACCCGTATCGAAGCCGGGGAATCCACTTCGAACAACATTAAGGCAATGCTGAATGCCCTGATTCTGGGGTGGTTGGAATCAGCCACGGTTCCTGTACTCCAGCAGTGTTCCGGCTGCGGTCATCGCGACCTGCAGTCGCAGGCGGGGCAGGCCGAAAAGTAATTGTAATCAGGGCATCCACCGCATTCGCACGCAACGCAGCAGTTCTCATTCTCATGAGCCTGAAATATCCTCAAATGCGGCCTCTGAAAAAAGTTCAACATGGTTCCGCTTCAATGGCACCTGCACCTGGTGCGTTGGTGCACTATTGGGGACTCGACTGCGTAAGTGGGCCTGCAACCTAAGGCCCAACCTCTTCAGCAAAGCACGTGTCGTCTCGTCAGTTGCCAAAATCTCAACCATTAATGCTCTCCGGAAACACAGCATGCGCCTGCAAGCCGGTGAGCAAGGACAACGCTCTGCAAGAAGCCCGCAACGAGAAGCAGTCGCATGAACAAAAGTTTGACAAACTACCAGGGGCTGATGACCCGCATCCCTGCCTGAGCAGAGATGGCTGATCGAAACATGTTCTGCCTTGATCAACTGAGCCTCTGTAGGAGGAGGCAGCGATGATTCTCAGGCTGTAGTGTCTGAATGTGTCTGTCATGGGGACCTTAAGGGGGTAGGGGGAGGGGGGGCAGCGGGCCATAATGCCCATAATAAGGACTTAATGAGGCCTAATTAAGAAAGTATAGACCCCTACCCCCCTCACCCTTACCCCTCCAAGGGTTCCTATGAGTCTGACTGGCCGTCGTGTGTGAGCTCTCGTTGCTTGCATTGCCACGAGATCTGTTTCTGAGATGTTGTCCTGGGAGATGTACCAAGCTTGCAAGGACAATCCCTAGATGAGGGTCGTCGTCAGGATCCTGAGTGTACGAATGAAGCATTGCTTCGGGAACTCCAACCAGGATTACTACCCATGTGACCAAACATGACAGGTGCCGCTGCTCACAAGAGGAAGCCAGCTCAATGCTATTAAGAGCACTGATAAGAAACACAATCGCAAATCGTGGCAGCCATAGTGATGCCCTTGAACATTGACCAGACTAAGTGCCGAAACATAGCCCGATCATGCAACCGCCTTGACGGCAAGCGGGACTATTGACTTGGGACAGCGCACAAGGTCTCCAAATCTCAAGGCCGGTCACGACTGCTTCTGCTTACTCCCACTGATACTGATTCTTGCTGTTCAACAGCATCAATGTCATGCTGATTTGTGCATATAGTGCCTGTTCGACTCTTGCAGTACAAGGGTTCGACAAAGCGTCAATGTCATGCTTACTTGTGTTTAGTTTAGTTCCTCCCCCCTCTGTTCTGCAAGACTGTTGCTAGAAGCCTTTACGATGGTACTCGCTGCACTTGGGCAGCCGGTGCCTGCTTCGTGCACCCCTAGCCGAAAACACAAAAGCAGCAAGCGGGCAGCCCTACACAAGATTGCCTGCATCAGGCACGCTGAATTAAACCGCTGAAACTCAAGACCCATACCAAATCCGGATTGTTGCGCTCGGGTCATTTGCCAGAACCAGTCATATACAGATAGAGCGGAACACCCCAACCCAAAATCCTAGACCTTTAACCCTAAACCCCCAAACCCCCAAACCCCAACCCTGCTAAATCTCAAGCCCTGAAACAGAGAAACCTGGCCTTGCCATCCGTCAGATCATGTCCCGGCAGAAAGCTGCGAAACTGCCCTGGCAAGAAGCCCCACTATCCCTCATGTTGGTATGCTTCTCATGTCAAACCAGGCTTTACGATTTCACGCTTCAGGTCAAAGTTTAAGGTTTAGCGCCTTAGGGCTGGGGGGGGTCAGGGCTTGGATGGCGTGACATTTGGGATCTCATGCAGAGCTTTTCGTGGCGTAGGCTCTGGCTTCCAGACAAAGTGAGCTGTAGATGCTTCCCGGATTTAGCTCCGGTCCGTTTGGCTTGAAGCCTTCGGCTCATTCTGGTAGTTCTTGAGTTTTAGCACTTCGAGTGAGGAAATTTTGATACAGAAACTCATGATATCTTACAATAGAAAGCTCCTTGACCCTAAATAAAACCTAAAGCTTCATGCCTTACGAGAAGAAACCTCGTAAAGGAGCCGCACTGACGAGCCTCAGAAGAAAGACATTTCCGGCTGCAAAAGGCTGGTTAACATGCCGGGATTTAGGGCGAGAGAATCGAATCTTGTTGGGTCGATGAGAATTACTAGCTTTGGGGTAGCCGCCTATGGGTTTAAGTCTGCCACGAATCCGGAAAAAGCATTACAATGATCAGCGCAGGCAGGCATTATCATTAGTTTGCCGGTGGTCAGCTGTTTGCTACTGGATCGATAAGGAAAGCGCTGGAAAATCCAGCGCGGATGCCGAACGCTCAGAACAGTTTCCGGGCATAAGCCATTTAAGCACGCGGGAGTGCAAATATCTTACCGGAGTAGCAGCTCTTCTCCCATGAATACATCTATATTGAGTACAGGCCATAGATGTGAAACACAAACAAGGAGGTATTTTGCACGTTCTGAACTCTTCGGTTGCGGGATGCGACTGTTCCAATTGTCTGCTTTTGACTTTACGTTGCATTGGAGTTGAGCGGTTGATAGTAATATAGGGGCCTGTACCATGATTACATAATCTAGAGACCGTGAGGGCATCTACTGCTAAGTATTCCGACCTCTACAAAAGGGGCTCGGGATTGAGCAGGGCACCCAGTTTTGTCCAATAGTTCTGCAACTCTGCTGGTAAAAGATTCATTCCGTGCTCGGTGCAAAATGAGCAGAGAGCCCCATACCCCTAGATTGCGGAATATCCCTACGACTATATTGAAAGCTTCCTCAAAGACTGCGTTCCTTAATGTCTTTCGGAGTTTCGATGGGCTCTCTGGACAAGCTAAATGTGAGGTGGGCCTGGGCCTTCATCTGGCTCGGCGCCAAGGCTCAATCCTATATGCTAAGCTGCAAAGTTGTAGGTTAAGCACACCAAACCCCAGCCTGGTGAAGTCAGGATCCCAAAAACTATGCTTCAGAAGGGTCGAAGAGGGGAAGTCAATTTGGATGGTCGCTTTTCGGGGCTAGGCCCTTCAGCTGGTTAATGCTTGTCAGGTTGTAGTGCTTTTGCTTGCTGCACTTCAGTAGCCGCCTGTCATGGCGAGACTGAGGCTGTGATGAAAAGCCTGACACAAGCTCACACCTCAAGGACCTCGAATGCAAGGCCTCCAGTCCTCACCACGTAAAAACACATCACCCAAATCCACGTACACGTTCCATTCATGCGGTACGGCCAGACACTTCAAGCCAACTTGCTGGCCTCACCTCCTCCTGAAAATAATTGTGCCCAGCGGCCAGGGTCGCTCGAAGTCTTGATACTGCCACTAAACAAAGCAACACTACTTCAAGGATTACCCTTGCTACGGTGAGTAAATGATCACCGTCTCACCGGCCATGGTCAGGGGAAGTAGCCCTTGCCACCAGCATCAGCAGCATGAGCTTAGTAGAACGATTGCTAGCTGGTGCTACTCCTACTACTGCCACTGCTGCTACTACTACTACTACTACTACTACTACTACTACTACTACTACTACTACTACTACTACTACTACTACTACTACTACTACTACTACTACTACTACTACTACTACTACTACTACTACTACTACTACTACTACTACTACTACTAGTACTAGTACTAGTACCACCACTACCACTACGACCACTACGACCACTACTACCACTGCTACCACTACTACCACTACTACTACTACTACTACTACTACTACTACTACTACTACTGCTACCACTACTACTACTACTACTACTACTACTACTACTACTACTACTACTACTACTACTACTACCAGTATACTACTACTACTACTACTACTACTACTACTACTACTACTACTACTACTACTCTACTACTACTACTACTACTACTACTACTACTACTACTACTACTACTACTACTACTACTACTACTACTACTACTACTACTACTACTACTACTACTACTACTACTACTACTACTAGTACCACCACTACCACTACTACCACTACTACCACTGCTACCACTACTACCACTACTACTATACTACTACTACTACTACTACTACTACTACTACTACTACTACTACTACTACTACTACTACTACTACTACTACTACTACCAGTATTAATACTACTACTACTACTACTACTACTACTACTACTACTACTACTACCACTACTACAACTACAACTACTACTACTACTACTACTACTACTACTACTCCTGCTGCTGCTACTACTACTACTACTGCTACTGCTACTGCTACTGCTACTGCTACTGCTACTGCTACTGCTACTGCTACTACGACGACTACCACTACTACCTCTACTCTAACTCTACTCTACTCTGCCTTCCTGTCCTATTACGGTTCTCTATACTTCGTTCTCCGACCCATATGTTGCCGGCCGCTGGCTAACAGAAAACCTCCGCAAATGCCGGAGTGGAATGCTTGCTTGAAGCGTGCATTCGTGTTCAGGACTTAGGATTTCTTTCAGCAGTTGGGCCGTCCCCGGGTGTGAATAAAGGCTTGCAGTTGGCATTCAACATTTCCAGGTGGATAAGAAGTTCAAGTTGGCTTAAATGGAGTTGCTTCCCGAGGTTCAGTGATTTGGGGGTTGTCGTCGTGGCAGGCTTGCTGAAAAAGCTGAGGGTACTTTAGGCTCAGTCTGTGAGTCACATCGGCTTTTTGGTTTAAGCTTTTGCGTTAATTAAATGGTTAAGGTTCGTGCTTGTCGGCGCTCCGGGCTAAACGTTCAGGTTTTAAGATTCAAGGCTTTTGGCCCGGCTTAGCTAAACGAAGAAGGAACCTGATTTACCAACCCGGGGTTGGAAGTCCGCGTAATTAGAGGATCGACGCTTATCACCCCAGAGCCTTTCTCCGGTTCTCATGTTCATCAACGAATTTTGAAAGAAGGTACATGAGATTCGGCACCAAGCTTGGGGCTTTAGCCACGGTTCGGGAACGGATTGATGCTATGACCCAAGCCGAGCCCCGAAATCCGGTTTCGGTCCTGCAAATTGGAGCCTAGGGAGGGGGAATATCGTGAGCATGATCGGACGATGGCACCTTGGTAAACATAAGTAGGGGCTTTGCCGCGTTCATAGAGGATGCTTACGGCTGTTCGTTTTGGCCGGAGAAGGTTCTACAGGCTTACGAAGTGATGTTGGTTGGTCCAGTGGACGCGCCCCGACTTGCTGACTCACTGCTGCCTGCTCAAATACTGACCTTGACCAAACCTCCCTGCATCTCGCCATCGGCACGGTGTCTGGATGTGGCGGAAAGTCGCGTCGGGACTTCTGGCACCCAAGACTCGCGCTTGGCGTGCAGGTTCAAGATGAGGCATTTAGGAGTTCCGTGTCTGGGCATGTTGGGGGTTCTTAGAGCGGTTTCGATTTGCAAGATCAGGCTTTCTCGGTCTCAATTGGACCTATTCTTCGGTTTTGGGCAACAAGATGCACTCGGAAACAAGAAACTCCATGCCCGAAGCCCTAGACCAGGCACGCAAAGGGACTACGCGGAGACGAGCGTTGGCTTCCTGGACATCGGAGTTGACGGAGGCGCAGCGACGGGTTCAACCGATGACGGATTCCTCGGATATGTGCCGTTTGGCAAGCTTCAGGCGGCTAGGTGTTTTCGCCGTCTGGGGTTGAGGGATTGACGGCTTAAAGGAACGGGTGCTTTTCCTCTTGATGCTGGGAGCTTCGCAGGAATATCCGATGTAAGAAGATGAACTGTTCCGGGACTTCCCATAGGGTCCTTTCCTCAGCCGTTGAGGACCTATCATGTGGCAAGGCCTGAAGGTCAGCACTTCAAGGCCTCTGGCTAGTTGAAAATAAAATGTTCTGCGCTGTGTCAAGTTCGAGCTGCACTTTGTATCCTTGTGAGGGCATATGTGAAGGATCCATGCGTGTGGCAGAACGAACCGTTAGTCATTAGTCACTGGCAACAGTGGGCCTAAGCTGCCGACTGGTACGCACCAGCTCCGTGTGATAGAGGAACCTGTCTGAAAACTCCTGATTCTCATGATGGCTCTGAATCTGGATCCCACTCTCGGGGACTATGGAATCAAGTCGTCCTAATCAGTTCCCGACACGCCCGGCTGGATCAACACGTCGGCTGCCCTGTATCCAACCCTATTCCCAACACTGCACCGGAGAACTTCGCCAGAATCGCCGAGATTCGTCGCCTGGTGACTTACAAAAGCCGAGATGTCGCCGTTTCCAGCCATCCGGTGCTTCTTGACGAGGCGTTTCAGCGCTTCCGGATCATCAGTCAGCTGTTTCAAGGCACTCCGAGTCTGTTTCGAAATCTGTTGGTGGGCCGTGCGGTTAATCGGCAGGCTCTTTCCGCTCTCTAGCGCCTTAATGTCGTCTTCGTCCATCACATGCCCCCAAGAGTCAAAGTCTTTCATTGATGGCGGCTCTTCACCTGGAAAGACAACAACGATGCTAGCACCTACGCACTCCCTGGCTTCGTCTACAGCTTCGAAGGCTTCTACCTGTTCCAAACGGGCACAGACTAAACCGAGACAAGATGCACTCCATCATAACCTTGTCTCGGACTTGAAGCGCGCTCTTTACGTTGTCGGTCTTGGGGAAGGAGTGCTGGCGAATGGCCTGCGAAGGGACAGGCGGTTGCGAAGAAGTCCCGAATCTTAAGCGTTTGATTCCAGGCCTCAGTAGACCCAGAAGACTGTGAGCAGCCCATCTTCCTTGTCCCACTTGCGAGGGGCGGGCCGTGTCTTGAACGTGGCCAGCGGTTGGCTCGAACGGGACAGGGAAGCGCTGCTGAAGGCAAAAGCCGCCAAGTCTGATCCGAAACAGCAAGCAATAATCTTTGTATTAGATCTCATGTCTTACTTAGACGTCAACCAACATCACTGACAAGATCATCATCCCAACACACAGAAGACTCATTAAGCAACATGAGCGAATCAACAGAAAGTTACTTCAGAGTACACTGGAGCAGAGACAAGCGTCATGCCAATGATTCCACCGTTGCTGGCAATGTAAGCCATCAGCAACGAAGTAGAACACCACTTGCATCGTCACTTCCACTTCCAGCTACTACGACTACGACTGCGACTGCGACTACTGCTACTGCTACTGCTTCTGCCACTACTACCACCGCTCCCCGCACTACTCCACCATTAACTACTTTCCTCAGGCTAATAAGCGACGAATACTTGCCAATACTGCTACTGCGCAGTTATTTTTCTACGACGGTACTTCGTGCTACTACTGCTGCTATGCTGCTGCTCTTACTTCTTCTGTCTTGACATCAGTCTGCTTACTGCGGACATGACAGGCTTAGCCAAAGTGTTGATGTGCTGGCATTGCGGACACACGGCGAAGCTACGTACATGGATTACCCGCTACAGAACAACAACAAATGTATCATTGAGACCAATGTCCATTTCGGTAGCGCAAGCCAACAGACCGAATCAAGACTACCGGTAGTAGAACTAAGCGGCAAAATAAACCTCATGAGCAGGCCCCAGCAGCGCTCCGGAAACTGCCAGGCCTGCTTGGCTTCGTGAATTTTCGCTGAAGAAGTTGCGCACGGCCTGCTCGGAGAGTTCTGTGCTTAGAATTTGGTTTAGGACTCAAGGCTGCGGCCGCGGGCGCAACACCTGAACTGTACTGCTTGAGTTCGTGATTCGTCACTAGTTATGTAGCCTAAAAAGAAGCTTGTTAAACCTCGCAGGTGGGTCCCTCTATAGGCTATATAGACTCTATTAACAATTAAGAGAAACCATCGTCCATGCACCACAGGCCCCAATTTTTCACCCCGACGCCCACGAAAAGATCCCCACCTTCACCTCTGGCAGTGGTGCTCGCAGTCCCGACGGTGGCGCGTGGCAGCAACAGAACTCGAGCCGTTGCAGGTGCTGCGCAGCCGATTCAGCTTGATAGCCTTCCCGACTTCAGGGGTTTGGATCATGGCTTCCAGGCATCTGCGGTAGCAAAGCTCCCAGAAAACAACTGCGGAGAGACTGGTGGATGCAATTCCACAGCCTCAACTCCAGAATTCCATCGACCAACCCAGTGCTGGAAAGTCAATGCAGTTCAAGTTGGGAATGAGGTCCGGATCAATGCTTGAATTCTGAAAAGTCATGAAGAGGAGATGTGATTAGTGAATAGACCCCAAACCCTAAACATGGCGAAGTTGGCTGACTATACAGAAACTGTACTTTTGAACTGCTCGACGCTGTGTCGACGGTAGTTGTATCGGCAAAAACCCGCGACAGCTTGGCATGAAAAACGGAGCAAAGCTCCGAGCTTTCGTTCAAGCCATGCTAAAGCCGAGAAAAGGTACCAATGCACCATACAAGCACACATCTTCTGCAATGGTTTGCATTAAGTTACTGCCATCACCATCATCACTATAACCATTAACAGAACGAAGCAACAAGCCGGAAATGAATGCGGAATCTTATCGACACCACTACTGAGAGGGCGAGCTGCCGCACGGCTGCTCCTTCAGCAGGGCTTCGTTGTCCAAGCGTGGCAGAAGGCGGAAATCATGCGTCACAGGCGAAGGCAAGAAATCCAACCTCAGTGGCAGAATTCAGTCGTCTTTGCATTGCAGCAGCCGCTCAAAACAAGGGGTTGAGTTCAAGCTCTTGAAGCCACAAGCTGCCCATCTACAACTCAGCTAGACGCTGAACGAGGCTGCTGCCCAGGAACTTTCAAAACGATGCTCAGGAGGCGCCGGAGGCTAGCAGCAACAGGAGCAGCAAGAAGGACGCAGACCCTGACTGTACGGGATGCAGTTGAGTAGGGTCTACAGGGTTTAGGATACAAAGGCTTTCCTGTAAGGGTCAGAACTTTGGTGATGGGGTTTTCGGCTTCCCGGTTCAGGGCTCCCCTTCGGATTTAGGGCGCGAGCTTCGGGGATTCAGGTTGCGTCGAGGCCAGGGCATTGCAATGATAAGGCGCGAAACCGAGAAGCCCATCGTTCCCGACGGAAGCACCTAAATACGTTGCCCTTTTGCAGAAGTCTGAATCCTTCGCAACATCTCGGGCCCAACGTTTCAGGTTGGGCTTCAGGTGGCCTCCTGCCAGTCTGACGGCACGTCCAGTCAGCTCGTATCGGATCTCTGCCGACTCGCAGTTTGGCAGCACGCCAACCTGCCGGTTTGGGGATGAAGGATCTAAGGATCTAAGCATAAGTGATGTGAGATGTGGGAGTCTAGGATCAGGATCTTGGAGTTGAGGGTGAAGGGGTGTAGGGTTTAGGCGTTGAGGATTTGAGTGCATAGCATTGGGGTTTTGGGTCCCTCCTGAGCTCGTCAAATCTAGTAATCGCAAATCTGGAAGATAGTTTACATATGGGAGTATTCACCTCAAATCGGCAGGACAACGGCGTGCTGCCAAAGCGTGAGACATTGGAGCTTCTGGGTATGAGTACAGGCACGTGTTGTTGCTTCGCGATCATTTTGCTACAAAGGCTGCATTCCTCTTTGCGCTCAGTGCAGCACTCAGTTTAGGCTTCCGGGCTGGCCATGTGTGGCCTGATCGCTGCTCTTCTCTCGCAGGTACCCGTCGGCACTGCAGACATACTCCAGCCTTGGTTCGCCAACACGACTCGCCATCAGGTGAACAGGCTTGGAGAACTGCCAAGAAACAGCATGCGTACCCAGACCGTTGCTAGGCAGTACCTCCCGCCCCCTGCCAGTGCACCCTGCAAGTACATGCCAGTGTGCTGCAGTCCAACCGAAGGTCCACGATGCACATGTGAGGGTTTTCGTAGACATCATTAGAGTTGATTAGAGAACTATCACTGCAGGCACCCGCCTTAGAGAGACCCATGCAAGGGAAATAGGGGGCACCTTCTACATCCTACATTTACGAGACCGAATCCCTAAACACCCCAACCCAAATTCCTGATGGTGCCCCCCGAACCCGAAGCCCCGAAATCCAGTTCAATAGCCCCTAACCTCACGAATTTGTAACTCGCCCTGTCGCCTGTTTCTAATAGTATACACATCAAACAAGAGTTCTTTGCCAGGAGTCTCCGTGCCGGTGAAACCGCTCGCGCAGCGGGCGAAGCAGCTGCCTCCCGTCCGCAGGCCGCTGCAGCCGTCCGCAATGATCCTTGGGGGGCGGTCTGAAGTTCGGGGCCCTCAAGCCTCAGGACTCACGCCCCTCAAGGCTCTGCATCCAATGCCGTTGTATGCTCTACGACTCTACAAAATTTCGCATTTCTAGCGCGCATCATCCTGTACTAAGTGTACATGTCCGGTTCAACGATATGCAGTCTATCACTGGAACGGGCAGCTGAGTGTCAATCCCACCTTCAACGGGATTCCAAGGCGGCACTCGTTGGGGATGCAGGCGGGAGAGATACCCCGGAAGCTGTAGTCGTCCTCATTTGGCTTAGGAGTCGGGATGACAGGGTTCAGAGCTGAGGGCTTCTGGCAGTTGCCTAAGCGTGTCGCCAAGGAGTCTGCGAATTTGGGCGGGGCAGATTTCTCCGATGTGGCTTGCCGACGGCTGGCTAGTTCGGAAACTTGCGCTCAGGAACATGCACAGCAACCCACGAATGTGGGTGGGTTTATTGATGCAACCGTATTGCGCATGCTCGACTCTAGGACCAACCTATCCAATCGAATGCCTTTACATCCCACCAGACCTGGACCAACATCTCAACAGCCATGCCGATGCCAAGTGACCAGGCAAAGGAATGTAGCTTCAGGTCCCGAATAGCCGGGCTCGCACCATGCTGTACACCTGCACCAACACATCGCGCACAGCCTACGACAGGTGCAGGTTTGGGAGTAAGGAATGCCGGGACTTGCGAAAAGAAGCCAAACTCTGTTGGCCGAGATCTCTTTCACAAATTCAAGGCGCTGTTGCCATGGCTGCTTGTTGCTGTCGCAGTCGTGCAACACGTTCCCGACGCCCCCAGGCATACCTACATCACCTAAGCTCAGGGAGAGCAGGCCGGAATTCACCTTTGGCCCGAAAATCAAGTTTCACAACCCGATTTTTGGGCTGTTCAACTCAACAATGACACTAACAACAAGTTTAAACAGAGAGTCCCTCACCAGAACTCAGAGACCGCAAGGCACAAAAACTACACAAATCCAGAGACCGAGTTGCAGCTTAACTGTAGCCGAGTAGGAGCCTCACGATATCGAAGGTTCGGCCAGGAGCGGACACGCCACCAGCCATAGTCGGAGTTGACCATGCCGCCGGTAGCATTCTCCTGTAGACTGACTCGGGATGATGGTCAAACTGTGTGTCTTGGAGATCGCAATTCAGGGAACAGTATCCATGGCTAGTTACGCTCTCTCTTGCTCTCCTCTCTCTCCTGTCTCTCTCTCTCTCTCTCTCTCCCTCTCTATCTCTCTCCATTTTTTCTCGTCCTCTCCCTCCCTCTCTCAACATATATATATATATATGTCTTATGTATATCTATCTATATATATATATATTATCATTTATTATGTATATGTACATACAGTGAAAGGAAAAGCATAGGTCAATATGCAAACCGATGCATGTACGATCGACTCTCTGTCCGTGCACGTACATACGAGTATGATCAGTATAGTAGCAGTAGCATGCTGACACGAGAAGAAAGTTTTGTACTTCATATTGTTGCTAGAACTCTGCTTCTTTCTCTTGTCATCCTTACTATTGTTGTTGCTTCTGCCAGTTTTGTAATGCATACTATTGTTGTTACTATTGCTGACAGCA